GGTTTTGCCCCTAACCAGTCCCCCCCCCCCCCCCCCCCCCCCCCCTGCCCTACTGGCCAATTGTTGCGACCATAATAGCCTGGTTACAACATTCCCGGATTGCAAAGCTTCTCCCTCTCTTTGAGAAAAGTATATTGATTGAACCAAGGTATAGCTGCTGTTAATAGCTCGCTTCTTAAAGAGCCACTGAAGAAATGTACCCCTTATTTATGTGCTTCACACTGAGCTGAATTCGAGTTGTGACTTGGGTTAGGGTCACCCGGAATGCCAGATTGGCAGCCTTCAAGAATCCCACTTCTCGTTTCGAATGAGAGGAACCCATTTCGATCTAGAGTCCAAGTAGAACCCTGAAGAAACCCGCAGTCCGCACTACCAAAGGCCGACCAGTGACTGGGAGTTTCAGAGATGCCCACCTGCTGGGAACACCATCCAGCAGTGTCTTCAGTAGTTTGTTCATTATTAATAGCGAGGCAAAATGAATTTCCCGACTGATAGCCAAAATAGTGATTGGAGATGCAGTGAGTTCCACCTCCTGTCCCTCCCGTTAATCCAATGCATAGATTTGTACACGATATCTCGTCCGCCACTGCAAAAGAGCACAACGCCAGAATAGCTGCTGCGGATGCAAAAAACAGTTTTAGGAGTCGATATGTTTGTTTGTTGTGTATCTTTAGTATTTCAGATAAACAAAATGAAGCTTTTGTAATTATCGTCGGGTTTGCAGATGAAGAAACCTCAGCATGCCGCGGGAACCATTCTCTTTTTTATAGACCGTTTGTACTTACTGACTCTCTCTGCTGACTCGTCTTTACGGTGATGGATCTGGATTCCAAATCATGCGTTTAAACCCACGAATCGAAATCAAGGACGTTTCTCTTGCCTGGCCATGGTGTCAAACTCTTTGGGGACTGTAGCCTGCAAGGTGTGAACGTAACCTGAAGCAAGGGGATATGATGCTAAACGGTATCGTTGCCAAATATTAAGGGCAAAGGGATATAGTTCTGGCTTCAGCTGCGTAACTATAGTACAATACTTCTGAGTCCCTTCTGAACATTGAAATTTGGCTTGAAGTCATTTTAAAGTATTAATAGCATACACAACTGATCGAGCCTTAGCTAAAGTGATCCTTTTAGATAGGCAGCACCGTTTAAAATATGTCTCTCTCAGGCACGTGGAATTAGCTGCATTCCATCTAGATCTTATATCCAAGTAATACACTCAAATATTAAGCTGCACGCTTATGGTAGCAAAATTCAAAGCTGTACTCCGGTTGCGTGTTCTCCAGTAAGTACTGCTAACGTAGGTACGGATAATAGTACCGTCCAAGCGCGCAGTAACAGCACTTGATCTTCGCGTTTTAAAAAAAAATAGCTGGGGATGATTGTTGCTATAAGCAGACGGCCCGGTTCGGTTTCATACCCAATGGTGCTGCGATGTTAATAAAACTTGAAGTCCTTGAGGAGTGGTAGGGCATATGTCCCTGTATATAACGCACTACATGTAACTACTTCCAGTGGTATAATCTGCCTTGATGAAATTACTTTGAGATCTACTATGACCAATACTACTAACAGTACCTGATCTAAGCCTTTTACAGCAGTTATTATCAGTTTACAAGCCAAGTCATGTATACATGCAACAATGGAGCAGTAAGACTTATAAACAAACAGCACTACTCCGTACCAATGCTCCACATACCAGAAGCGACAATTTTCCCGACGTCCAATGATATCTATCAGAAACTGTCGAATAGACCCACTTGACAGACTACGTCTTCCCTACATGTATTGTTCCGCCTATTTAAGTATTCACATTTCCCAAGTTAGCGAGCCGTTGGCTATATTGGAAAATATTACACACGTACCCTCGCCAAGATGAGTGAGCTACGATCTCGTATGGTGGAACTTGCCATCTCTTTCATAAATGCTTTCAACGAGTTCACCATAGAATCTGTTGTGAGATATCGCAGCGAGAGTTGCCTTCACCGCCTCCGACCAAAGTCACTAGACGCGCCGCCACGCACCAACAGCGAATACTCTGCCTGGGTCGCCAACCTGAAGACCGTTATGAGCGGGTTTAAACTGTCTTTCATGGATGGCTATGAACCTATAATCGACGATATATCACGCCATATCACCTTGCACCTCAAATCTACCTGTGAAACGGTTCTGGGAGAATATCAAAATGAATATGTGTGGATCCTGAAGGTCGATGAGACTGGCCAAGTAATTGAGGACATTATGGAATTTGCGGATAGCGCGTATACAATTGAATGGATTCAGAATCTTCAAAATTATATTGAAAAGAAGTAGAACGGGAAATAGGGTATCTTTTTATGCAACGAAACGAAGCGGGAATTGTCATTGACTAGGCATAGAAGCCGAAGATATAAAGGTCTGAGATTTACCTATCTTGAGTTCCGTGTACCAGCGGGCTTATACTGCCTGTGAAGTTAATGAATAATATAATGAGCTTAGAGCACACAATCCTCAAACCCCGTGGCAAAAGTATTGTTTATCGGGGGAGTGGGACGCTTCCGTGCTCATGTAAGCTGGTATGTAACACATTCTCGCGGCACAAGAGCCTCAATCACGTCTCTGTAGCTGTCGAGTCAGCGTCAAACATGCGCACTAGCCAGAGGAGCTGAGAGCATTATTTAGTTGTTCCGCATTGCCTAGTACTATGGCGTATCACAGGCTACAGCTTTTCGATTTAGCATCAAATTGCCATTTCTGGCTTTTTCAAACCTCTCAGTATTGCAAACATCTGGTGCAGGGCATAATCACCTATTCTGTATGCGAGATTTCAGCTCATTCAGACTCTCTCGGCTAACAAACAATGGGTCGCTTACATTTGTGCCTGATCCCTGCGCCACTCAAAGTCTATCAGCCCGCGTGGCAATCGTATGATATGACCTGCCTCGATTCTTAACTTCGGGACAAAATCCACTAGTAAAAATGAGAAAAGCCGAAGATCCTAACGATGTTAGTACTTGAGTACTTCAGCATGGAATTCAATCCTCTTTGCCGAGACCCACCATCACTTGCTGCGATATATATATCATGGTATATAAAAAATTAGGGGTAGCGACCTATCCCGAAGCAAAAGCGATCTTAGTGTTATGAATCAGGGATGCGACTAAGTCTGTCGACGATCTCTTAGGGTGGTTTTAGAATACTGTCTCATGGGGGGCTTCTATTCAATAGCCTGTAATAAAACCCTCCTGGCGAGCAACCTCTTTAACCCTTTCACAATGTAGGAGAGGAGGGAGATAGTCCTCTATATCTCGTAGGTAGTATTTGTGTTTCAAGGTAGCAGGCTCAACTGCACAATATCAGAAATTGGTAAACCGTTATATGATTAATTACTTATTACAATATAAGAGAGAGCGTGCAATAGCAGCTGAGAGAGTTCATGGGTCGGAGACATGAAGAGCACGTGAGGCCAGCAAACACTCTGGCTTTGAATTGTCGTCCATCTTGGCTGCTTAAGCTCATTGGAATGTTTGAATAACCAGTCAACTACTCAATCAGTCAACTACTCAATCTTTCTGGGCCGTCCTAAAATGTGGGATCATCTCGTAAAGGCGGGCACGCCGCGACATATCTATCACGGCACTTTTGCTAACGCTGACGCAGTGCCGCCGTGACACCGAAATCGTGCCGACTATTTTATCATTACAATTACGAGGATACAATCTTCCGTTACCAAGTAATACCGACGGCGCAGCGTTTTCCTTCCACGGAGAAGATCGACTCGTTCGCCACAACTCGTAATCAGCCCGTCTTGGCTAAATCAAAAGGGTCTTCGGAAGATGGAAGACTCGCGAGATCAGAGAATATATAAGGCAGCATTGAACTCAGGATCAGGAGGTCTTATTATTCTCAGTTCGCACTCAGTCATCTTTTGGACGTCGTTCAACTCTTTATTCCCATTAACAGAAAGTTATCCCAGTTGCTGGAGGCATCATTCTTATCCATATCCAGCTTTTCAAACATGTAAGATGAATAAAGAAAGGTTTCTCAGTCGGTTCTAATAATCCGTTTACAGCTGGGGTTTCCCAAAGGTTAAGGGATAATAAAGCTCCAAATATCGACTTTGGCCGCCTGGATCGCTTTTGGCGTCCAGATATTCACCGCCATAGAATGTACAAAGACCGAACCGCTCGGCAATGACTGTGGAGCTGCTGTAGCTAAGCTCAACGACTTCTGTGCGAGCAGTGGCAAAAACAAAAATCTTAGAGAGATACGGCCGCTTTCACGGTAGGAACCTGCGTGGCCAGTCTGACTACTCCTCGCGCTTCGGACTTCGAAACAGACTGCGGCACGCTGCACGACTACCTCAACAAGATCAAGATGATCTGTGTGGCTAACGGAGCCGGAGGCATCCAGGTCGTCTCTGCTGCTGGGGGGGCTGCGCTCTATCAGGTCAACAGTGTCGGCAACATCCGCCCCCCCCGAGAAACGAAAGGTGAAAGGAGTCGAGAAAAGGGGCGCGCCTGTCAACCCAAACGGACAGAGGATCACCATAGCCGGCTTCACTGCTGTGATGACGTCCGTTCATGCCTCACAAGGCGGAGCTTTTACGCATGGTGATGTCGGCACCGTCATTAAGAGCCTGGCTGGCGCGTGGGCTAAGGGTGCTACATCATCTGCCGTGGCGCTTGGCGGTGGTGTTGAGGCCGGCGCTGCATGGACATTCTTCAACGGCTTCGCTGATAACTCTCTTCCACTAGCAGTTATTCAGGAGGCGACAAAACGGGCGCTCAACTGGGCGGTTGGGCAAAGAGCCTCGGGCGCCAACTTCCAGCTGACAGATGCAGCTGGCGGATTGATCGTCCTCATGGATGCCGGCGCCGACTAAAGGCCTCGGTGATAGCCAGTTGCTCGGTCGGCGCTCGAGGTGGGAGTGGTGACCATTACAAGGGGCAGTTTAAACTGGCTATAAACAGTGAGGAACCTCTCTTACTATGTAGCAGGTATGGAGCTACTCTCAGTTGCTCTTGGGGTTTAAGTACTGGCATAAGGATGGCCAAATTTTACATTCTCTGAGGGAGGACCAGGTTTTGGGAGCTTGCTTAGGCAATATTATACTTCCGTAGCCAGTCTTCGTTAATTCACACCGTTTTAGACAGCCGTGCAGACGAAGTGTGATGATGACCAGAAAACAAATCTGTAGTAGTAATAGATTCAGAATCTTTACAATTCTATTCAAAAGAAGTAAAATTGGGAACCAGGATATCTCTTTATAGAATAAACTAAAACGGGAATCATTATTAACTACTAGTATAGAAGTAATATATTGAGTTTAAGATTTACCTATATTTAGCTCTATGTAAGAGCATAACTAGGCCGCCTGCTAAAGTTAATCAAAAATATAATAAGCTTGGGTATATTATCCTGAAACCCAGTGATATGTTTATTAGTTATTATGGAAATATAGTGTTTCGGTGCTACGATGCTTCTAATTTACTCTTAGATGAGGGTATGATGGATCCTCGGACTAGATGCTCATATAAGCTGAGGCGTAACACAATCTCGTAGCACAAGTTCTCCAGTGTTCAATAATGTCTCCGTAGCTGTTGAAGTAGCGTTAAATATGCGGACTAGCAGAGCTGAGAATATTTTTGGTTATTCCACAACGCTAGTACTATGGCACCTTCACGGGTTATAACCTTCAGGTTTGGATCAAATGCGTTTCTGGATCCTTCAAACTCCCCAGCATTGCGGATATCTTCTGCAGGGAATGATCACCTGTACTGTATTTGAGATTTGGCCTATCCCGCTGAGGCGGGATTGTTTGCTTGACTTTAGAGTACTCGTTCGTAATTTAGCAAAGGCGGTCTGTATCCATGTATACATTGTAGTAAAACAAGACCTTTGCTCTGAATCCTTTGCTTACTTTGCATGAAGAGCGCGTCCTTCTTGTGCGACGCAAAATATAGTCACCTGGCCTTTGGATCAAGGCTCTGCTGCCTTGTTTCTGTAACATATACCTTGTGGGGGTTATGCAGGTTGTCGTAAGACTCTCTGGACTAAGAAACAATGGGTCGCTTACGTCTGTGCCTGGCCGCAGTGCGATTCAATGTCTATCAGCCGGGCATCACTCGCATAATATAACCTGCCTCGATTTCTTCCTCTGGGACAAAGGTCTCTGGTGAAGATGAAAAAAGTCGAAGATTCTGATGATGATAGCACGGTAGCAGGATATTAAATCTTCCTTCACAAGACTTAATATCACTTACTACAACGCATATCTTAGCGGTATGTAGAATGCCTAGAAACCACCGTCTGCGTAACTTATGATACCTGGCAACAACTTACGCTATATTAGAGTGACAATGACAAATAAATGCGCTACGAAACAGCAGAAATTAGAATATTCTTAATCAGTGAGTAAAATTACTCAAAGTCTCTAACCAATGGGGTTTGACTGCATGGAGCCAGGCCCTAGAGCATTTTCCTGTTTAACATTCTGTATTACCTACATGTGCATAAATGTGATCAGCATGAAGTAACACTTTTGTCTAGGTAACTTCATGTTCGTGTTACACAACTGCGGGGAAGTATCTTACTCAGACTCCTGTATATTGGTGATCGCCGACTCAGATACAAATACAAACGCATGAGGCTTCCTTCATCTTTCATCTTTACAGTTTACTGTTGAGAGGACCGTAATAACCCACTGCACACTGATCTTTGCTCTATCATACTCTGGAAAATCGATACAACATGGACTCCCCTTACACACTGAATCGGGGTCCCAATACTGGTGAGGAGCAGCGCCTCGATACTCAGCATTATAACATGTGGATGCCAGTGGCTAAACATCTTCTGCCGCCTCACATTTTTGGTCACCTGATGGAGCTTGACCATCCTCCCGCTATAGCTGATCTTGCCACTGGCACTGGTATTTGGCTCAGAGATCTTGCGACCAAATTACCCAGCAATGCACGTCTAGACGGCTACGATTACGACGCATCAAAGTTCACTCAAGCTTCCCAGTTACCTGATAATGTTCGGCTTTTTCCAGGAGACATACTGAAACCGTTTCATGAGCAACTGAGAGAGCAGTATGACGTGATTCATGTACGAATGCTCCTACTTGGCCTCAAAGCCGACCAATGGGCAGAAGCAGCCCGAAATATCAAGACGCTGCTGCGACCAGGAGGTTGGCTGGTGTGGGAGGACCTTGGACACTCAGGAATTACATGTGTGCCCATTACAAAGGAATTTACGCTGTGGAACAACGCTGAATTACGGTACGCCAGCTCGGTTGGTAGAGATATTATGTGAGCAATTCAAAATAGGTAGTTTCACTACCGCCGTCCAAAAGCCCTAACAATCTTCTAGAGCTCCAACGCGACTTCTGAGCCAAGTTCAAGAATCTGGTTATGTCGATTGCCATGAGAACGTCTATCATAGCTTTGGCTTGGCAGAAAACCTTCGTAAAATCACTGGACAGTTGCTCATGACCGGTGCGCGCCAGATTTTGAAGGGTTTGCTCGATAAGACTGAGTCCACAGTTATTAACTCTCACGGCGAGGCAGATGCGATAGTTGACAAGATAATAAGCGATATCGAAACAGACCGTTGCGTTGTTGGATTTTTCATACATGTCATTACTGGTCAAATAGAGACAAAAGGACGTGGGAAGAACTGAGGTGTATCTTGAGCAGTGAATACAAATATGTGCACAATAATAGCCAAATTTGCTGCAGTTAATATCTCTCTCCCCAACGAGTTCTAGCTTAATGTCGAGACGTTACCTTCGGCAACAGCCGTTTCTGGTCGTGAATCTCATGAATCAAACTCCAACTTCCCAATCACGTTACTACTGCAAACACGAGGCTCCACATCTTATTAAATAATTAGGCTCCAGCGCACAGACCACCTGCTCCCAGACCAATAATTTGTCCGGACAAGGGTTGTCAATTGCCTTTAAATACTGCCTGCATAAACACTCCAACCAACCATCTGCAGTATGAGACGTCAATAACTACCAAACAATATTGTATACATGTATCATGGACCAATCATTTGAGATTATTACACCCGGAGATTCGCTGGCTGCAGACAATGGTGACATTGTTATGCTGAGCCGTGATGACGTGAGCGATTTCAACGAAGAGAATATCCTGCCTCAACCGCCTGAGACTCTTAACAAAATCAAGCAATGGCTTTGTCCAACGGACTATGCTGCTGTCAATGGAGAATTCTATAAGCACTTGAGATCCCATGTTGCCGGAACGGGTGACTGGCTCTATTCGACGGATGCCTTCAAGCAATGGCACGATTCAGAAGCCGAGGGGATACTTTGGCTCAAGGGCATCCCCGGTTCAGGAAAGTCTGTCCTCGCGGCAAGATCAATTCAGCGACTGCAAGAGGAAGACGCTCCAGTTCTCTATTTCTTCTTCCGCCAGATCATCCGCGCCAATTATGAGCCAACAGCTCTGCTACGAGACTGGCTTGTCCAGATTCTACCCTACAGCCCGCCGCTCCAAGCCAGACTCAAGGAGTACCTGGACGAGCGCCGAACAATTGAGACGCTGTCCATTACGGAAATGTTCAGAGACCTTCGATTGGCGTGCACATATGTGCCTAAGGTTTACTGCGTTATAGATGCTCTCGATGAGATGAACCTTGGCAATGACCACTTCCTGCATGAGTTGGCCAAATTCTCATCGTGGCAGCCGCCCAAGATGAGAATGATTATAACGAGCAGACCAGTGCCTGCGGTTGAGATACCACTTAGACCTTATCCGACGGTCCAAATTCACCTCCAGGAACAGCTGGTGGATCAAGATATTGCGGTCTATCTACAACGACTGCTAGCTGGCTCTGGCATTCCTGGAGATGATCAAAACAAGATCCAGCAAGCAATCCTTGAAAAAGCTGGCGGAATCTTCCTTTACGCCAAGTTGGTCATGGAACAAATCATGGAACAAGGTGCCAACATAGAGCACATTCTTGAGACTCTACCCGCCAATCTCAATGTCATGTACACCAGTCTTCTGAAAGAGCACTCCCAGAGGTCTGGCATACCGCACCATGTACAGCTCTTAGTTCTGCAATGGGTGACTCACGCAAATCGCCCGCTCCGACTCCTTGAGATGGCAGAAATGCTCAGCGTGACACGTCAACTGGATGGTATACATGAGCTCAGAGAAGCCAAGGATATCATCCGTGCCATCTGCGGATCGCTTTTGGAGATTCTCCCCGACGAGACTGTCTCTGTTGTACACCACTCTCTCACCGAATTTCTAAAGGGTCAAACACGCTCTGTTGCTCAGGAGCATCCAGCCGATGAGTACAGCTTGCTTGAATCTGATACAACTCACCTCAGGCTAGCTCTCGCATGTCTATCTTACCTTGATGCAGGGTGCCTGGACAGCTATGAGATTATGGAGAAGAGCAAATTGAGAAACGAGAGGTGGAAACATAAGGGACTCAACCAAAATACGAGACTAGAACACCCTTTTGCCGAGTATGCCGTCTTCAATTGGCATTTACACATAACCAAGGCTGGGTTATTAGCCAGAGGTCAACCAGAGCTATTTAAACTGCTGGACAATTTTCTCCAAGGGAACCGCTTTCTCGTCTGGCTGAGTCTAGAGTGGCCGAATTGCGAATTCGGTGACATGTCTCCTCTACATGTCGCTGCTTATCTCAATCTGACGGATTACATGCGGGAGCTTCTGGAGAGGCCAAACGCCAACGTCAATGTTCTCAATGAGATGGAAGAGACTCCCATCTACTGGGCTGCGTATAATGGACACGAGGAAGCAGTCAGGCTTCTCCTGCAGCACGGCGCCGAGCCAAACAAATACAACGCTACTGGCTTGACGCCATTACACGAAGCCGCAATTCGAAACTACGCAGCAGCAGCACAGGCCTTGTTGGCTGCTGGGGTTGATCCCCTGACTCCTAGGACAGATCCTCAAGCCGAACGTTACCATTATCCCGAGCGCAGGTCCACTGGCCGGACGCCGCTCAAATATGCCTGCAAGAATGGGCATGATGAAGTCGTAGCCATATACCTGCCCTTTATCAAAGATATTAACGTCGTGTATGGCGCATTACATTCGGCGGCGAAGGCTGGCCAGGACAAAGTCGTGGCGTGTATCCTGAGGCACCCAGGCATAGAAGCAGACGCCTTCGTTTCCTATAACACGGCATTATACTATGCTTGCGAGGCAGTCAGCCCTCGGACTATCGAAGTCCTTCTGAAAGCTGGAGCCAATCCAAATGTCTTGACTGAGCCGGAATTCTATCAACGCCTTAGCATAATACATGGTGCAAAGGGCCTGGACCCGAATGGTTCAGAGCGCATGCTTACAGCTCTTCACTTGCTGTCCAGCAGTATTGCAGGGAACAGTCGACCAAGCGTGGACTATATACAGAAATGTTTTGAGCTAGTTCAGGAGGTTGGGGTCGATCTAGAGGTTCGAGACCTCGAAGGCAAGACGGCTCTGCACAGCTTGTTCTCGGGCCAAGCTTTTGTGTCATCCGAATCAGTGTTTGCCATGTTACGGCTACTTCTCAGGGCGGGCGCTGATGCGAACACAACGTGCGATAAGGGAGAGACACCACTGCACGGGAATCCCACCAGCAAAGATGCTGTCCGTCTGCTCATCGAAGAGGGCGGCGCAGACATCAATAAGCGACGAACTTCGGATGGTAGAACACCGCTTTTGTGTATTCTCGCTACTCAGTCGCCGGAAACATCGTTGGAATTCTTATCCTTTGGTCCAGACTGTAATGTCGTGGATAATGATGGCAATGGCGCTCTTCACGTTGCCTTGGGCTGTCGACATACAAATCGCGATCTAATTCTTGCCCTCCTGGCACAGGGAGCCGACCCAAATCTGAAGAATCACAGCGGTCAAACGGCATTGCACATTGAGGGCGAATTTGGGCATGGGCAAGAGCAGTTGATTAGGCTCTTGGTGGAATCCGGCGCAGACCTTGAGGCCCGAGATAATAACGGCTGTACACCTTTATTCAAACGAGTGAGCTCATATTTCCACGTTGAAGATCGCCGTTCAACCGATGTTCTCAAGACCCTTGTGGAATTGGGAGCGAAAACCGATTGCCGCGACTACAAGGGCCGAACTTTGCTCCACGAAGCGTCCCGCTGCGATGCTCACGATCGATTCAAATACTTCGTGGATCTGGGAGTGAACCCGCTTGCACAAGATGAAGCAGGGAATACCATGTGGCACGAAGTAATTTACACTCGGGCTTACCCGGCTCAACGCCTTTCTTGGCATAAGAGCAATGGTCCACCAATTCCAGATATATATAATCTCCTGATCGAGAGTAGAGTTGATCCCGACCAAGCCAACAATCAGGGAAGAACCCCTCTACATATTGCCTCCGGTATAGAGACTGAGGCAGTTGACAGCCGATATGAAAAGACCCCAATCAATTACTTGTTGAGTGTTTGCAAGAACCTGAGCCCGGCCGACAGCGATGGCATAACGCCCCTCCACTTGGCTGCGACTATCTCCGAGTATCACGTCGCGGCACTCCTCAGAGCTGGGGCCAATGTAGCAGCTGTGACTCTTGATGGGCTGACTCCATTGCACCTCGCAGTTCGCGCTTGTCAGTCAAATATTGTTGGCATGCTTCTTGATAAAGTCGAGAGAGATGGTTCTTCAAATGGTTCAACTTTCGTTAATCATCGGGATAACAGTGGACGAACAGCTCTTCATTACGCATGCAGATCCGGACGTCCAGAGGCAGTAGCGTTCTTACTCGCAACAGGAGCCGATGTTAACATCCGGGCCAAGGATGGTATAACACCACTACAAGAATGTACCAAATTTGAAAGCGAGCTGGAACTCTGGAGAGGCTGTGGTTCGGCCGCCGACAGATATCAACGTCTCCAAGCCGCAGGACTTAAGCTTGGCGATGAAACACGCCCATTCCTGCGTAGGCTTGATGAACACATACAGGAAGACAAAGAAATACCCCCTGAGCATACTTCAAGTCGCCTTGACGAGATATTAGACATGTTAGTCGATCACGGACTAGACGTTCATACAACAGATACCTCCGGACGGAACCAGATTCAAGAAGCCATCAGTCTTATCAAGGGCCCAACAATGTGCTATACCATAAGATGCTTCTTGGCTCTGATCAATAAACTGGATCCACACTTATATAAAGGCGAGATTGAGTCTCTTTCGAGCCTTCGGGAGCAGGCGCAGTCAATGGTGGTACCTCAAGAACCCGATCATCAATGTAATCATATACACTGCCACGACTCTGAGCCTGATAAGCTATTAATGTCACGAGAATACAGTCGCTTCGAACAGGCCCATCAAGAAGGTGCGGATTTGGCGCAACCAAGCCGCGCAAATGGTACCCCGTGGCATAGTTTAGTCCGTGGAGGATATGGGATGCTCCTCGAGAAGATCTGCACTGGCGAGGTTGTGAAACACTTTGAAGATGAGAAATGGTGCAAGAAGTGGATGAAGGGTTTTGCAAAGCGTAGCCATCCCTATGGCCGGCATAGCATCAGCTCGCTCTTGATTGCTGCATGCAGCAGCAGAACGCCTAATATGGAGGTGGTCAAAGTGCTCGTTGAGACCTTTAAAGCCGATGTAAATGCGCAAAGCCCTACAGAGATCATGGACCTAATAGATGGGCAGATAGTACCAGGGGAGAGTGCGCTTCACATCTTGGCCAGAGGTCACCACTGGTGGCAGGTTCACCAAGCACTTCCTTATCTCGTCAGTCATGGAGCCAATGTCAACTTGAAAGATCAAATCAAACGGACGCCTCTGCACATCGCATTAGAGATGGTTCCAGGAAACACTCCCAGGGTGCCTTCTTTCCAAGAGGAAGCAGCTCGAATCCTTGTCAGTGCCGGTGCAGATATTCACTCAAGCGACCACATGGGCAAAAGCTGTCAGACTCTTGCGGTTAGAAACAGCAATCCCAGAATGCTTCAGATTGTACTGCCATCGGGAAGCGCATTGGATATCTCAACTTTGTTCGTTGCAATCGAAGAGTGTAACGTTGAGTTGTTTGAGCGACTGATATCAGTCGGCATGGATCTCAACAAGAGATGCGACACCAATGCTTCAGGAGACAAGCTTGGTCCAATAATTAGGGATGGCGGCGCCACGATTGAAGTGGATGAGCTATACGCGTTGCTACTCGTTGATCATAAAGCAACAACTCACGTTAATGCCTCAAATCACGGCCCCCTCTTCGGTAACCATTTCGGTAATAACACCACAAATCCAGCTCAACCTGATGATGATAAGTCGAAATACATTCGCATGGTGGAGCTGCTTGTTTCTCACGGCGTGGACATGTATGCCAGGTTTAACAAGACCGTTCAAAATACCAGTGCTTCTCTTGCGGTCATGGCTTCCACGAATAAGGCCATCGACAGTTCTGAGAATGGCAAGCCAGGCAAACAGCCTCCTCGAGGCCATCACTATGAAGACTGCACCGTCATTCACGAGCTGTTAGAGACCAGCAAATTTATCCAAGACATAATTGACTGGAAATCCCTCGACCTGGAACATCGCGATAGTAAAGGCAGGACATTGCTTTTGGCAGCATGCCGGAATAAAACAGTCGCCGATGTGACCGCTACGAAACTTGTTGAACTGAAAGCCGATCTGTCAGCCCGGGACAGTGAGGGCAAAAACGCCCTACATCACATCTTCGAATCTCATGCACCGAATGAAATTTGCAAACACAACGAGGTAGTGAAACTGATGCTAGCCAAGCGTCCGGAGCTTATACATGAAGAAGATAATAAAGGCAATTTACCAATCAACTACGTTCAGCCAGGTTTCTGCAATCCGCATATGGGCTTCTTCCGATCAGGACCTTGCAAAGACATTGTCGATATCCTTCTAGATGCGGGTTCAGACCCATTGCATCCGGACGCTGACGGCAATTTCCCCATTCATTTCCTCGGTCACCGGCCGAAGCATGCCTTGTTTCAGCGCTTCCTTGACATGGGCGTTCCAATCGACATACGTAATACCAAGAGTGGTAACACGCCATTGTTCAATTGGTTTTCTTCAGAACCATCACACCTCGACTGGCCACGACCTGGCTTACAGATCTCGCTTGCCGGTGGCATCAACGCAGTCTTCCCAAACCCAGCTCTCTCGAGACCTCACCCAAGCAACATCTACCCATTCCCAACCGCAGTCCTCCCAGGAACAGTCACCCCAGGCACAATCCTCCCAAACACGAACTTTCAAACACCAGCCCTACCAGGAGCAGTCACCCCAAGCGCGAACTTCGCAAGTCCGGCCTTTCTCAGAGCAGCCCTGCCACAACCAGTGCTCGCACCAGTGGATAAAACCAAGCTCGAAGATTTTGAACAAGAGCAGCTGGCATTCTACGAAGAGGCAGGGGCAGATTTCATGGCTCGCAATAATGCTGGAGAGACTCTGTTGCATACCTTGGCTGGCGCATCGTTCCAAAGCAGTTATGGCGGAAGGAGTAAAGACGACATGACCACTGCTAGGTTCAAATTTCTAGTTGCTAAGGGCCTTGATCCTCAAGCTGAAGACGGAAGACAGAGAACGGCTATTGACGTTGCTGTAGCATGTGATAACAAAGGGTTTCTAGACTTTTTTAAGAAGTGAGCTCACAAGAATCTGATGTTTGGGATTGAGGGCTATGCAAGTGTGTTCAGATAAATAGGCAATGTGCCATTATGTTAAAATATCACGATAATCTCGATACATCTAAGCATTCCACGGCCCACTTCCGACGAATTCTAACTCCTCCTGACCAAAGTTCTCTTCGAAGTTCAGGTTGGTCTGCATACCAGCGGCAGCCATGGCTTTCAGTCGTCTTTCCACCAAGCCACCTAGGGTATCAGCTTTCAGGAATGAGTTGAAGCTCTCTATCTGCTCGTCTGCAGTAGGAAACCCGGTGCGCTTATTGATGAGATTCTTCGCTGCAGCAATGGCAGAGTGTTCCCAGCCAGCTACCCGGCGACCAAATTTGTCCACAAATTCTTCGAATCGAGCATCTGGGATTGCACGATTGATCCCTGATATAATTTAGCATTACTCTCAAACTTTAGATATGGGAGCATTAATAAGCTGATAGCTTACATCCGTAGAGAGCAGCGGTCTCAGCGTCAATGCTGTCAGCGTCCACCCGCTTCGATGCTTGCTTTTATTGATGGAGTTTCTTTGCAAGAAATGGGAAAATAGATATGCATAAAGCAGTGAGCATGGCCCCAGAAGCGTTTGACCATTCTTCGCCGACCTTTGCAAGGTTGACAATTTGTAAGTCGGTAAAATCGCCAATTGATAAGGTAGAATCACAAAGTCCCAAGAGGCAACCCGGATTTCACTTTGTCTATCCACCTTGGATGTATACGACATGTGTTACTGAAGCGCTGAGTATTCAGGGTACTGTAAGACCTCTCGTAGGCCCCAGCATTCGCAATCAACTATAGAATAGAAGATTTGTAATAGTTGAGGAGCTCTGCAGATGACAACAGAGAGACTCTTATCAATGGTGCCGTGTCTCTAGATCCAAAAAATCATACATGTGATATTGGCAGTAACGGATCAACAGTGAACAATTTGCTCTGTGGTTAATATGTTTATCGGCGAGGCTTCCGGGAAAGCAATCCCACATCGCACTTTTAAGGAGAGGGACATTGTTTCAATTGCGTGAGGGATCGAAAACTAAGGACTGATACCATGTATAATTAGATATTTATCACAAATGTCAACATCAGAACATTAATAGGAAATCTCGACGATGCATGGTCAACCCTCTGCTAGTAGAATGGCGCCCCCATTTGCAGGGACACTGGCACCATTCATCCAACGAGCATCTTCGCTCGCCACGAAAGCTACAATGGCCGCAATTTCCTCTGGCTCTGCCAATCGCTTCTCAACAGTGGCATAGTTTTCAAGTCCTTCCATGTACTCTTTGGGCAGATTGGCTAAGGCGTCCGCCATGGCAGGAGTCTTCGTGGGCCCGACGCTTATTGAATTGATCGTGATGCCTTTCTCCGCAGCTAACGCGCTCGCCATAGATCGAGTTATACTGTTTAATGCTGCTTTACTAGCACCGTAAAGTATTCCGGGCTCGTCGGCCGCCTGTTTGGCCGTCACGGAGCTCACGTTAATAATTCTGCCACCTTTTGTGGGCATAAAGGGGAGCGCTGCGCGAGTTGCAAAAATCGGCGCCCGTACGTTGGCGTGAAAAAGGTTATCAAAATTTTCGACGGTGGTATGTAGAATAGGAAGAAGATGCTCAGATGTAGCGCTAGATTATCGTCAGCACTTTATTCTGCTCAGTCACAAATTAAACTCACAGAGCAGCATTGTTGATAAGGATATGGATTGTATTTGTCTTTAATCCTGCGAGCGCTCCTTTCACTATTGTCTCTCCGATGTCGACGTCGAGAATATTGGCACGTATCGCAACCGCATCGGCTCCATGAGCTTTGATCTTGGTTACAGTGTCGTTTGCTGCTGCTTCATTGCCTGAGTAGGTAATAGCCACCTATAAAAAGCAAAAGGTTAGTCATTTATGTTTCAAATACATGCTATCAAAGTCTTTCAGAAAACGCACTCCTCTAGCACCTCGCTCTGCTAGTAACAGTGCAATTGAAGCCCCGATGCCTCTGGAACCTCCAGTGACAATAACATACTTATTTTCAAATGGGCGAGACATCTTATCAAACCCAGTACCGCTTAATGCGAACAATACGATGATTTCATTATAATGTATATAGCGGGATGAAGACAAGTTTTTATACATTGAACAGTGTCCCTAGATTTTACAAAATTACGGCTTCTGGCTGTACATGACAAATGCAAGATGGAGCGGACTTCATCTCACACCACGGCACTCATTGGATTTTATTTAACTCCGGCACCTTAAAAGCGGTGCAATAGTCTGACACAGCAGTCAAGGCCCATGTAGTTTGAGTTTGACGGAGATATGATGAAGGTCTCGCAGAGATGTAGCGGAGTTTTAGCGGAGGTTTCAATAAAGGACGTCAATCAATGCATCCCAATTAGTTATTCTATCAAGTTATGTATGCTGCCGACACTCTTTCCATATTTGCGGCGGACTTTTTGCAGTGCAAAGTGTTGATAGCTAACCTCAAGAAATCTCCCTTTACCGATGAAGAGCGTTTTCTCCGATTTATGCCGGACAATACAATACAGAATCTAATTGAGATGAGAACGATGTCAGACATGTTAATAAAACGTTCATTTATCGAACGTATAAGCTTTCGTATAAGTACGTTATGAGTAAATTGACCGGTTAGTGAACGGCTAAGAGACGCACCGTCACATTTACTCAGGGTACCAAAAGAAGTAACAGAAAAATCATTTTGTCAGCTCATTATGATAATGTAGCAATGTCTGACGTTATAGAAGATTATAAATCGTTAGATAACTAACGGGTCCGTTTCTACCGCTACATAATGGAAATTATCTATTCTAATTGTTCCAGCTGTATTCGGTCAAGAATGAAGCTGTTCACAAAGTTAGTTGTTCTTCCCCCGCCTCATTGTTTTCTCGCAAAAGCCAGTAAAACATACCCTGCAGCCGGCACTCCAACTGAATCATCGCAGTGCTAGAATTACTTGTGGTTTGAGATTCCATCCAGCAGTTTGGGTCTCTCAATATTGAAACTGAAAACTCCCTCATTGGGCCGGAAAGAGCTCATCTTACAGGCAAAGGTAACCCTTCATAAGAAGAGGAGCAACATTCTCGTCCTAGATGAGGCCTTGATCGTGGTGGACGGTGAAACTGAAAAATTGGTGGTAGCGGCGCTGGAGAGGGTATCACGAATCACGCGGTGCTGTCGTTGGGCCATCATCTTAGTGCAGTTCGTAAATACAATAATTTGGTGGGTTTGGGTGGAGGTAGGTTTGTGGATGTTGGGCCACCCAATGACACGATTGATGCAAATGGCGGTTTGACAAGAAATAATATAGATGGAGATAGCCAGGTTTTGATACAAGAAGAGGGAAATTTACCGCCAGAGCGATAATGACAAAAATAGATAGTTACCGATATGGTTCTCCATCTTAGCTCATTTAAAATAGAATCTGAACATAGTTATTTGATCTCAAGATTAGCTACGACTTTTCATTGAACAGGCTATCGAGACGTATGCAGTCCATCGTACACGCATTCTAGAGAATAAAACCCTTATAATTATGGGTTCAAATCTTCGTGTTTATTTTCTTGGCTTATCTTTCTCAATCTTCCCCTCATGACGATGCCCAACTCAATAGGTGATGATTGCAAATTTGCAGGTTAGGCGCTTAAACGGCTAAGCAAGGATAATCTGGGGAATCTGCAAGATGCCTTCTTCTCCGCAAAAATCCCCAACATTGTCCATCGTCAATAGGTATTGCATTTCGTTTCGGAGAAAAGGCCATCATTCCCTCATTCGGGCCATTGACGGCCTTTCTCCATCTTGACGAAAAGGCGTGTAGAGCCGAACACCATGACTCGCGTGCCAACCGTTCAACCAACGTCGCATCACTGTGACCCTCACCAGACAATTCCCTTGGCAGCTTGGGTGATACTCGTACGGCAAAAATTCTATCCCTTGCCTGCTCCGGGCACTAATCTCCACCACCGTGGTCATCGATGTGGAGAAGTAGGCTCGTGCAACTTCCGACGACTTGACTCAATGGCTCGACTCTCCGTGTTATTCCCCCACAAGCAAAGGGCACATGGCATTCCGCAAACAAGGGCCGACATCCATCTTTATGGGGTAATTGTGCGCTACCGCACTGTTCCGTATGACGCTGCTCCAGTGGCATCTCCATCTTTAAGCCCGCCATTGGACTCGGCGACGATCTCTTTCCCCACATGGAGCGTGAAAAGTTGGTTTAGGGCCTGTCGGCGCAACAACTTGGCTTCACTCTAGTTTCGGTAGCTTACACGAGGAGGGGGGGAAATGCGGAGAGCCAGTACCGGGTCTCAGGGCGACAGTCACCCTGGGTGCGGTCAGCATAGAGTCAGGACCCATATTGCGTCTTTCGAAGGGAGAAAAGTTGTACAAGTATGAAGGAAGAGGATTAGATATAAAGGCCCGCCGATCCACTGCTCTTTGGCGGGATCCGAGCCGGATATCTTGAAGAATTCTTGTGAGTTCTCGGTTTCATCCAGCGGTAATTGTGGTACAACTGCTGTAAAGGCGCAATTCAAGATGGCGCCCAATCCAACAGACGTCAGTGTGGTGCAGCAGCAGCCTACAAAGGGTGTTTTTCGCCAATTTCGCGAAAACCCCTACATCTTTGGTCTCTCGGCTGTAAGTTGATGAAATACGCCATCGTGATTGAATCAACAACATCATCGCTAAACACACATTAGTTTGCTTCTCTCGGTGGATTTCTCTTTGGCTATGACCAAGGTGTTGTCTCAGGTGTCTTGGGGATGGAGAATTTCGGTGCGCTCTTCCCAAGAATCTATCTGGACAGTGGATTCAAGGGCTGGTTCGTCTCTACGCTGCTTCTGACAGCATGGTTTGGCTCCCTGATGAACGGCCCTATTGCGGATCGCTTTGGCAGAAAGGGCTCGATGATGGCTGCTGTTGTGGTTTTCCTTCTTGGATCTGCTCTGCAGTCTGGCGCAACCTCAATCGGCATGCTCTTTGGTGGTAAGTCTTGAGTGTTTTATTGTTTCAGGTCGAATCTTAGTAACGATATGTGTAGGACGAGCTATTGCTGGTCTGTCAGTTGGTATGCTTACCATGATTGTGCCCATGTATATGTCGGAAGTTTCCACAGCTGGTATTCGAGGAACGCTGGTTGTGCTACAGCAGTGTAAGTCTCAGACGCCAAACCCCCATGTGCCTAATTTGGCGATTCCGTCTCCTAATCAGAAATTTCTCATAGTGAGCATTACTCTGGGTATTCTTGTTAGTTACTGGCTCGAATACGGCACCCAGTACATTGGTGGCACTCGCTGTGCCCCCGACATTCCTTACTCAGGTGGCACTCCTGATAAGCCTACCTTCGACCCCCGAAACGATGTTGGACCCAACGGCTGCACTGGACAGAGCCAAGCCGCATGGAGAGTCCCATTCGCCCTGCAAATCGTACCTGCACTTATCCTAGGCATTGGAATGATCTTCTATCCCGAGTCCCCACGCTTCTACCTCATGCGAAAGAACGAAGAGGCAGCCCTTCGCTCATTGGCCCGCCTCCGTCGCGTCCATCCCGATTCCGAGTCCCTGAGGGAAGAGTATCTCTCTATTAAAGCCGAGGTTATGTTTGATGAGGCTCATTCGCGAGAGCATTACCCCGGCAAGAGTGGTGTCAGCCTCTTCTTCTCCGAATACTATGGTCTCCTGTCAACTTGGCCCAGCTTCAAGCGTGTGTTTATTGGAAGCGCCATCATGTTTCTGCAACAGTTCCAGGGATGTAACGCCTTGATTTACTACGCTCCGACCATCTTTGCACAGCTGGGACTATCTGGAAACACCACATCGCTTTTGGCAACTGGTGTCTATGGCATTGTCAACACTCTCAGCACCTTACCCGCCCTCTTCCTCATCGATCGAGTTGGAAGACGACCCTTGCTCATGTGCGGCGCTACCGGAACGTTTATTTCCCTCATCATCGTCGGAGCTATTGTTGGCAAATACGGTGCCGCCCTTGGCGACCACAAGGTCCCAGGAGGAGTTGCAATTGCCTTCATCTACATCTACGACGTCAACTTCTCCTATTCCTTTGCTCCAATTGGATGGGTGTACCCATCGGAAATCTTCAACTTGGGCAGCAGATCCAAGGCCATGGCTATCACCACCAGCTCAACTTGGATGTGCAACTTCATCATTGGACTTGTCACTCCCGACATGCTCGAAACTCTCAAGTGGGGAACATACATCTTCTTTGCGGCTTTCTGCTTGATCGGCCTGGTATTCACATACTTTTGCGTGCCCGAAACTAAGGGCCGCACGCTGGAGGATATGGATCGCGTCTTTGGCGATGAAACCGCGTTGCAGGAGAAGGAAAGGCTGTTTGCCATTGCTGCCTCTCTGGGCTTGACGGCATCGATTCCGCCGGAGAAGACGGAGGCCATGACCGCTGAGGCTGAGGAATACGTCTAAATTTACGCGATGAACAAGAGAGTCGGAAGAAGGCTGGTGAATTAATGGTGTAATAATACGAATGTTCTATATAGGAATGTTTCTATTGTTTTCATGTGTTTTTACCTTTTATACCAAGTATTAAACGTTAGCTGCAAAACTCGACGGCAATTGCATTCAGTGTCTCCGTGACCTGCTTTATTGATTCCACGTCTGCATATTCCAGTTTCCCATGCAGCCCTTCTCCCTTTGGCCCCCAAAGTAGCGATGGAATACCAGCATCAGCCAGGAGCGCACAGTCTGTCCAGTAGGGTGCCCCCGATATGACTGGCTCCTCTCCCAATGTGATGCTTACGTGCTTTCGGACGAGCTGCGAGAAAGGATGGTCAAGGTCGGCCTTGAAGGGTGACCGGTCAAAGGTGGTCCGTAGACTGTATTTGAAGTTTGGGACCGTCTCAGCCAGGCCGTTGAGGATATTTTCTAGCTCCTTCCTTACCGTTTCTGGTGTCTCGCCGTTTACAGTCCGACGCTCGAGCTGGATCTGAGTAAATGCAGGGTAGGACGAGACTTCTTCGCCCCCGTTGATGATGGAAGCATGTATGCTCCCCGGCCCAAGAACGGAATCGCCGGTTTGTGCTGTCAGACTGGTTGCATGTCTATCCAGTTCGACGAGGAAATAACCTGCCTTGCAGATTGCATCGATACCAAGATCGTATCTCGAGCCGTGAGATGCCAGGCCATGAATGTCCACCTCAAACCATACAAAGCCTTTGTGTGCGTATAGGATATCCATGCTAGTCGGCTCGCTGACAATGGCGCCATCGGCCGTCCAACCTGCTTCCAGCACCTGCTGCGTACCGATACTCTCAAACTCCTCGTCTGCTACCCCTGTGAAAATCACGTCTCCCCTTAGGCCTTGCTGTTTTGCGTTGGCTAGGGTGACCATGGCGGCTGCGATGCCGCATTTCATATCAGCCGCTCCACGACCGTAGAGCTTGCCGTCTATGATGTCGCCGCTGAGGGGATCTCCCTCATACCCCACGAGTGTCACAGTGTCGATATGGCCGTTGAGCATAAGGCTCTTGCCACCACCCGATCCGCGCGCAACGCCTATTACAGAAGGCCGCCCCGGGGTTGGCTCGATCCAGTGAGTCTCAATGTCACGATGTTCCAGCCAAGCAGTGACGTACCGGGCGACTGCAGTCTCTCCAGGGCCAGGACTAGATCCCATGGAAGGATTGGCCGAGTTGATCCTGACCAAAGTCTGGGTCAACTCGACAGGGTCGTCGCTCGACACGTCGTAGGGAATGTCATAGTCTCTTGGGCCTTCTGTGCAAAACACAACCACAACCGAATCTTTGGTCAGGCCGAGCTTTTCTCTATCCTCAGGACTCAGCCTCCTGAGAGCAGCAATAGGTGCCGCACCGCAAGGTCCTGCAGATACGCCTTGAGAGATTAAATAGCCGCAAGCTTGATGAGCTTCAAAATCGGAAACAGTTAGGCTTGCATCCACTCCGTGGCGGAGAATGGGCCAGGAAATAGATGAAGGGGTCCCGCAATCCAACCCCGCCATAATGCTGGGTGTCTTTTCCGAGGTTGAGGAGGATTCACCCCTCCCAAGACTCTTCCAGAGACTGGCGGATGTATCAGGCTCGACCGTGAGGACGGTGGTTTGCTTTCCCGATTCCTTAAAGTGTGTCACTACAGCCTGGGCAAAAGAGCCCACACCAACGGGTACTACAACGAGGTCAGGGGTAGCAGCCCCCAGCTGGCCATCGATTTCCAACATCATGGTGAGGTAGCCATCCACAATCCACTACACGACACATTAGTAGGCTTTAATAGATAGGCAAGGATTAGTCTACATACCTGTGGGATTTGAACATAGTCACCGGAGGCATAGTCCTGAACCACAAGGGCGGTCTCGTCTTTGGCAGCTGCCACTCGTGCATCGACGACAGCAGCCTCGTAGAAGCCATCGGAAACGACAACATGAGCGCCCTCTGACTTTATACGATCGATGGCACAGCTATGCATGGAAACAGGTACGTGGATTTGCGAAGTGACGCCTAGGATGGATGCCATACGTGCAACGGCACGGCCATGGTTCCCATCCGTGGCTGCGTATAGACCGATTTTGGTGCTTTTCAATGCTTGCTTGACCGAGTCGAGAGAAGAATCGAGAGGAAGGCTAAGTCGCTGGGCGATGGCTCGAAACGTGCCCCACGAGGCCCCCAGAATCTTGAAGGAAGGGAGTCCAAGTCGACATGTCTCATCTTTAAGATGGACGGCACCGACGCCCAACTCCTCGGCGAGATGCTTGAGAGGGACCAAGTTTGTTTGCGAATAGGCCGGTAGTTGTGAATGGAAGCGATACGCCAGTTCTGGGCTATCTGTTAACGGCGTGGTCCATGATTTGGCTGCCGGATTGAAGTAGACAGGACGGCGAGTCATGACTGGGTCTTGTATAAGGTAGAGCAAGGGGCGGGATGGATGAGGTTGCGAACGTGATATCAAGGTACGCAGTGTGAGATGGACAAGAGAAGACGAGAGACGACAAACCAAGGCGAAAAACGACGGGATCTTATCTGGTATATGTAGCGTCAGGTATCTTGACTCGCTCCAGCTTGCGGCTTTGGCCTCGTGTCAACCATCTCCATTCATAGCCGGAACCAACTCCTATTTGCGCCGGCTTCAGCTCCAAGCGTGAGCCAATGGACGGCTCCCTTCGATGCTAGTGACGACAAGTCTGCAAGAAATACCGAAGATGGTAAAGGGGCAGGGGGTGAAGCTTGGCGAGTGAGTGGAAGAATCTCCGATGCACTGGAGCGTTTCTGCTTGTCCGGTTGGCCGCTATTCTTGTTGTCGATGTTTGTTTGCTGATGGATGCTGTGCTTTGGATGTCGTTTTTTCCCTCCCTTGTGCTGTAATCGTACATGTACCGGTACATGGGGTGGTGCGCTGATAACGTCGAGGGCCGCCCCTCTTTATGTGGAGGAGAAGGCGCATTGCCGCTGTACGATGCTGTAAGGCGCTGTAAGGCGCTGTAAAGAGACGTGTCTGCCCACTGTAAAACTGGGAACGGTGGGCTGAGATGCTACCCGGACGTCCGCGTGCGTGTACGTGTACATGTACATATACCTAACACGACGTGTACTTAGTATCAAATACATCTACACGCACCTCTCTGCTGTTTGCTGTCATCAGAAGGCGCTGCGGAAAAAGGCGTCCGCACTGCGGAAGATTAATTTGAAGCTTGATCACAAGTAAAAGTGCACTCAGACCACAATTGCCCCTCTTCAGATGTAGAAGAAGGCGTAAATAACCCCGTACAAGTCAAATGTACATGTAAGTACGCATGGATAGCATCATCACAATCACCAGATGCCCATGTACCTGGGCAGGTACCTGGGCAGGCACCTGGTCAGTTTTATCGGACCAGACATTGATCCATTCACAAGGCCTGTTTGTAAGCGCCGCTCGGCCGATTAGGCGCAACCACCCGCTGTAGATGCACCCGCCGCCAACGGCTCTAGAACCCCCAGGAGCCCTGAGGAAGCGCCTCTCAGTTGCTGTGGCCACCTGTATTCTAGCGCCGTACTTCGTACATGTCTGTAGGCGGAAGGCGCATTGGCCAGGTACCGTGCACGTGCTCCCCCACTTACCCGCGATACCGCACCCCCCAAAAAATGGAAAAAAGCGCCCTCCTGTTGTGACTAAAACAGATGCTGAACATTTTCACCATCCAAGCGTGCGCCTTCTCCGCCCTCCGCCAACAGCAATCCTGTGCTCGGACAGCAGCTGAAGGAGAAAAAAAAAAAGGGACCCCCGACGGAGGCCCCAACGGAAGACCCGCCAACAGGGACCGAGACGCCGAAGCTGGAAGCCCGTGGCTGGTTCTGCTGGCCCCGAGCAACGGTCAGAGGCACCGAAGCGCTGCGAAACAGTCGATCCATGTTGAATCGAGCAGACTAACGAGGGATTGGGCCGCTAGCCTGCAGGAGAAGGCCTGTACGAGTGGCAGATAGCAGCAGCAGTGACAGTCACACGAGGCTGCTGCACAAGATCCGGGCCGTGGAGCTGGTGAGACACTCGATTGGAAAAGTCCGAGACAGGCGTCGCTGAGGCCGGGCCGCGAGTCGTGAGACGGTGAGCGCTTACTAGTACGGTACGACGCGATCTTGGGCCATGGACGACGGCCTGTTCCTGGAGGACGAGCATCGGGGCAACGTCGGCAATCTCGCCATGGCGGGCGTCGGCTTGGAGATGGGCATGGAGATGGGCCAGATGGGCCAGATGGGGACGGGGACGGGGATGGGGATGGGGATTCCCATGGAGAACCAGCACCGCCTCATGCGCCAGCACCAGCCTCACGCCCAGCCTCACGCCGTCTCGCGCTCGCAATCCCTCCCTCACCCTCAACCAGAACCGCCGGCTCAGCAGCAATTCCCGTCCGAGCAGCACCAGCCGGCCTCAGACCAGCTCCCCCGCCAGCTGCAGACTCCCGTCCCCATGGACCAGTTTGGGCCGCCCTTCTTCTCCCCCTCGGACCCCTATGCCGGCAGCCCGTATGCGAGCCCGGCCGGTGGAGGCTCCAGCTTCCCCGAGTTCCAGTACGAGCTGGGGTCTGACCGCACCGACTCCGGCGTCTTCCCTGGCCCCGGCTCTCCCTTTGACGGTGCTGCTCCGCTGCCGCTTGCTCCGGGCCCTCTCAGTGATATCGGACACTTCTGGGCAACGGAGGCTCAGCCGCAGCAGCACCAGTCGCTGCAAGACAACGGCAGGACCCTCAACGCCATCGACGAGTTCTTCATCAAAAACGGCGCCCACCGGCCACCCGTGCCCTGCAACTACTGCAAACGCCTACGGCTCCAGTGCCTCATCCTCCAGACCACGGAGGCAAACCCAAACCCCGTCAGCTCTTGTTCCAGTTGCGTGGCCCTTTACCGTGACTGCAGCCTTGCTGAGCGAAGTAAGAGAGATGCCTCTGCCTATGAGACTGTTCTCCCCGTCATTGGCCATCTGCACGGTGTTTGTGAGGAGGTCGACGAAGCCACCACTCGTGAAGGGACAGCGCAATGGCGCATTGAGCGAGAGACTGCTCCAACCGCAACTCGATCATCGTCCGTCTCGCACAAGAGGAACAGCACTCGGTCCGTCAAGAAGACCCGGGTTCTGAGAAACTGGTTCGCCACTCATCAAGAACATCCATACCCGTCCGAAGACGAAAAATCCATGCTTTCCGAGCAGAGCGGCCTCAGCAAGACGCAGGTGATTAATTGGTTCGCCAATGCTAGGCGCCGCCATCGTCTGACCGCGCAGTCACACTTCAACAACAGCAGCAAAGTGTTTCTGCAAGGCTCTCCCATGCCGCAGACGTTCCTGTCTGGCATGTCACCAATGGAGCGCTGGAGGCATTCGCCCCCCAATGAGGAGCCGGTCTCGGTATCAGCCATCGAGAACGCCATTTCCAGCCATGTTGATGAGGGAGATGCTTACCTCTACACCTTTGACGGCAACTATGCCACCGATGGGGCCCCTTCCTCGGCCAGCAGCGAGTCGGCCATCTTCAACCAGCACCCCTCGGGCCGCTACGAGGGCTCATCCAACTCTGGATCGTCTGCCTTTTCCTTCTATCAATCTGACGACGCGGGCATCTTCTCCCTGTCGGCGCACAGCTCCATCCACGGGGGCGACAGCGATTTGATAGCCGCCTCATCCAATGCAAGGGCCGCTGTGGGAACGACAGCAGATCGTGCAAAGGCCCACATGTTTCAGTGCACCTTTTGCCGCCAGAGCTTCAAGAAGAAGTATGACTGGGTGCGCCATGAGAGATCCATTCACCTCCCTGGCCTCGACTCCTGGATATGCAAGGTTCCTCTGCCAGAGGAACAGTCACATCTTGTTTGGCGCGTCAACCACAGCGAGCCCGAATGCATATTTTGTGGTCAGGCGTCGCCGACGGAGGAGCATCTACAAGCTCACGAGTTCCAATCCTGCGCCGAGCGTCCCGTGTCAGAGCGAACGTTTACTCGCAAGGATCATTTATGGCAGCACCTGCACAAGTTCCATCGTTGCCGAAAGTGGGACGGGTGGAAGCCGAACCTCCACCTCTTGCAGCATCGCCAGGACAAGTACGAGAGCGTGTGCGGCTTCTGCCAGCTCAAGATGCATAGCTGGGACGAGAGGGTCCAGCATCTGGCATCGCACTTTCGCCGCGGCACCACCATGGTTGAGTGGACGGGGGCCGCAACCAGCATAAACGGAGATGGCACTCGGAAGATGCCGTCGAATAGGGCCCGTACTACCCCCCTGAGTGGCGATGAAGCGGATGTACCACTGGGACTATTTCCCTAGTATCAGAGATTCTGCCACTGCTGCTCATTTGGATTCATTTCAAGAGGTCGTTTGTGCTGCCTCAATTACGCATTCATACTCCATATAGATTTTGTACATACTTTTCAACTCAAACATTATAAATAGCTTTTGGCATATCGGTAGTTTCGTAGGATATATATACCCACTCATTAACAATTATCAATAAACATAAATGAAATCTTCATTCTGCAAGTCCGTCACGTCCTCAAACGCCTTATCCCCAACATTATCATCTCCCATGTTCAAAATCTCCTCGTCGTATTCATTATCGCCTCGCTTCCTATCCATCATGCTAAGATCCCGGATCACCTCCGACTTACCGAGCGCTCGCCGTCTCGCCGCCTGCCGCGTGTTAAGGACCTTGATCCAAAGCATACCCGCAACAATCAGGACTGCCAGCACCACGAATAGCGCAAGATTCGATCGCAAACCACGGTCGTAGCGTGGCTTCTCGCTGGGCTTGAAGAGCTGCGGGCCGATGATGTTGCCGACACTCGCTCCAACAAAGAGCATACCGGTGGTCACTTTACGCTTGGTATCGCCGGCAGTGTTCTGGCCTGACCAGGAGTAGATCAGAGGAGAAATGCCAGGGTAGACGGAGATGATGTAGTAGCCAACCAGGAGAACAGCTCGGTCGGATGGAGCTCGGCCGGTAACGAGAAGGACGACACAGCCGGCAATGGGGGGGAGGCAGAGGAACAAGAGAACGGCAGATTTCATGTGTATCTTGTCGGATACCCAAGCGCCACCAAGTGTGGCAATCATCTGGACTGCACCAAAGGGGATATTGAAGAGGATCGTGGTGAAGGAGCTGAAGCCAAAGGACTGGATGATGAGCGGACCAAAGGTAGAGATGCCGCCACTGGGAATTCTATTGCAATGTTAGCATTAGTAGCCGTTGTTGTTGGGTCTAGTGACAATTGTAATTAACTTACGAGATGGTAAGCATGAGACAGAACCAGAGCCACGTCTTTGGGTCCAGCATGGCTTCGCGAACATGCTCCCATTTCCAGACGCCGGAGCCGATGCCCATCTGGTTCATTCGCAGGCGTTCAATAGCAATAAGTTTCTCGTCTTCTTTGAGGAACTTTGCCGTCATGGGGGAATCGGGCATGAAAAGGCTGTGTATTTGTTAGAGATGTGTTCAGGTAAAGGAGAGTATTGTTCCACTTACTACATGACTATTGAAAAAGCAACAGTGATGCAGCCACAGAAGAGGAAGATAATTTGATAGGGTCGAAGGGTTGACTTGATGTGACCAAGACCATAAGTGAGGAGACTTCCGAGCTATATATTATCGTTAGAAGCAGTTCAGTTCACGTTGTAGACTCGCGGTGGCGGCTTTACCATGTTGACAACTCCCAGCATTGCATACCAGGAGGCGTTTCGAGTTGTCTGCTCTTTTCTGCGGTACCACATTTGTACGACTGCAATAAAAGTCGGGGCTATCAAACATCAGTTAGGAAATGTACTTTGACAATGAGCATCGCCACTCGGAGAAAGGAAAGATACTTACCAACTGAAGCCTCAAACGCTCCCAACAATAATCTCGCGGCCATCAGACCCCCAAAGTTCTTCGCAGCCGTCATGCCACACAACACCGCTCCCCAGCAAAACACCATGGTGGCGCAGAATCTGCCCACGGGCAACTTCACCAGGGCATAGGCCACCAGCGGCTGAAACACCAGCTGGGCCACATACACCACGGAGCCTAGCCATGAGAACTCCTGGCCCTCCAGGTGCGTGTCATCGATGAGGCCAAAGACTGACGCATAGGAAAGAGTCGTCTTGTCGAGCGACTGGAGACAGTAGACGAAGAGGATGATGGGGAGGAGGTGGAGGTCGATCTTGCGGAGGATACGGGCATTCTCGCTAGGAGTGACAATGATGGTAGCCTGGTTGGCTTGCTTCAGGAACTGAGCAGCTTTGTCTCTGCCCGTGACAGAAGAGTCGGCGTTTGGTTTCGGGACAGGGGTGATTTCGCTGGTGATGCTCTTGGGGTTGGAGTCACCTTGGTTCGTGCCGGTTTCAAGGTGAATGATATCTGGGTTGTCCTTTTGAGCTGCCATGATGATGTCTCTTACACGAACTGATCGACACAAGATGAGAACGACGATGTGGCCCAGACCACCATGCTTGACCGCTCCAGTTGCAGGCAATCATCTATGATATTTATAAACACCCACAACTCACCTGATTCTTCCCCGGTCTAACATGCAAAAGGGCTCGCATAAGCCGTGAAAGCGCCACGGAACCCCATGGGGCAAACATTCTGGTTGTAAGAGCAGAATGCGGGGAAGGAATCTTGTTGTTTGATAGGCTAGACGGACATGGCGAGTTTTCTCCGTCGGGTTTCAATCAACTTTCTCCGTTCTCGATTGCCCCTCAGCGGAGATTGTTCAGTTTTGCCCGGTTGCTGGATAGCCGAACCCATGTTCCGCAATCATGAAGCGACTATTAATGGAAAGAATAGAGCCTACAAAGGGTAATTGCAACGTATATTTTTGGTCTAGGAAATTGAAATGTGATCGGTAAATGGTAGACAAAGTGCTTTGTAGCCCGACAGGAATAAAGAAAAGACCGAAATCGGTCCTCATCCCCACGCAGCTTGATCCGCTCAATTGAGGGACCACCAGTGTCATGTCTTTATACATCCACGTGTAACATCGACATATAAATCAACTCCAGCGCCCTCCTCATCTTGGCTTTGTCCATTGTTAATTTCATCCCAATTTCTGTACTCCCTCTCTCTAATTGAGATTGTATTTTTAAATAAGAATCACCATTAAGCATCTCCAAGATGCCTCAACAAGAGCGCGTCCCGTCAAACTGGGCGGAGAACACAGCTTCTTCAGACAAGCTGCTGCAACTCGACTGTACGGATCCTCAACTTCCCTTTCAATTCACACTCGACGCTCTTCGATCCAATGTATTTCGTACAACCTTTACGTCTAAATCTCACCCTCTGCCACCTCACCCCAGTGTGCCTCTCTTAAAAAGGCAGATAGAGGCTGCATCTGTCAATGTTGACTCTACAAGCACTACAAAGCAGATCAAAATCGGCCCAATCACGGCTACTATTGACTGGACTGAGTCCTCACCACTCCTCTCCGTCTCTCTCGAAGGCAGCAAGAATGGGCCTCTTCACGAAGATTTGCCAAATCGCTCGTACGTTGTTGACGGCGAGGGCATTGCTCATTATTCGCGGTACAATAGAGATACCCTGTACGTCGGCCTGGGCGAAAAGGCGGCTCCCATGAACCTCGCTGGGAGAAAATTTGAGCTTTCGGCGACGGACAGTTTTGGCTATGACATTTACCGCACTGATCCGCTGTACAAAAACATCCCACTTCTCATCAATGCGACGCCGAGTGGCTGTCTGGCTCTGTTTTCGACTACTCATTCGAGAGGCTCGTATTCTATTGGGGCTGAGATGGACGGCATGTGGGGTCGCTACAAGGTGTTGAGACAAGACTACGGAGGATTGGAAGAGTACATTATCGTTGGGAAAACTCTCAGGGACATTGTTACGACTTATGCGGAGATCGCCGGCTATCCTCTTCTTGTGCCAAGATGGGCGTTTGGGTACCTCTCCGGTGGTATGAAGTACTCCATGCTCGATGACCCTCCAGCTTCCGAGGCGCTGCTTGATCTTGCGCGCAAGATGAAGGAGCAGGACATTCCATGCTCGGCGTACCAAATGTCATCTGGTTATACCGTGGCAGAGCAGCCGCCGAAAACACGCAACGTCTTCACCTGGAATCGCCATCGGTTTTCGGATCCAGAGGCCTTTATTAAGGAGTACCACAAGCTTGGCATGAGATTAATCGCCAACGTGAAGCCCTATGTTATTGCCACTCATCCAGAGTACGAGAAGCTTAAAGCTGCAAATGCCTTATTCGTCGACCCGCACACGAAAAAGACGGCGGTGACAAGACTATGGAGTGCTGGCGGAGGCGAGAGCGCTGAAGGTGGGCATATTGACTTCACCTCTGCTGCTGGATTTAAATGGTGGTACGAGGGCGTCAAGAAGCTCAGACAGGAAGGCATTGACTGCATCTGGAACGACAACAATGAGTACACGGTCACCGATGACGGCTGGATCTGCGCCCTTGACGAGCCTTCTCTCGATGTAAGGGACGAGGTCAAGGATAGGCCACAAATTGGTCTCTGGGGCCGAAGCCTGCACACTGAGCTTCATGGAAAAGCATCTCACGATGCCCTCGTCGACGTTGATCCAGATGTACGCCCGTTTGTTCTTACTCGAAGTGCGACCGCTGGCACTATGAGATATGCTTGTAGTTCATGGAGCGGAGATAACACCACCAGCTGGGCTAGCATGAAGGGTGCCAATGCTCTTGCACTCAACGCGGGCATGTCTTTAATGCAATGCTATGGCCACGATATCGGAGGATTCGAAGGCCCGCAGCCATCCCCTGAGCTACTTCTTCGATGGGTTCAGATTGGTACATACTCTCAGCGCTTCGCAATCAACTGCTTCAAGACGATCAATGAGAATCACGTCGGAGACGTCATCGAGCCGTGGATGTACCCGGAAATCACACACTTGGTTCGCAAAGCCATCAAGCGCAGATACGCCATGATCCCCTACATCTACTCATTGATGCTAGATAGTCATCAAACAGCTATTCCACCTCAGCGTTGGACTGGCTGGGGATACGAAGAAGATCCGGAAGTGTGGACGACACCAATTACAGAGGGTGAGACGCAATATTGGCTTGGCGACGCTCTACTGGTTGGCGGTGTATACGAGCCCGGCGCCACGCAGGCACGAGTCTATCTTCCCAAGGCTTCGGATGAGGACGAAGGCTACATCAATCTCAAAGCTCCCTATCAGTACTTGGAAGCAGGACAATGGGCTACGGTTGACGCAGAGTGGCACGGCGCAGGCATTCCAGTGCTTGCCAAGGTCGGAACAGCGATCCCAGTCGGAAGAGACGTGCAAGTACTGTCCCCAGGAGAAAAGGAAAATGTCGCCAATCTTCCTCTGGACGACTATCGCGCGATTGAAATCTTCCCTCCCCGTCAAGGATCTAGCTCGAAGCGCTATGAGACGGTGTGGTACGAAGACGACGGCGTATCTGCTGTTGCAAAGAACAAAATCTCCAAATACAGCATCGCATATTCGGTTAAAGGGTCAGAAATTGAGGTTCAATTTTCTAGAGATGAAACATCTGGGTATGTCGCGCCGTGGAAAACGCTGGTTGTTGTGCTGCCTCCTGGAGACGCAAGAGCAGTTCGTTCGACTGATGGCGTACAAATTCGCGATTTGGGCGTAGATGATGAGGGAAGGAAGAGATTTGAGCTTTGATAAACACGGGATATAAAAACAAGTCAATATATACATCATTACAAATAGACATTGATATTTTGTAAAGTCCTTCAGCTCTCAGCATCAGTTGGTAGCCACCCGAATAGGTCTTCGCCCCCATTAAGTGCCTCGACGAGTATGTCATCGAGCCAGGCAACGCCGATGGCAGACGAGGAGAAAAGCGTGAGGCCAGGGAAATCCCACTCAAAGATGAACTGCTCAGGGACAAACGAGTCCAACTCCATCCGATTTTGTGTACCATAGCCAGGCGTTCGTCGAGATGAAAAGCCCTCATCATTTGCAATGCTCAGGGCGGTATTGTGAGCTTCATGCGTGACGCTGCTGAATTTCTCAATCCCGGCCTGGAGAAGTTGTAGATATTGCTTCCCAGTATTACTCCGGCTTCCATTATGGTTACCACCGCTTGCTTCGCTCAGTTCGCTTAAGAGAATGTTTCCATGTGCTACAAGCTCTCTGCTAGAACGTCCCTTGCTCTCAGGTAGCAGAATAGAAAGTTTGAGAAGCAGTAAATAGCAAAATGCACATTTTGCCCAGACAAAGTCCATTGCAAATCGCAGGTTGCGGATATACAATCTTGGTTCCTCAATCATGATATCCAGGTGTTCCTCCAAAGCGTCCTTGGCCATGGCAACAACCGATTTTTGAGCAGGCGACATGAAGTCGACATTTTCCACGCCGGTTGCTCTTACAGCACGACATAGAGCCATGTTTTCAGCCCAACACTTTTGCACCCGAAGATTGACACTGAGCCAAGGTGCTTGAATGCTGTGCTTTTCGAAAATATGTGCCCAGTCGTCGAACCATATAGATATGTCAATGCGAGCTTCGCGGACGACATCCAGCATCTCTTCATCACCAAAGCCAACATGACTAGCCAGTGAATCGTAGATCCTACCACGAATCACGTTAAGTTCAACCTGGGAGAACAAAAATAGATCGAGTTCAGTTGCAGCTGAGCTTTTTAGAATAATTCGGCTTCTCCGTGAATCACCTACAAACTTAAAGGTTGGTAAATCAGAAGCATCGACGTGTAAGATGTGGCCCAAGACGAATAGATGGAGCCAAGTCCTGACTCTTCGCATCGAGATGATTGTATCTTCATCAGTGCCTGTCGAGGGTCTTCGTGTTGCCAGCACCGCAGACCGATTGATCATCTCGTCGTAGGACTCGGGGAAATTGAGATCAAGAGCCATGCGTGTTGCGGCTGCGACGAGAAGCGATCTCTCAGATGCATAGCATGAGCGGACCAGTAATGCTTGAATAGTCTCCAGCGAAGCCATAGCTGGCCTTGCTAGAGCGCAGTTTAGCATTCTCTTGACGTGAAAATCCAGCATGTGCCATTGTTGAGTGTCGGTTCCGGTCACAACGCGACAGCCAATTGTGCAAATGGCACTGAAAAGCAGACTGCTTCTTGCACGAATGCTCTGAAACGAGTCATATCGGGGATCAAAGACGGGCACAGAATGGTCGCATCCCTGAAAGAAGATGGAAAAGTACTGCTCGGCTTGCTCAATGCTAAGCAGCCCGGCGTCCACACAATCGGGTAATGTAACAGATGCAATCTCGAAATTGGATTTGGCTTGTTTGTTGGATAGCACGGTATCTGTCGGTGATTCTGTGTGTGATGGACGAATGAGGGCTAATTCATCAGAGTTGAACGGAGCTTCTGGAACAAAGGGGCCATGGTCCAAATTTGATGAAGCCTGTGAATTGACGCCCAGCTGCTGACCGAGATTTGTGTGGCTAGTCTCAATTTGAGAGCCGGTTTGTGTGGAAGAAGCTCTTCGAAGCTCGTCTTTTAGTGCTGTAACCTGTTCTTCAAGCTCCTCTATTCGACTATATGGTTGAGATGCGATGATTAGTGATGCAAGGATACATGTATGCACAGAGTAGTGTCGGCGAACTGATCAAGGATACGTACAGCTGATGGGCCTCTTTTGGAGGATCGATAAAGGCGCAGATCTTTTTCAGCTCGCAGCATCTGATGTAACCGTTAATCTGAGTTAAGGCACACGAGGTGTCACACCGTCTCCTCCTGTGGAAGTTGATGCAGCCGGAACAGCTTACCGCGAGCAAGGTCGTTTACCATCGCATTTAGCCTTGATCTAACTGTCAACTATCGTTTCCAAACACAAGCTATCAACTCCATGTAGGGTTCACCTTGGATCGACGACAGGCGTTACACGATTTCTGTTGGCCAACTGTCAGCAACGGACCATTCCGAGCAGATATCAACGTGACATGGCGGCGGGCCGAACGCCCCTCATGACAGCGACCTACGCCTATCTGCAGTGCTGATGCCAATACAAGTACGGATTTGCTTACCGGAATCCTCTTCTTGCGGATACGTGGGGTGTCTGAGTGCTTGGTCTCCATGGCCGTCTGTGGTGGGCGAATCGCGTCAAGCTGCTACAACGGTCGACCGATCTTATCCCATCCCATGGCGGCAGGGGAAACGGCTAATGAGAGAGATATGGATATGGATATTGATTGATGCAACATTAGGCAGATGAGGGCTGCTTGTCATCGCGATAAGGATATCGATGGCAATGGGAGCCGACGCGATGGGGCTCTGGCATGGGCCATGACCCGAGAAACGCAAAGTTCCGTTTCAATCAGGACGCCACGAGAGGAGGTTTAGATGAGTGGGGGGTTGGAGTTGACACTGTCGCACACGGATGACTAAAGATTGGATGCTTAGAATGCGATGTTTCATCGTTGCTATTCCTCCGTCCCAAAGTCCTGACATCAGTGGCAATTGGTTACTACGTATGTGTGTACAGTTACATCTCTCTCAGGACAATCATGAATCCGTCTCGTGTAAAACGTATCAAGCCGCTGGCAATTACAATCACATTACCAATTTGCAAAGCGCTCCCAGAATGATCCACCTTGACCCCAGACTTTGCAGCTTCCTATCCGAATTGCTACCTCAACCCCTGGTCGGCCAATGGTTTGCCGAACTAAGCTTATCAAGTGGTGGAAAATTCGTCAACTCGAGCTACTCCGCACCTTGTCTCTATCAATGGATCCACTGCGGCGAGTGAGGAGATAGAAACGGACAGCAGGCTGATCTGCACAAGAGATGGCATTGTGACTTGGCAGTCTGGGCATCGACAGTTGAGCCTCTCCGTGGCAGAGCTATAGCCACAGCTTCAGGAAGCACGTGTGTGAAGCTGCCGGTGATGCTGCACGCAGTGAGACTCCAAACACATCAATTGCCTCTTTGAGAAGATAACCGTTTCCCATACCAGACAAGGTCAGCCCATGCCGCCTGATATGCTTACTTGCATCGAGATTTCCGGTTAGAGCAAGTAAACGCAGTAAACAAGCTGGAAAATGGCCCCTGTCTTGGCTTGCCTTGCTTTCCCCGCTTCGTCAGGAACAAGCTGCTAGAATCTCTCAAGTTCAAGTCAGGGTGCAACCTCGCCTACTCAATCAGCAGCCGAGGCGTTCTGTGCTTTTCTAAGTTAGTAAGGTAACGTTGTATTAAGCCCTGACAATGCTCGACGCCTAAGAGCTTGTGGGATCGCCATCCATGTAGGACAAGGAACGGCGGACGGAAAATTGGTGGTACAGCAGCACGTACGAGCACGGCGAATTCAGTACGTATAGACGGCGCTTCTTTCTTGGAAGGTTTACTCGTATACGAGTAGTGCCAGTTACTGGGTCAGTTACCCAATAGCCCCCATGAGGAAAGAGGAATGGAAATGATTGCCCGTTTATTATAAAGGGGACCGAGGGCCCGGAACGCGACCCGGGAAACTCTGGACCCTGTGCAGACCCGGGAAGACGTTCAAGGCTACTCCAAAGCGCGGCCACGAAACATGATCGCCAACGCCGTCGCAGCCCTTCTGCTGGGCAGCGGCCTTGCCTCTGCAGCTGGCACTCCGTTGACGTCCAAAGCCGGTGACAAAGTCGCCATTCCAGACTGGGATATCAATTCCTCCTCAGCAGTGTCTAAGGACCTCAAGGGGCTGTCTACGCCTGGTGTCGACACCTCATCGTGGTATCACGCGGGGACGTCGAGATGCACGCTCATGGCTTGTCTTCTCAATGCCGGAATCTACAAGGATGAGGATCTGTGGTACTCGGACAACATGAACCACTTCAACTGGGGCCAGTTTTCGGTGCCCTGGATCTACCGCCATGAGTTTGCGCTCTCTCCCGCCAAGGGCAAGCATTTTATTCTGCAAACGAACGGCATTACATCCAAAGCCGATCTCTTTTTCAACGGCAAGCAAATTGCCGACTCCGAATACCAGGCTGGTGCCTACGCCGGCCGCACCTACGACATCACGAGCCTCGCCGCCAAGGACAACGCCTTTGTCGTCCAAGTCTACCCAACAGACTATCTGTACGACTTCGCCCTTGGATACGTTGACTGGAATCCGTACCCCGCTGATAACGGATCCGGAATCTGGCGTGATATCACGGTCAAAGAGACCGGTTCTGTTTCCATGGGCCCCATCAGTGTCGTTGTCGACATTGACGACCCAGTTGAGAGCAGCCCTGCCAAGGTTACCATCCGTGCGGAAGCCCAGAACCTGGAGAACACTGCAGTTGTTTTTGACGCCGAAGCCGTTGTAACTGGCAACTCATGCTCTGGAGGGCCCCTGAAGCAGACGGTGAAGCTTGCCCCTGGTGAGAAGAAGCTTGTTCAGTTCACGAAGACGATTAAGAACCCAAAGATCTGGTGGCCCAAGCAATGGGGTGACCAGCCTCTGTATAACGCCAAGGTCACCTTCTCCGTCAACAAGGCTGTTTCAGACACAGCTCAGACCAACTTCGGCGTCCGCAAAGTTACTTCTTTTGTCAACCAGTACAACGACACTCAGTACAGCGTCAACGGCCATCCCTTCCAAGTCAACGGCGGTGGTTATGGCGCTGACATGTTCCTGCGATGGGATGGCGACCGTTTCACACGCATTGTCGAGTATATGCTGGACATGCACCAGAACACCATCCGTCTCGAGGGCAAGTTGGAACACCCAGAGCTGTACGAGATTTGCGACAAGTACGGATTGATGGTCATGCCCGGCTGGGAATGCTGTGACAAGTGGGAGGCTTGGGCTTACAACGATGAACTCGCCATCTTCCCGCCCCCTGTCTGGGACGACAACGACTACCAGACCGCCAACTATAGCATAATTCACGAGGCTTCCATGCTTCAGCCGCACCCCAGCGTGTTGACATTCCTCGTGGGAAGTGACTTCTGGCCTAATGACGAGGCAACTGAGCTCTATGTCAACGCCTTGAAGAATGCTGGCTGGCAGACTCCCATCATTGCCTCTGCTGCCAAGCGCGGTTACCCGGCCCTTATCGGTCCTGGTGGCATGAAGATGGACGGCCCCTACGATTGGGTGCCGCCCAACTACTGGTACGACACTGAGCCTTCTGAGGACCGCCTGGGTGCTGCCTTTGGCTTCGGCTCCGAGTTGGGATCTGGCGTTGGTACCCCCGAGCTGGGTTCCCTCAAGAGATTCCTCACTCAGGCCGATCTAGATGACCTGTGGAAGAATCCTAACAAGAACCTCTTCCACATGTCCACCAACGTGTCTTCATTCTATAACCGAAAGATTTACAACCAAGGTCTGTTCAAGCGTTACGGCGCTCCCACCTCCCTAGACGACTATCTCCTCAAGGCCCAGATGATGGACTACGAAGCAACCCGAGCTCAGTACGAGGGCTTTGGTGCTCTGTGGACTGCTAGCCGCCCGGCAACCGGTAACATCTACTGGATGCTCAACAACGCTTGGCCAAGTCTTCACTGGAACCAGTTTGATTACTACCTGCACCCTGCCGGCTCTTATTTCGGCACCAAGGTTGGCTCCCGGTTCGAGCACGTTGCGTACAACTACCAGAAGAAGGAAATTTGGGTCATCAACCACTCACTTGACCAGACGGGTGCCCGCAAGGTCGACATTGAGCTCATCGACACGAACGGCAAGCAGATCGCCAAGCAGTCTGTTAACACCAACACCAAGGCCAACTCGGGTTTCAAGGTCGCCGACATCTCCAGCCAGGTCAACAAGCTGGCAAGCGTTGCTTTCCTGCGCCTGGTTCTCTCCGACAGCAAGGGCAATGTTCTGAGCCGCAACGTTTACTGGATCACCAATTCCATCGATAAGCTCGACTGGGATGGCTCAACCTGGTACTACACTCAAGTCACCAGCTTTGTCGACTATACTCCTCTCGCCAAGCTGTCTACCGCTCAGGTCTCTGTGACGACCGGCAGCACCAGGCATGCGGCTGGCGTTCCGGGAACACAGACTCGCACAGTCACGCTTGAAAACAAGTCTTCTGTACCTGCTGTCTTCATCCGCTTAACTCTTGTGGATAAGAGAGGCAACGACGTAAACCCCGTTTCGTGGTCCGACAATTACGTGACTCTGTGGCCGAAGGAGAAGCTGCAGCTTGAGGTAGGAGGATGGGATGCAAGCGGTGACAGCATCCAGGTCAGTGGCAGGAATATCAAGGCTACCACTGTTAAGCTGTAGCTGTAGTAAGGCGTACGCTGCATCACCTTTTTATAATTAACGAATAATTAATAATGAAATTATGTTTAAACTCTTATTCTTATTTCTTCATCTTCTCTGATCAGTCGTAAAGTCGTACATCTCTCCATATCAAAAAGTAATGAATGCTTCATGCTATTTTACATTACAAGCTTCTGCCCATGCATCGTTATCTTCTTACAGGCTTGAGCAGCCTATCTTATCATAATCATTAAACAAACTTATACGAGGTATCGGAATCCCTTTCTCATCCTGAGGGCCTCGTCCAAATCTTCCATCTCGGCCTGTGCCGTCTTCTCGGTAACATCTGGTCTGGCCTCCCAAGCCGCCTCGCCGGCCTCGAGCTTCTTGTTCAGGTTGTTCAGGATCATCTTGAACACGAAGTTGCCGGCAATTGTGACACCGAACATGGCCAAAACGATGCCGTAGCTCTTGCGATATCCGTTCTCGGTCAGAGCCCAGACGTAAGAGCCAGCCACGTTACCCAGCTGACTGAAGGCGTTAACCATGGCAATGGCAACGGCACGCTTGGCGGGGGGGCGGGGGAAGGAGGAGCTAATCCAACTGTAGAAGACAATGAAGCCGGCATATGAGCCAGCTTGCAGGAACAGGGCGACGTAGCGGGCAGCGACGTTGAGGGTGGACATGGAGATGACGAAACCAACGATTCCCATGAGAATGGGACCGGTGATGTGCCAGAACTAGGGTAATATGAGTCAGTTTCTGACGGCGCCCGATTATTTGTAAATATATGGAAAAGTGGCGGTAACTCACCTTTTCTTGCGTGCGATCGGCGTTCCAAGAAACAGCGAGGGAGATGAGACAAGCAAACACCCAAGGAGGAGAGCTCATGAGGAGAGTGGGAACATAGGCAAAGCCAAGGGTTCCGGTCAGAGAGGGCTGATCGACTCGTTAGTTGAAAGCTATTTCAAGGGGGTTTGAATACTTGGTAGTAGGGAGAACTTACGAAGAAGGCATTGAATGACAGACCAACGACATAGGCCGTCAGTGTGAGCATCATGATGTAAACCTTGACGTCCTTGGCGCACATGATGAGACCATCAAACACTCCCTGCTCCTTGGAGTCCATATCCGCCTCACCAACATCCTCAAGCATACGCAACTGAGCCACCTGCCTCTCCTCTTCAGTGAAGCCGCGAGCGTTGGTAGGCAGATCAGGCAGGATGAAGCCTGCCGAGACTGCGATGGTCATGGTAGCAGCTCCTTCAATGAAGAACAGCCATCTCCATGCGGCGTGACCCAAGACGCCCTGCATGTTTGACAGCACTCCAGCGGCCACCAGCGAAGAGAAGGCGTTGGAGATGAGATTGCCGCAGAAGAGGAGGGCATTGCGGGTGGTGAGTTCGCGGCGCGTGTACCACTTGGACAGGATGAGCAGAGCACCTGGCAAGAAGGCGGCCTCGACGAAGCCCAGGAAGAATCGAATGACAACCATGTCTTTGAAATCATTGGCAAGGCCAGACAGAGTGGAGATGAGACCCCAGAGAGTCATGGCACAGCCGATGTAGATGGACGGACGGGTGATGCGGTTGATGAACATGTTGGACGGGACCTGCATGAGAATGTACCCGACGTACAGAATACTGAGACATGTCGCATACTGGGTGTCGGTGAGGTTGAGGTCTTTTTGCAAACCCTTGAGACGCGCCGCACCAATGTTGTTGCGATCCAAGTAGTTCATGATGTAGATGAGAATGAAGAGCGAACAGCGCGCATCAAGCTTGCGCTTGAGGCTCTTCTCAACCTCGGCTCGCCGCACCGGATCCATGGCCGCAGCTGGATGAGGCTTCGGGGCATCGTTCGTGAGGGCATGCTCGAGATTCTCAACTCTCTGCTTCTCGGCTTCGAGAGCCAGGTCATTGGACCGTGAGATGTCGTCAGTCATTGTGAAAAGGGAGAAAGGCTATTGACGAGCTGGAAAAGAAGCAAAGGCTGTCCACACAACACCTCAAAAAGACGATTCCAGGACGAGGACCACCAGAGGAGGTCTAGCAACTGGAGTACCGAGGGCAGAGCTTTTATATAATGCACAAATTCAGAAATTGGGTAGCACTGAGACACCCAACGGATAAGCGTCACATGGTCGTGGCGAACAAGGGGGATAATAACCCGAACAGTGGTAGCAGCGTTGTATTTGATCCAGTCCCCGGAGTCTCCCCGCCATTAACCCAGATACATCCATCCTTTGTTCAGCTTACCCGTCAATGCTCCCCCAACTTTCCCCGGCGGTATGGAGGTATGGAGATATGGAGAACGAGATCCCCGTTTCCAGGCAGCCTAGATCAGCGTAGACCAGCCACAAGAGGAACACCCCCGGCTTGCCTTGCCTTGTGAGCAGTGATTGACGGGACGCATGATGCTGGTGGAGTCAGTTCGAGGATCCTGAGTCAAACTCGCCGGTAATTGGCGGCGTTTGAAGATTTGGACAGAGTTGATGGGGTTGGCTAGCGAGAAAAGAATTTTCTTCTTCTTGACCTTAATTTCTTATTACGTATCTACACAGGTATAGCTCAATTTGAACGACTCGTGGTTTCAAACGCCGGCCTTGAGACTACATGTACATGAAAACTCCCGATGGCCAAGGCTGCGCGCTATGGGAAAAAATCTCCTGAGGACGGGAATAACGCCACTATGGGCGGCATTTTTTTCTCCAAGCCAGCCACAGCACAAGAGCCGTCGCCTATGTGGAGTTGTTCTGCTCTTGTTTTTCTAGGCCTTCTAGACTGTCGATCCCCTGGTCGCTTTCTCTTGTGGCGTTGAGAAGCGGGGAGGAACACGAGAGAGAACGAAAGCAAGTTGGAGAACTGGATGAGCATCATGCATGGTCATACACCGACGCCATGTGTTTCTGGAGCGGCAGCTTGGCAGCCTTCAAGTCCACGTTTAAAGCCGGTCTCCTCCGACGATCATTTTACGTCTAATTCTCCGTCCACGTTTCTCATGAACCTTGAGTGAACTACAAGTATCAACCTGCTTCATGATAGCAGCCATCTCGTCGTCTGGTCTTCTACCAGTACTTGTACAGTAACACTGACTCGGCAAATGCCCATCCGCGTGCCATCGGTTTAGCGACCAGCGAGGCGTCGGACCATATCCTCAAGCCAAGCCAACATGATTGGTGGTGAACCCGCCGCCCCTGGTCTGCTTGGGCAAACTTGCTAACCCCCCACGCTCACTCTAGGCCAAGAATCCCTGACCGGAAGAGCGAACCAAAGCCGGGGATTCGATTCCTAGCTTGGCCGGCACGCCGGCACTGGCGTCATGGTCACTATTTCGCCGATGGAATGCCGTCAATGGAGCCCGTTTGTTTCTGTGTGTGTGTCCGACGGTTTTTCAGAAATAGAGACAAAACAAAACAGAGTGATTGGGCTCTCCGCAATTTCTCTATTTAGGCTAATATACGAGGCTCAATGTCTCCACTGAATTGGGTGAAATATCACCAGATGCATAGTCACAATCGTCAACTTTTTACAAAGTGCTGGCCTGCTTAAATATTATTTATTGGCCAGTGCTCCGTAAGCAGCTGAAAACATGCCATCCAACTGACTCGGATGCGATGGGTGAAGATTTTTTTCTGGTGATGCCTGGAGGGGATTTAGGCGAAGAGCCAGAGACTTTTGTTTCCTATTACTGAACAGACATTTCGGCACGACTCTCCGTATTATGTGAAACCGTGGTTGGCTCTGGCGTATTCCCGACCTTGTAGATATCGTTTCTGCTTCTACGGTACTCGTCCTCGTACGCATGTCTTGGGGTCTCCGAATGTTCAATACGTGTAGTAGCAGGAAACGGTACATGTACTCCGAATCTACGGCTGCCGGGTGGCTTAGGCTAGCCACCATCATCCGTATCTCTAGAGCAAATATCATTCTCTACCCGGAAGGATGAATGCGCATATGCCTCACATGTACAAACTAGCGTGTACATAGTTAGTTTCAAGCGGATATACCCATGTTAGGATGTTCTGTTTTTCCTCAGCCTTTGCATTGTCCACCGCTGAGGCAGATGTAAATAGCGTCATACTTCAGGTAAGACTATAAAGGTGCAGCGCTTTCTCCGAGAATAATGGCAAGCGGAAGTCAGAAAAAGCAAGGCCTCAAAACAAAAAGTGCACCTCATACATTCGGCAACAGAGGCACCCAATTAGCTTATTGAGTAGCGCTCATGTTGAAGAATGTCTGTTCAGCCAGTGCCCGAATTTTGTAAAATAAATATAGTGGCAGTTACTATAAAAATATAAGTATACCCCTGGCTACTAGGGATTACTAAAGAAATTTAAATATAGTAGCAAATATTACAGAAAATATAACTATAATGGCAGATTAGGTATCTAAAGAACAGGCGTATAATTTAACCAAGCCTCGCGCGAGCCGTTATTTGACGAAGTCGTGCTCATTTTCGTACTTTATCATGCTGTGTTGCGCTTCCAGTGCAAAGTCAAGCCTGGCGAACTGGGAGATCCAACCCAACAAGGTACATTTGAGATTTCGATCAACAACTGGAATTCCGGTCGCGATCCAACACGCCACTCGGCCTGTGGCTCCTTGGATGAACAGTGACATTATCTTATGCCGGCTTTGAAACCGTGTCGAAGCACGTTAACTTTATTTTTGACCATATTGAGGTGATGATTGTCTTCGTGAAGGTTTCTAGGGCACACAATTCAGCGTGGCTTCCACCACAAATCGGGCACACATTTCCCCCACATTTGGCTGAAGATAAGGTTCCTAGCTGTCTTCAGATGAAATGCCTATCTGCGCATCAAAAAAGTTAATCGCCCCATGAAATATGAAGACCACCTCCAATTTGCTAAAGGAACATGCAGGTTATTTGCCCAACGCTGCCTCATCCTACGTAAGATACGTTTATTCGGAACCACACAAGCACCATTGCTGTAGAACCTAACAATGGAGAATCTAGAAACACTGCAACTCGTGGCAAAATCCGAAGTCAAGGTGCGGAGTTTTCTGGAGTCGGTTACTCACCTCGTGCCTGGCAGAGATCGTGACGAAAAACTCAGCTTCATAAAAAATGTTGTCTGTCAACGTCACTGGAAGCGGGACTTCGAATGGAGTCAAGAGCGCATGTACCCATACGGCGAGTTCGGCCTCAGAAACAGAAATTGCTTTTTTCTGATTGATCACCACGGCCATGATCACACAGTTCAAGAGGAAAAAGTACCAATTATATGGTATAAGTGGACGGGAGAGTCCCTGTAAGTCGAATCTCTCAAATCATCTAATCTCACCCTCGGCCCCAGCTGATAAAGCTCCCAGTGTTGAGATGAACGATAATTTCCCTCTCTGGGTACAAGAAGAACTCAAGAAATGGCCATTCACATGGGAAGGACGGAAGTTCCATCGGGTGCCCAAAGGACCAGATGGAAAATATGAACCAAAAGTCCAACGCCAAATTATCAAGTCCTGGCTCCACCAAGGTATACCCATCGTTGGAAGGCACATCGAATTCCTAAGAGAGCATCCAGAACATGCACTGTGGCTGAAGGCTCATTTAGATCGTGAATTGTGGGCTCAAATCGAGCCGTTGTGTGAACTCCCGGAAGAAGAAGAGTAAAGAATGATGTGGGCTTTATTACACGGTTGGATGAGACATGATAATGATCGTCATCGGGGAAAAAGTTGATCTCGTTTCTAGAACAAGACAGAAATTGACACGCCCTCATAATCAGTGACACAACTTGACATCGAATCGTGAACTTCACTAGGGGTGTCGCCTTGTACTCTGTAAAACGTGGCCAAATGCGAACTAAGAAAACGTGCATGTAAGGGGCATTTCCACATTGTTGGGGAAAGCAAATGTCAGACCGCTCCGTAGGAAGCGCTTCTTTGCAAATGGAAGCCTTCTTCTTGTGAGACTCTTTAATTCATTTTGAATGGGGGTCTTCTTAAATGGGGGTTTTGTATACGTTATACTGTCAACGCTAGTAGATCTTGCGATATTACTTGTACTTCGTTCTGCTATCATTATCATACAGAAGAGACTTCCTGGGTTTCTCACTTAGGCGTCTATTCACATCACAACGCGAATGACATAGCCTTGACGGGGAAGTGTCATCCACATTAAAAGTTAGCCCGCGGATACGTCTCAATAAGCGCAATTGCCGACATGCAATAGCCGACGGACGGTTACCGAACGCGACCCGCAACAGAAATGCGGAGTAGCCCAGAGACGAAACTGGGCTGTTGTTTCGGTCGAATGGCAAACGTCAAGGATACCGCGGTCAGTATCTCGCTGTTGATTAACATGATGTTTAAGGGTCCAATGTAGTTTCGTCGTACAAGAAGAGGATTATGTCTAACTTGTCTCTGATTCCAAGAGCCGTAACAACCCGAAAAGGTTTGTGTTGCAGACTCTTCGTAGGCGGCTCGGGCTTTGTCGACTGCAGCCACGAATCCATCGCAACGGATGCGTGACATGAGACCAGCTGCAAAGGCCAGTACGGTGTATTTCTGGACAATGCTAGAGCACTCTAGCATCACAAGTAGACTGTTTACATCCTGATATCATGCATTCTGACTTAGGAGGATTATCAGACTACCTATGGGTACATAATTAAAGAGAACCTTGTGGATCGCTAATGCCGCTATATATGCTAATACTCTGTCTCTTCGCACCTCATCTTCAATCCCGCTGATCGCCTACTGTAGCCTACCCGATTTGGCAACACCAACTGATCCTCCGTACCTTGGAGAAGCGATATGGCTGTAGGTGCATCCGTAAGGAAATAGTTTTTTCAAGCAATAGTTTTTAAAGACATTTGAACGGAATGGTTCCGATAAGTCAGACTGCGATTTTTTAACACGATTTCACCACGCGTCACGCCTATCCCACCACCGGAAACTAAAGTGGGATATTGTCAACTAACCAGCTGATGAGGATGAAACGATCCGTAATGATGGCGCAGAGCATTGAGAATCAAACTTTGTAAGCATCAGAAATCGTTTATTACTAAATAGTTCTTGTACATCATTTACAAGCAGGAGAAACGCCTCGGATCTAAATTCCAAACTCCAGTAATACAACTGCTGGTGAAGATGCGCAACCCGATACGTCCGTGGTGGGGCTGATCAATGGAATCATCAGCTTCATTTACGCATGTCCCTTCACAAGGAGTCCTTGAAATTACAAATCAATTCATTCTTCTCTTTATTGAAGCTTTGCTTCAAATAAGCGACGTTTGTCGATTGCGACTCTTTGCTTCTATAAGTTATAACCAAGAGTTATAACAACCATCGAAATAGTTGAGCTGATAAACACCGACAATATCCGCCCACTCGGTTTACGAAGTGCTCCGACGTATTACAGCACGCCATCTACTCCTCATAGCAATCTAATAGCGCCAAACTCAGCCTCGTTAATCCGTCTTCATTATCCACGTTCTTCAACCTCTACTTCCTATCAATTGACAATGGCAAACCCCCTCAAGTACACCTATCCTTCTCCACTGACCGGGTTTGAGAATGCCCCGCCGTTGTCAGAGGAGAAAAATGAAGATGGAAAGAGCTTTGTCAATCCTCAGCGCGAGAGCCTGAGCGAGGCCTACACCAAGTTCACTGAACCACTGGATAACGGACGAAGAGGTGGCTTGTAAGTCAATTGTCTCATTGAACTCTCTTCACCGTCCGCGATGTGCACGTGTTCCATTATAACGGACACTAACCTGTGATGAACAAGTGACATACATATCTACTATTTCCAACAGAGCAAGGAGCAAACTAAATATGCGCGCGAGCTGTGGGAACGTATCCGACGCGAGTGTAAGTACATATAGTTAACCCCCACGAGTCCTAAGAATATACTAATTGCATTTGGCATGGAAAGTCCCGGAGCTGAGAGTCTACACTTTTTGGGACCGGCCAATCGGACCACACCCGGTCGCCATGTTCGAAGTAAACGTCTTCAATCCAGCACAATTCGGAGCTTTTGTGTCTTGGCTAGCCGTCTGGCGGGGTCCCCTTTCTGCTCTGATCCATCCCAACACAATTCCTGAGGAGGGAGTGTCGGCAGCTGAGTCTGGATATCGTGACCATTCTCAGCGTGCCATTTGGATGGGTGAGAGGGTGCCTCTGGATTATAGTATATTTGCTCGCTCGTCTTAGGCATGCAGCTGGTTTTCACTCCGGCCCTCTACTATGAGAGGCTACTTTGTGCGAGGTATCGTTGTTATAACCCATTTACTTGCGATACGGCCTTGTTCATTACGCATGTCATGTTTGGATTAAATAGTATAGTAGTTTTTGATAATCTATATCATTCACCCCCAAAGATTACATCAGAGTTTGCTATCAGTCCACTTAGGATTTCTCTTCTCAACAAAGGACTTCAAACCCTCTTTGATGTTATCTCCAGCCAGTAACTTGTGATGCCAGAGGCTGTTACTGATACGAGTCCCTTCATCAGCGCCCACTCCTTCCCACCCCCAGTTGATTCCCTGACGAGTCACAATAACAGAATCGGGACTATTCTCAGCAATCACTTTCGCCCACTCTAGAGCTTCATCCACGACATTCCGACCTTCGGGACAGACTACGTTGACGAGTGCCCACTCCTTGGCTTCCTGGGCTGGAAGCACTCGTCCTGTCAACATCAGTTCCATGGCGCGCTGCTTTCCTATCGTACGGACTAAACGTGGCATGGCTCCTGCAAACGGAGCTACGCCACGCTTCACCTCGGGAAAGCAAAACTTTGCGGCAGCACTCGCAATGACGAGGTCACAGTTGACCGTCGCCTCGAAGCCTCCCCCGTATGCGATGCCGTTGACCGCAGCTATCACCGGCTTTTTGCCCGTGCGACGAGAGAGGCCGGCAAACCCGGAGGGCGGCATTTCTCCGAAACTACCACCTGATCCAACTTCGCTATTCCACGCTTTTAAACATTTCATTGTTAGACATCGCAACATCAGCTTGTTGGGTCGAGTTCATGCATACCTTTCAGATCAGCCCCCGCCGAGAAAGTGCGCCCTTCTCCAGTCACAATGGCGACCCATAACGATGGTTCTTCATCAAACCAGTCAAAGAGCGAGGCGAGCTCCCAACTGCCCGAAATATCAATAGCATTGAGAGCCTTGGGTCGCGAAATCGTAACGAGAAGCACACGAGGAGCCGGGAACGATATTTTGGCGATTTTGATTTCCGGGGGAGGACGAGCAAACTTGGGTGAAGACATGGTGAGATTGATATGTGTCTATACCGGCTTTAAGGAGCAGGAGTCAATTTGGATCTGTATATGGCCATATTCGAAAGAGTGATACTGGCAAGCAAACCACTTGATACTTATGAGTTGAAAGCGGTGGTCGGTAACCCCAAGCAGCCGGTTTAGTAATACATACCAAGGGGTGCCCAACCTAGGCACGGAGGTGAGATACCCCAGATCCTGATGACTGAGCGAATGAAGCCGCAGATATTGCCGTAAACTCGGTCTAGCGAACCGAGAAGCCGACCCCGCATTCTCATCCCTGCTTCAGCTGCTATGAGCAAGGCAGACAGTAGACAAAAGCGCAGACATGTATATAAATACAGTATGCATTAGTATTTTCGTTTATATGGAAATCCATGCGTGCTTGCTAAAACCTAGATTCATAGATGCTTTAAAACGCTATCAGCCTACCAATCTACCCTTTGACAGTGAGATTTGACCGACTGTGATCGATTGGTAGGTAGAAAAGTTTGGCTCGGTAAAACTTATTGATATACCTAGGTAAAACAAGAATGATTCCGCGGACTTTGATGGAAGAATAAAGACGAGTTATTACGACGAAGTAAGCCCTAGCTGAGGCGACAGTCGTGCTCCATGGAGAACGAGACCGTAGCGGCCAGATCAAATGGTTCCTTGACTTGTTCTCGCGCCGTGGTTCCTATAGCGACCAGACAAGCCAAGTCTATCGTGTTGTGTTTGGTGTTTGCCGAGCCGGTTCAAAGGTGCGTACGTGGTGCTCTGCCCACTCTCACTTTCAACTTGCGACATGAGTCGTAACACCATTCTTCTAGGTCCGGTAATAGTGGCGGTATTATCTATTTGCTCTATTAAATCATGGCCATACAGTCTCGTCAATGCGGTATACTAGCTTCTCTCCACTGACTTTTCCCTCCTTCATCTCCTTCATCCCAGCAATGGCGCCAAGCAATCCATCCGGCCCTACACGCTCTGGGTGTGGCTTCCATTTACCTTCCGACCAGAGCTTCTCTGCAATACCAAGAAACTCTTTGCCAAAAGCATAGTAGGTCGGTTCTGCCGGCCATCTCTCGCCTTCAAATATATAGCTCTCGCCTGAGACACTGTAGCCCAGGAAGAAGATGGACCCGACGTTTAGTCGAGGGATTTCGATGCCAAGTAAATTGACATAAGTGCCCCCCTCTGTGCTGATTGCGTCGGCACAGATAGCCGCTGTTGATTCGATAGCGACCGTGTCAAGGACTTGCGTCAGTTGGTTTTGAGTATCAGCCCGGACTTGTTCCCCGACCTTCGGATTATGCTGCTGGGTGTTAGAAGATGCTGGAATTTTAATGCAATGAGCAGCTTGAGAAAGCAAAGGAGAGATGTCTCATACGTAGTCATAGACAACATCGGCGCCACGGTCTGTGACGAGTTTCGAGTTTTTAGTCGAGCAAGTCGTGAGTACTTTTCTTCCAGATCTATCGACACAACCACTTAGCAGCGCTCTGAGAACCGATCAAGAAGTACCACTTACAACTTTGCGAATTGAATAGCAATAGTGCCGGTGGCTGTACTTCCTCCATAGATGAAGATTGGAGCAGCACTCTTGCTTTCCGGTTTTGGCTTCTCATCTGTGCCAGGCAGAGGCAATTTCAGAAAGTGGTATAACGCCAATCCCACAGTACAAAGTGCAACTCCTACAGTTGCTGCCTGTTCCCAAGTCACGGCATCAGGTATGCGTACAACGAGGTCACCCTTGTTGATGATGTACCGGGCGAATGCTCCGGTCTCTGGGTTGGCGTCGTTACCTATGATGTGTGAGTTTATATGGCTCAAATCACTCTTTATGTTAAACAACAGAATTGCGACACGAGGTAATGTATACGCGCTCGGTCGACTTACCTCCATGAGCGCATCCCGCAACGCGATCGCCTATTCGAAGCTCTTTGGTGACAGCTGGGCCTATCTTTTCCACGATGCCCGCCCAATCACACCCAACAAGTGTGCCGTTATCGCCAGTAGCCTCGAGAGTCGTCCAGTCAGTTGGATTAATGGCGACAGTGACTACTCTAATCAATACATAGTCATCCGGTAGCCGTGGAAGAGGAAGAGGCTGTAGTACTGCGTGACCAGCACTCTTCCTAACTAAACCATAGTTTTGAATGCCGTCAGCCATGATGCATAGATCATAAAACTACCATAAAGAGAAGTAAGAGCGATATGTGTAAGAACTTATAGAGCTCTTCAAAATAGCTAGTATTAGGTTTTAGTACTAAAACAACGGGTGACTGGAAGATGGTTCAACAGATAGCTTATAAATCAAGCGAATTGCGCGATGGTGCTTCTGCTTTCATCTGCAGTTTATTAAACCGTTTGGGTTAAGCTTCCCTCCTATTACTGGTATGGTGCTTTTTGGGTGCATGCTACAACCTGAATCCTACGTCCATACCTTTATACGAAATACGAAGTAAGAGCAGAACTGAAGGACTAACTGAGAACCTAAGCATTAGTACCGGTTCCTAACATGGGGCACGTTCCTCAGGTACGAAAGACCCTTGGGCTAACAGATTCACAAGTTTATGTGCATGTTAGTAAAGAGAATAGGAAGCAGCATTAAGCAAAATAATTGCTAATATACTCCGTATACCTAATAATAACAAATGCAGCGCGTGTCTATTAGTTGTAGTTCTTCATTAGTCATGGCTATCGAGCTGCGAACTGAACAGCCACTCGGTCTTTAGCGGGTTGTAAGCTCGGCCGAAGGAAGTGAGACTCCACTTGCCATAAGACGATTGCAAGAGACCGCATCATCTACTGTATCTTCAGATACGTAGGTAGTTGGTCCAGCATTTTCCGATCATGGACATGCCTTTGAGGCGGCGAATCATGCGAGCTTGATGGAACGCCGTCCGTATTATTAACGAATCCTTTCACTCTTCAGTGCACGGGATACAAAACATGAAAGGGACTAAATCCGGGCAACTACGATTTTGAGAAAGCCGGAGATTACAAAGTACATAAAGAACCCAACCTGCATCAAACATGTGGCGATTGCCGGGCGAACAGCTAACCACTCGAAATAGCGACACTTCAGCATATATTTGCAACGTTGCCGTAACGGTCAGGAGCACCAGATTCACTGCTTTGTTCTTCAGCCTCAAACGCATTGTATTCAGCCTTGGAACTTGATCGTGACGACCAAATGCCCAACATCAGGCAAATCAAGGCGTGTAGTCGGTGCCGCCTCTTAAAGCTCCGCTGCGACAAGACCAGACCGTCGTGCGAGAGGTGTATCCGGGCCGGAACCATCTGTTCACTTCGGTTTGACAGTTCCGCACAAACAGAATCAGCGTCGAATCCTCCTACCGCAGAGCGCATCGCGCGTTCGGGTTCCGATCAGTCGCCATCTCCAAGTGACAGATCCGCGCCCTCATCCGACACCGTCACCACCGAGAGAGCTCAGGGCTCAAAAACAGTGAGGAAACGGCAGCGCGCGCATCTCTCCTGCACACGGTGTCATCGCCTCAAGGTCGGATGTGACAAACAATTGCCTTGTTCACGATGCCGTCGTTCCGGCTGGGGTCGGCAATGCACATATACTCATCGAGTCGAGAATGACTCGTCAGCATCAATGAGCGATACAGCACCCGACATTGGCTTTGTAGAGTCGAGCGAAGATCCCAGAAGCATCTACACGTCATGGCACACGCGACGTCGAGGCACGACCCATTGGAAAGCACTTGTACTACGCGTAAGTAAGAATCGTTGATACTCTTGAATCACGGTCACCGCACACAGAGTCAATAAAGGGACAGCTTGCTAATATAAGTAAATGGACGGCACGTTCAGATCGAGAGTTCTGCCCTCAGGATCGGCCATCTATTTACTCATGCCGAAAACATCAACCTGCTCCATGTTGACTGCGCGACGGACATTCTCCTTCCAAGCAACTTTCCCTTCAACAGCCCAGGGGCTATTAAATACTCATCGCTCGGCAAGGTCCGTAGTCTCCTCTGCAGCTACCGTAACAACTACATGTCCTTTGTCGACTCCTACTTTGCTCTCTACCAGCCTGTGCATCCCATCATCGATCCTGCTCGCTTCATCGATGAAATCAACTGCTTCTGGAACGATCCTTCAGATATCGACGTCTCCTGGCTATCCAGCTTCCTCATGGTTCTGGCACTGGGTTGCTTCGCCGAGACGCGGGATGCGACATCAACAATCGAACTTTGTCTTGCAGCAGAGGCTTGCATGGCCAAGACGCCATTCATGGTTCGGCCAAGCATGTCAGTGATGCGTGCCTTGTGCCTCATGGTCCTTGCTAAGCAGCTAGCCAATGGATCATGCTGGTCTTTTGATGCCAGTTGGACGCTCCTCGGCATCATTGTGCGGCTCGCCGTTTGTATAGGCCTCCATAGGCCGCCACTTGCTGCTCCCGTCGAAGACAATGCGATGACTCAATCCGATTGGCAAGATAGTCAAATCCTATGGATAACAATAGTTTATTTCTGCATACAAACGGCGGCGATTACTGGAATGCCGAGTCTTCTGTCTTCAGACGATATCCTCCAAAGAGATAAGACGCAAGACGCCCACTTGTCCCATATAGAGGAACTCGGCCCATGGCTATCTCTGAGCGATTCCTTTCCTACCATATGCAAAATCATAGCCAGAGTCAACTCCAGCACCGAAAAGCCTTCGTACGACGAGATACTCGGGCACAACGCCGACATGAGAAGGCTCATGGCCACCACTTTGGAACATCCCGGCTGCAGAGGCCCCTTGCGTGCCGTCCTCGACATTTTCTTCCGCCGCATCTTGATGGTCCTTCATCGCTGCCACGCCTTGCGCCCCAATGCTCCTACACTGCATCCAGTTTCGTACTGGGCTTCTCTTGAATGCAGCCTGGCAATTCTGGTACATCACCGAGATTTCTGTGAGCACATGGGAAATCCCGATAATCGCGACTTATTGGGCCGCATGTATAAGCTCGACTTCTTTGCGGCTGCTCTGACCGCTGCTATTCATCTGCTGCTGGTAGATGCACCACTTGCAGACGGCTTTTCCATACCGCCTAGACAGACAATTCTCGAAACGCTGGAGACGTGCACGGAGATATGGGGCAGGGACGAGGAGAGATCTATCTGCTTTCGTGCCGGACACAGATCATTGACGCAAATTCTCTCCATGCTTTCTCATATGGACAATACGAGCCATCATGAAGTGCCTCGTTCGTAAGCAACCTAATATACTTACATCCGGCCTAGGTGTATTTTAATCTTCTTCTTCCTGTATACCAAATTCCGCCAGTATGGACTTATTATGCTGTCCTACACTTGGAACTTCGCCAATATTGGCCCGCGAAGCATCATCAACTCCAGGTGGAAGCAACCCAGGAACGACTCCGCCCGGCGTCTTCACCTCAACCCAACGCCCCCTCGCTCGCAGCTGGGGATGATTCCACACTCCTTGCATGTCGTTCACGCTGGCATTGGCAATGCCCGCTTTATCCAGCTTCTTAATAACCTCACTTATGGTGAGGCTAGAGAAGCAGGCGCAGATAATCTTCTTCAGCTCTGCCCGATGAGTACTTCTCAGAGAGTTGTTCGCAAATCGCCCATCCTTCGCCAACGCTGCGTTGCCCAGCACATCGCGACACAAGACAGCCCATTCCCTCTCGTTCTGCACGCCCATCATTACAGACGCTCCATCGGCTCCCGTCTCAAAGGGGCCATACGGATATATCGTCGCATGGGATGCACCCGCTCGAGCTGGCCCCGGCTGCCCATCAAAAGCGTAATACATGGGAAACCCCATCCATTCGACCATACTTTCTAGCATTGCGATGTCAATGCGGCGGCCTCTTCCAGTCTTTTCGCGCTCCAAAAGGGCCGCAAGTATATTTGAATAGGCGTACATTCCGGCCGCAATATCTGCTATAGATATGCCCGTCTTGGCCGGCTCCGCCTCGCCGCCTGTTACATCAAGCATGCCCGACTCGCTCTGCACGAGCAAGTCATATGCCTTCTTATCACGGTAAGGCCCATGCGATCCATAGCCCGAGATGTCGCATACGATAATGCGCGAGTTCGTTTCACGGAGCTCCTCATGCGAGAGCCCAAGCCTCTCCGCCGCACCGGGCGCCAGATTCTGCACCATGACGTCCGCACGAAGGAGAATCTTTTTCAAGATGCTCAAGTCACGCGGTGTTTTCAAGTCCAGCGCAAGGCTCTCCTTGGAACGGTTGGTCCATACAAAATGCGACGATACGCCGTTCACGCGCGAGTCGTACCCCCTAGCGAAGTCGCCCACGTCGGGACGCTCAACTTTGATGACTCTGGCGCCCAAGTCGGCCAACTGCCGAGTGCAAAAGGGCGCTGCGATGGCTTGCTCTAGGGAGACGACGGTGATGCCGTCCAACGGCAGAGCTTTACTCCGCGCGGTGGCCACGCTTCTCCATTTAGAGGGGATCCGGGGGGATATGACGTTGGCGATGTTTGGCTTTATTCGATAGTAGGCGTATGGGGTTCCTGAGAGTTCGTGAAATGTTTTGCGCCGAGCAAATCTTTGCCAAAACATCGTCATATGAGAGAATTCCCGCAGCAGGTAAAAGATTGCAAACGTTAAAGAACAGAGATCCAGATTCGACCGGATCCATTATCTGTTTGTATACATCTAGTATGTAATGCTCGGTAACTTCATGCTTCGAGACTTTTCGGGCACTGCAAGTTTGTAGTGTAGTGTCAATAGCAACATTGAGCTAATCACGTACCCTAGCAGAAGGCAACTTTGAAGCTGCAAGTCGGCGAATGGAAGATGTCGCCTTTTTGCTTGGAATTGCCGAGTGAAGCGAGGGGAAGCGGGGTCGTGTTTTCTCTAGTAATGCCGTTCACCAGCAACGCATTATAATAGCCTCTTCACGCCGGTATATCGATAGACTTCTCCTCGCTGTATCTTCCACGGAGCAGATGGATTTGATCTCATCATCAGTCTTCTTATCTTGAAAGACGCCGAAGTCCACAGTCACGGGTTCCCGCCGCAAAAGCGCAATCTCCCTGCCTTGCCTCTTTTAGCAAACGCCGTAGATCCAACAAGAAAACTCTCTTTTGGCTCATAGCCAAGCGTGCTAAAGATCTGGGCTGTTTTCTCAGCCCAGATCCGACCCCCCCTTTTCAGCCCTGTAAATCTAGACATCTCCAAGCCACAACAAGCTATCATGAAACGTAGTGGCTACGCCTCGGGCCTTTCCCTCGGAAGTCAATTCTTCGATAACGCAACACCAAGTCAGCCACCAAAATATCACTCTACGAAAAGATTTAAAAAAAAAAAAAAAAAAAAAAAAAAAAACGCTCGCTTGTTAATCATTCCTCCGCATTCTTCTTCGTATTGGCTGCGAGAGATACGATAAAGTTAACCGGTATGTCGATATGATCGGGGGTCCGCTCAACTCCACCAGTTTATCTAGGTCATCGGGTATCATCGGCGGATCTCTGCGGGACTTTTTATCACACGATGATACGGGGTGCGTGTACGGGGTGCATCTACTCCGCAAAGTTTATCGCGACAGAAAGTTAATCTCGATGGACACGAATCATCTAGGAGATGGCGGTGACGTTGGGGATAGAGTGTCTGCATGAGTGATCACCAGAGACAAAGACTCGAGTTGAGTTGGTAGAAACGTTTCTTTCAATTGAGCTATCGCTACCAGCCTAACCCTAATGGTATAATTATAAAAAAAAACGCGTAATACAATAACAAAATTCATATCTTCATAAAATTGTTTGACAGCTTCGGAACGTGCGCTCGGGCAATTTATGCCAAAGGCGCGCAAGTGAAAGGTGATCGAACGGTTCCATCGCGGTATTGGTTTTTCTGTAAACGCATATTAGCCTCGTGTTTGGGAGAATGTAGCGAACAAGTAAACTTACAATGTCAACAGCACTGGCATATGTACCCGCCACCAGCACAACAAGCCCAACAACCATGGAAAGGCTGCTCAAAATGAAGTGGACAATGTTCTTCCTCTCAAACATGCTGCCCTCTTTGAGGAGCACGAACCAGAAGATGGCAGGGAAGTAGTAGGTGAAGCCGGAGATGAAGAGAGAGGACGAGATGGCGAGAAGATCGGAGAAGAAGGGAATGGCCTCAGCAATGACCCACGCGATAATGGTCAAGACAGCGAGCATGCTGGCCCAGATGATGTACGCCCTGGGAGTGTTGATGTATCGGATGATGGAGTCCTTGAAGGCGCGCGAGAAGATGAAGCGTCCGACGACGGTGCCGTTGATGGATCCCGAGATGAAGATGACGGGCAAGCCAATACCAAAAGCAACCTTGGAGATCAGAGGGCCAGCGGAGAGCAGGGCGGGGGACTTGACGTCCGGTCCGACAAAGGCATAGATGACCGCACCGGTGATGGTGTAAATAGCAATCTCGATGAGGCCAAGAGCCCAGATGGACTTTTTGTAGTCCTTGGGGGTGTGCATCTCGTCCATGAAGGAGAACTGGCAGATGGAAAAGCTGTAGGCAAAGACGATGTTGGTAATGGCAATGAAGGCATCGACAAAGGTCAGGTCCTCCTTTGGCCAGGCAGACCAGGGCACCGCCGACAGCCCACCATCGTGGCTAGCCTTGATACCGGTAGCAATCATGGTGATACCAATGGCAATGATGATGGAAGCGAAATCAATGTAACCCAGGATGGCCAGCTCGGTGAAACTGGGAGGAAGCGCCAAAAGCCAGAGGATGATGGCAGAGATTGCCGCAAAGCCCAGAGAGCAGATGGCGTTGTCGGAGATGTTGAGCAGGGCAATGGCACCGGTCAAGCAGTGAGATCCGATGAGCAGAACCAACTGGAGGGCAAACATGGCTCCAACGAGCTCGTATCCAAACTTGCCAGCGACCAATCTGGCGGCATCGGCATAGTGGGCAACCTCGGGGAACTTGATCTTGACCATGCCGACGAGATCGCTCGTGTAGATGGCAAGAAGACCAAGACCAACGGAGCAGATGGTGCCAGCCACCATGCCGAGAGTAGCAAAGGCGTTGGGCAGAGACAAACTACCGAGAGCAATAGCCTCAACGATGAGGACGACGGTGAGACGCTTCCATCCTAGACGGTTGAACTTGTGCTCGCCCGCCGCCGCGATGGCTCGTTCGGCATCTTCGCGGAACTCCTCGCCCGTCTCACCGGCCGCTTCATCGGACAGGTGGGGGTTGGCGATCTTCTTGTTGTCGTAGCGCGGCTTCTCAGAGTCCGACGGCGAAGTAATGGACGTATCAGACATGATGGATACGTTGTGCAGAGGATATATCGATAAAGGTAAAGAGGGCCAAAGTAGTATTGAGAGGAGGGTTGAATGGGGCGAGGTTCTCGTGTGTGTATAAGCGATGGCTCGCGGGTAAGGACCCAAAGAGACGGGGAGTAGAGCAAGGTATAACCCGTATTTGGAAGGAGAGATGGAAGCAAGGGAAATGGAATGGATTTGATACCCAATCTCTCTCTCTCTCTCTCTCTCTCTTATGTATTAGCTCGCCAAAGTGGATGGATGAGAGGAAAGAGGAAACGAGATGAAAAAGTGCGGAGGTGGAGGAAGAGGCAGTTTAATACCCCAAGCAAGTGGTTCGTGCAGATCCAAGACGATCCCCAAGCGCCTCGACAAATTACGGAGCAGGCAGATAAGGTAAGTCTTGTAAAAGTAAGCGACGGAATTTGGGTTTGCCATCTGTCACCAGGTCAGGCAAAGGGCCGAAGATGGAGCATGGGCAGCGAGAGCAAGTACGAGCATAACTCAGCACCACCGCAACCCTACTCGTCGAGCAAGCTAATAAGGTTGCAGAGGCTGCATTTGCATGCCAGAGGAGAGGAGCCGGGGTGGCCGCGTCGTCGGGGCCAGAAGCGCCACGGATGGAGTGGGCGTAAAGGCTGGGCTCCCAAGGTTCGAGGTTGCGAACGCCTCCGGCCACCGGATCTTTGCACGGCGTGCTGGGACGAGATGGCGCGAAAGCTCCGGGTTCGGTGCTCCATTGTGCGTGTGTACTCGTAGATAAGGGCTGGAGGAAACAGCTCGGCATCGATCCATCCATCCATTGATAGATAGATAGAGAATGACTGGTGCGGCGTGGTTTGGCTTGGTCGAGCAGCCTCGTGCATCTAGACTCGGGGCTGGCCCTCCACTTTGGCCAGCACGATGGACGCAACGCAGGGGAGCATTTCGAGATTGCTCCTCTCCAGTTCAGCTTCGCGGTTCCCATTGTCTGGTCTGCAGCGTCTCCTCCACTTGTTCCCTCACGTCACGCTCCCTCCAAGCGATCCTCCTTACTGTCCTCGTAGCTGAGGCTCTCTACCCCAGACACTCCCCCGCAAAACGACATCAACAAACGCTTCTCCGCAATCTTGTACGTAAAAACAAATCGTGGCCGGCTTGTCGAGGCACATTCATGGCGGTTGAATCAGCATTGCGTCTTTGCTGTACAAAGTATCTCGGGCTGCCGTCTTTTCCGTGAACCGTCCAGGCATGGATTCTCTCTCGGCCGTGGTGGGTTGTCGTTTGGGAGTGAAAAGAGGCGAGTTTCCGCCAAGTGGGCCCCCCGAGCGGCTCAAGATTTTTTTTTCTTTTTCTTGGTTTCTTCTAGCCCCGAACCCAAAACGTCATTGCGTTAAGCGGAGCCCTACGGCGGCCCACCGAAGTCCACTGAGGCAACCCACTGCCAGGTCCACCGAGCCCACTGAAGGCCAGGCGCTGTCCACTCGAACCTCGCTGAAGCAGCCCACCGCCGCATACACGATGGATCCCATTGCGACTCAGTGCCAGTTTTGATGTGTCAAGACTCCAGCGGAAATGGCTCGGATGGCCAGGTTTTTTCGCTCGAATAATGCCTCGTCGGGCGGACGCAGTGGCCAACGGAGCTTCTCTCTCACAGGTATGCCCTGTTCAGGGACAGTACTCGTAAACGGAGCAAAAGTTGGGGGTACATACGAGCACAGGTCCAGACGAAGGCGCAGATACTCGTACGAGTACCTACTCGTACATGTAGATAGCAGCACGGTTTGATACGTGGCCAAAGCTGGACAATGAATGACTCTTGTTCCGTCAGGGCGAGTAATTGTAGTCATTGGGATTGGTAAAAGATGAGACGCATGTCGCTGTCATCGGCGAGCGTCAATGATCAATGACACTGCCGAGATTAGCAGCAGCCCAGCCGTCCTTGGAGAGGGCACCAAGATGAGATCCAATGGCTTGACGGGCAAAAGTTCTGCACACCACTCTGCGGCATTCATTGCCGGCCGCGCCAAGTAGGTGCTACATGTATGTGCCTGCGCAAGCCTCACGTCGTCCAGTCAGCGGCCTGATGATGATGTCTGGCTGACTACCTACATGTACATTAGTACCTACATCAACCAGACCCTAGTCCAGCCCGAGGTACAGATCGGCCTTTTACGGTAACGACGGAGCACAAATTCTCCGGGCAGGTACATATCGTACATACGAGTACAGACACGCAGCCTGCTGCTGGGTACCCCGACCAGCACAATTCGGGTACCATTTACCGGGCAGACATCAATGGTTCCATCTCATGGAAGTCGGCCCAACATTTGCAACGCCTGATGCAAACTTGAACTCCTTGTCCTTGTCCGCTACCTGAGTACAAGTACGAGTAGTGCTGCCTCTTTCAGCAGGTCCAGGCCTAACAATCCCCCCTAGGCCGCTTTCATGCCCGCCCCTGTAGGGCCTCTTAGCGAACCTTACGGGGGCCGAGCCGCTGTACAAACCCGGCCATCTCAGCCACATTATCAATCGATTGATCGTGTTAGTATTTTCTATTTTTCGCCATCGTTGTCCAATGTCACCGAGTCACCTGCAGTAGCCCCTCTGCCCAGTAACCCCATCTGGACTAGCCCCGCGGCGCTACTGCCGACGATCACTTCCATGCGCCTTCTCGAAAGCTACCCAGAACGGAGCTATGCCAAACTCCGTATAATTCGCCCGTAATCTTTTCGTTCGTCCTTTGTTCTTTGGCTGTCTTGGATTCCACACGCACCTCTGTCTCACCACTCATTTGCCCGTCACGCATTATAGCCTGTGCTCCTAAAACAGCTGACATGCACCCACTCCAACCATCAGCTCTGCTTTAGTTCCAATGGATGTACTCCGAGCCTTTGTATGTGTGTGTGTGTGTGCCTCACGGCTGGCCGCGGGAAACACGGGCATCACCGGGTTCAAGTTGGTATTGGCCTGTCTAATTCCGCACCCTTCACGCCTCCATTTCCTTCCATCAGTACTCCGTACAGACGTCGTATTGCTAAACGCCTTGCTCCTCGCTTCAACCCCCATCTGCCGCCGTCCCATCTCAGTCAGAATCTTGCCATTTTGAGCACTGGCCCGGCGGTCCCCGGCTAGGTAGCATCAAAGCCAAGTGCCGTGACATATCCTGCCCCTTGTCCGCAAGCAGCCGTGCGGTGTCTACCTACATACGTGTACTACAAGTCGCTCAGGGTTCATCCCTTGAAATGCCACCTTTACATACAGTAAACGTCCGGATGACTGCAGACCGCATCTTGTCCGGATGTCATCCATTAGGCAATGTTACATACGGGAACGGCAACGAAAATCATACTCGTACCTGCGCAAAGGCCGTGTCCCGTCTCTCTCCCTTGCTCTCTGCCGTGATCTGCCATGGAAGAAATTCCGCCTCTCCACATGATGACCCTTTCCCCATAATCATTTCTATTGGGTGAATTGTAATATGTACGAGTACTCTGGCTCTGACTAGACCGGGGGTAGCGCGCGTTGCGGTTATTTCAAGATGATAATCTGTTAGTCAATAGAATCTCCGGGGTCCTAAAAAACCCCGTCTAGAATCCCGGTCTGGAGCCCCGGAAAGACCCTTGAGATGCTAGGTATACCCACTGCCTGTAATCGACGTCTTCACATTCGCTTGTTTGACGGCCTACTGTATGGAGATTCTACATACCTCGTTACAAGTGGTGTTCTCCACGAGGCTTGAAATTAGCTGCTTCGAAAGACGGAGCGTATATCCTTCCGCTTCAGTGCCACCGTCCATCACACCAATCCCGGGCAAGGACATGTGGATATGTTTCCCTAATCAAGGAGCGTATGCATCTATATACCTTCTTCGATTATTGGATTACTTCATGTAGCAAACAAATCATACTGTACCTGAATGTTTCTGCATATAATTCCCCCGTACGATGAATCATTTCAAACCTTTCTGATTCAGGGGCTTGCCCAATAGATCTGGCGTTGCACAATGCCTATATTCAGACAAGATCGCACATGTTGACGTTGATGCGTACAGTACTCCGTACAACAACCTGCAACCTGCAGATACATACTACCGCCAATGAATCCTTGAGAAGATGGGGCCAAAAGTCCATTGTTTGGGAGAACGAGAGATAGGGATCAAGAAAGGGCGCAGAAGCAAACCCGGCGTTTAGCATCAAGTTATTGATGGTCCGAGCTGGCGCTGCCTGCTTGAACCAATATGATAATGTCGCATTGATGCCTGAGCTAGGCTTGAATACGAAGTTGATGGACGCACTGGTCAGTGTCTAGCATGCTTTATTTCCAAAAACGAGTATCAAATTCCGAGGCGAATGCAGGCAAGCATCAATGCTGGACCAGTTGCATGGATTGGAGATAACCGATAGTTCGATACACGTACTCACAGATATCGAGAAACGGAGATTCGTCAGATGATCATCAGACGACATCATGACAGGGTAACCTTGCCAGGTGTTTGAGAATGATCTACCAGGCTGTCCTTGTTTCGCACGTTAATTATTGCTCGCGTCGGCTGAAGCAAGTGTGTCTGGCCGTGAAGATGGTGGCAAGGAGGGTAGCGGCGAAACCTTGGAGGCATGTATAACACGCCCTTTCACCCATGCAAGCGCGAAATCCCCGCAAATGATATGGAAGCACTAATCATGGGGTAACAGGGCCGTCGGAATCGTTTCGTGGTATGCGAGTCAGAATACCTTATCTATAGATGAGTTCAGACATCGTTCTCTGTGCTTTTTGAGTTGCAACATGTAATTTCTTATAGGGTAGCTACATGCATGAGATGGCGGCGAAATACTTCCTCACCAAAGCGACTGCTACATTGATCAGATCATGAAGAATGTTTGTCAAGTACTTAGAAGTATACAAAGTTTTCTGCTAATGTGATTTCGATGCTCATTGTTTCATCAACAATGCTGCATCTATTTTGGTGCACATGTACTCGATAATCGCTGCTTCGTGAGGCGGTCTTGCAGCTTATGTCATGATTTTTTCTCGCTACACGTGCTCCAACCTTGAAATCGACGTCTGAAAAATCCTTATCTTATCGGCCGCCCAAATTTTGTGCAGCAATATTGCCCCTCCAAACACCACAAACAACGGACAATCGATATCAAAATCGTCTTTGCTCTCTATTGACTGTATCTTCCGTCACCACGCCTTAAAAGCTTGTGCAGCCTTGATAGCCAGATACGATAGACGCGCAATCTCTCTCAGATCGCTTTACAGACGCCGCCATGGCTGCCCCGCTGGCTCAACCCACTGAGCCTTCTGCGACTCCGACTGTCGCAACGGCGAAACCAATTCACAGCCTCGTTCTCGACACCGGTCCGCTGATCAAGAACGATCCTCCTGCCAGTGTTCTCATCGCCAAGGCCGAAAAGCTTTACACTCTGCCCAACATCATCAGCGAAATCCGCGACGTTGCAACCAGATCAAGAGTCGAAACGACGCTGCTGCCGTTCGTCACCCTGCGGTCCCCCAGGCCTGAGAGCTTAAAGTTCATTGCCGACTTTGCGAAAAAGACTGGTGATTTTGGAGTGCTCAGCAGACCGGATATGGAGGTGCTTGCGCTGGGATACGAACTGGAATGCGAGAGAAACGGGGGCGACTGGAGGCTGAGGAACACACCGAACCAGAAGGGATTGAACGGCAGGCCGCAACAGGACAAGCCAACGGACGAAGCACAGGAGGAAAAATCGCAAGAAGAAAAAGAGGCTCAAAAGGCCGCAGACGCCGAACAGGCTTCAGAAAGCGCAGAACAACAAACAGATGCTCAGTCTGAGCAGCATGCCGAGACCAGCCTCAACGACGACTTGCAGACCCTTAGTCTGGAGACCTCTGACAACAATGAAGAGCCATCTACAGCGCCTGAGACATCAGAGTCTGCCGAAGAAACCCAAGATGCTAGCATAGCTGTACAGCAGCCCGAAGAGGCTTCGGAAGACTCTGACGATGAGGGCTGGATCACTCCGTCCAACCTCAAGAAGCAGCAAGCCATAGACTCTGGCGCATCCGGCACCAATGACAAAGCCCCCCCCAAGATTCTGCAGGCCGCCATCCTGACCTCCGATTATGCCATGCAAAACGTCGCACTGCGCGTCAACCTCAACCTCGTCACGCCCTCCTTCTCCCGCATCACATATCTCAAGACGTGGGTTCTGCGGTGCCACGGCTGCTTCAACATCACAAAGGACATGAACAAGCAGTTTTGCCCCAAGTGCGGCCAAAGCACCCTCACGAGGACAAGCTGCTCGACGGACCAGCACGGCAACTTCAAGATCCACCTCAAGCAAAACTTCCAGTGGAATAACCGCGGAAACGTTTTCAGCGTGCCCAAGCCGGTTCACGGCAGTGCCAACGGAAGACTGCCCAAGAATGTTGGTGGCAAGAATGGCTGGGGAAGGGACTTGATCTTGGCCGAGGACCAGAAGGAACACACCAAGGCGCTGGATGATCAGCGGAGGCAGAGGCAGAAGGATTTGATGGACGAGGATTTCTTGCCTGGTCTCTTGACGGGTAACAGATCGGGAGCAGGCGGCAAGATCAAGGTTGGTGCAGGACGAGCGGTGAACTCTAGGAGGAAGCGGTAGATGGCGAGAGAGGCTGGCTACGGCTGTTGTGAAGCTGAAAAAGCAGATATAGAAGTGAATATCCATCATGATTGTATGACTTTATAGCACACGCACACATAAAAATAAAGCGCAGAAAAAGATCATGGCAGAGAGCACCAGATCTGTGTCAATCACGACGAGGTGCTTGTGTGTGTTTTTCATTGTTCATTTCAATATTTTTTTTATTTAAATTTGCGTATGCGCAAATGAACCCAAGTACAAGTAATCGCCTAAGAAACGCCAAATCCATTCCCGAATCATTGAGAAAGATCCAATCCCAGAACATGGTGAACTTGTCATCCATCCATCCATCCATCCATCCAGTCAAGCCGCTCGCTAGACGCGCACTCTTCCTTTCTGTAGTCTCTCATTGTTGCCTCCAAACCAACAATACTGTCCTCTCATGTGCATTCTGCCGTCGATACTTGGTGGGTGAAACAAAGCCAGCCGGTTACTTGGATTGGCACGGATGACCGGCCATGTAGCTTTCCAATCGAGAGTTTAACCTCCTCTTTATCTCGTATCGCCAACAGAAGAGTGACGGATCAACTACCCCCTCAACAGCATGCCCGAGGTCGCTTCCAATTAACGCCCCTGGAGATTTCTTTTTTTCGCCAATGGTTCGAGGGCATCTCCATGATGCGAATCTACATAGCCTCCTCCTCTAGAAACAAATAGATCGCTGTCAGACACATAAACTCCCCACTAGACACAAACAAGCTACTACTCACTCTGCTGCGTCAAGAGCAAGTTGAAGCGGCGCTTCAGCGTAACGCGCTGGCGAGACCACTTGTCATCGGGAGAGAAGCGCGCGGGGTGCGCAGACTTGGTGACCTGGCCGTGGGCGACCTTCTTGAGGGTGTAGAGGCGGTTGCCGCTGGCGTCGAGGGTGTACATGAGATGCATGGTGGGCGGGTTTGGGGTCTGGAAGGAGAGCTGAAAGCGGGAGAGAAGTCGGTTCAAGGGAGGGATTTTGTATATATGGCCTCTGCGGTGCGCCAATTGGTTCGTTTCGACTTGTGGGATTTGATTCGGATGAAGTTTTTGGTGATGCGTCTCGGTGGCTTTGGAAAAAAAATTGGTCAAGTGGAGACGGGGAAAAATTGGCCTTGCAGGTTTTCCACTATCGATAAGCGCGCAGCGATAACGTCTGAGCTAAACCCCCTTGGTCTTATTCAATTCATCTCAATCACGAGCAGATCCAACAATCACAGTTACGGTACTTTGCTCGGTAGAAACAGAACAGCACGTCATGTGCATCTCGAGGCGCAGAATTATTCATAAATGGACGTAGAATGAAGAAAAACTATGCAAAACTATGAATGCAAAATAGCAGTTGGACCGTCATTAGACAGTCAACCGAATGTGAAGGCAGAGGCGAATAGATCGCTCAAAAGGAATGTCCAGAATGAAACCGAGGGGGGGATCTTCTCAAGATCCGATCCAACATCCACATCCCTTTCAGCATCCCATGAGTGGTCGTCTAGAAACGATTGCCAGTCGACTTTCCATCACATCTCCTCTCCCACGCGGGCCTTCTTGTCGCCAACCCAGCCCTCACGCTCATAGAAGCGGAACACGAGGTCGTAGTCCTCAAAGTCATGCACAATGCGATCAATGCGGCGATATCCGCGCACAGAATCGATGAATCGCTGGGCAGCAAGGCCCTTGACTTCAGCCTTGTTCACGCCGTAAGTGTTGTCGCCGCGGCCCTTGGCCTCGAACAAAGTGACGCTGAAGCGGCCAGGCTTGAAGATTTCCACAACGTGCTCAATGATCTCCGCGGTGGTGCGGCCGCTCTGGCCGCCTGGAACGTTGGTTTCGAATGAAGCAAACGAAAAACCAGTCTCGGGCGTAACGTGGACGCTAAAGTAGTGTCCAGCGTTCTTGCCGCTGTCCTGGCCGTCCTCCTGCGTGGCCGGGGGCGGAGGGATGATGCCGTTGGCGGAGAATCCACACGGGCTGAAGAGGTAGGAATCAATGCGGGCATCTGGGTAGACGGAGGCGGGATAAACATCGGCGAGGCCGCACTGCTCCGAAACAACAGTGCCGAGGGCGTGACCTTCGGTGGTGAGGCCCTCGATGTCCCCGAGCTTCTCGCAGGGCTCATGCAAATCGGACTCGATGCCGTCGGCAAAGACGTCAACCTCGCCGAGCGGAGTCGAGGTCCCGCCAACGGCATTTTGACGAGCCTTGGTCTCGGCAGAGAGCTTGTCGCACGCGACCGCACTCGCGTGTGCCAAGTAAAACTGCTTGGCATTCTCTGGGTCGAGATCCGTCATCAAAATCTCGAGCGTCTCGTCACTCCCAGGTCCTCCATGTCCAAAGTTGGCGGGAATCGAAAAGCTGGCTGGGGCCACCTCGTTCTTCTCCGAGTCGGGGGTCAAGGGCGGGGTGAACTCTCGGTTGGGAGACGTGATGTAGAGGTACCAGTGGTCTCCGTTCATCTTGCCCACCATGTAGGCACTGCCGCCATCAACCATGTCGTCCAAGTACTTGACTTCTTGCTTCCAGCTGCGGTGGGGGCCGTGTTGCTTGTCAGGGAAGAGAAAGTTCTTGCGGCTGTAAAAGACTCGGTAAGGAGTAGCAATGGCCTTGATCTCCTTTGCAGACGTAGCATTGCCAAAGGGGAAGCCCGCATGCTCGGCGGCGATGTGAAGCAAACGCTGAAGTCCAAGCAGGAGAGTGGTGGTGCCGCACGTCTTCAAGATGAGCTTGTGGGGGAAGACAAACATGCTCGACTCGGAGAGAAGATAGGCGTCAACAGCGTCGGATTCGAGCACCGAGAGAGTCTTGCAGTTGACCATGTCAAGCATGGTCTCCCAAGTCTCAGAAGACACGGCCTTGAGGCCAGCAGGTTGAGCGCCCATGGGGAGCGCCGTAGCGCTCGGTGCGAACCATACCTCTAGGAGCTTTTCAGGGCCTGATGCATTGAGTACTTTGTTAGCAAAAGCGCTCCATGAGTAGATACACGAGAGAACAGTGCATGCGTACCTTCAAAGGCATAGGTCGAGTCCAGTTCCGCGGCATTGTCATGGTTGATGGTCAAGTGGGGAGTTGCCGATGACGGGGAAAAGGTGTAATTGTTGGGGACCGAAAGGTTGGCCATTCTCGTTGATGATTTGCTGCTGCTACTCGCAGTCCAAAGTGGAAGAACAAATAAAAAGAAAATACCGTCGAGGACAATTCGAGCACGCTGTTTGCTATGCCCGTCTGACGATGAGTCCGCGGAGCACTAGCTGCCACTCAAACAGACTTTGCGGCGTCTGCTTGAGAGAGTAGGCCCACAGGAATGTGGTGAGTCCAACGACGCTGGCGGAAGCCAGCAGCAATGAAGAGGGCGTAAGAACGGCTAACGCCTCGAGAGGACGTTATGGAGGCCGGGGACAGAGGGGGTAGAAAAACCGCTTCTGCGACGAAATTTTGCGCGGATATGTATCGTCCGATACTCAGGGGACGGTATCGGATCTGGTGACTTTTGCCGGGAGATGTTGACTTGGAAGAAGCGGGCTTGCGTTGAAATTTGTTCGATATATCAATGTCTGGGTTGCTTGAAGGGGTGCTATCGGGGCCTAGATGGAGAGAATCATGGGTCAGTCCTCAGTCTGTGTGCTTGGATCATGGAAGCGATGAACCGCTGGAGCTGGAGAAGAGATTGAAGCAAACAAGGACATACTTTGACGGGCGTGAAAAGAGGAATCGCAGGAGATCAGTCGATCGCATAGAAGGCCAAAGCGAGAACCAGAGAGGTGTCAGTCGGGCCACTAGAGATAGCGGCCGGTTGAGGATGTCTTTCGAGGACAGGGAAACGTCTAGTTCCTCATATCCAGCAGGTCGAGAGTCGCTGCAAGAGAGCCACAAGAAGCTTTCCCGAATCGACAGGCGGTCGTGCGACGTGGGCGTCCTATTGCTGCGAATTGGAGGGCGTAAACACAGCAGGGCGATGTTTTTCCCAGTTTTTTTTTTTTTTTTGCTGCCCCGGCGGGGATGCTGTTGGGACAAAGGCCGCTGCTCAAAGTGTGTCGGGAGACGGTTGGCTGGCGGAGCAGATGGGCTGCTATTGGGGATGCACAAAGTATCAATAGGATAAATATGAATCAGATCCAGGGGCGAACGCAGAGCTCAGACAGCGGGTGCGGAAACCGAGTTTGGAATTGTTTGTGCGGGTTGAGATTTTATTTGGACTACGAGGTTTGTGTTTGTGTGATAGAGAGGATGCAGCCCAATTAGGACCCGGCGCCGGGTACCCTGCAGTACCTGGCTGCTGGCACATGCAGCTGAGGTACCTGCGGCTACAGCTACAGCGCAAGGGTCCACTAACAAGCAGGGGGTACTCGTACATGGCAGTGATGGATGAATTGAATTTTTGATCCATCAAATGGCAAACAAAAGACAGCCAGCCGCAAACGACGTGGCCATTTTCTCTCTACACGCGGCTGTATTCGTGTCTGTCCACAACAGAGAGACAAAGTGTCGGATGTAGCGTGAACTAATTTATTTACTTGATTCCATTGTGCAGTCCCAGCAGTACAGATAACAAAGATAAGTATCTTCTGCGTTGACATCACCTCACGATCCTCTCCTTGTAATTTTTCTTCTTCTCTTAGAGGTACCCACTTATGATGGCCAGGCACTCCCCAGGCTTGAAGCCACCGCCAGCCAGAAACGGCTCAGCGCAGCCCAGCTGTTTTTGCCAGTATAAACCAGGGCGTGGGTAGAGGGGCAGCGATGGACGGGCGGGGCTACCGGAAGGGAAGAAGAAACCAGCTGAAACTTTGTCAGAGAGGCCGTTTTGCTTGTGGCTTTTGGATGACGAAAATATGTAATATGCACTCCGTGTTGAAGCTGCCAGAGGTTGTACAATAATTGGGGGGGGGGGGTTTGGGTTGTGCTCTTGTTGGTTGGGTCGCCCAAGGGGCGGTACTTCATGTTCTTTCAACACCACCAAAAGTAGCAGACACGCAGCTCTTTTCCGCTCTGCCGGGTACTACAGTCAATACCATGTACAAGTACATGTATTGGGGCATCGGGTTGGGCACCGAGGGATCGATTCGGTCAGGCAGCGTGGCGGAGTGGCTGCATTCACTCGGCGCAGGAGCTCAAGGCAAGGGATATATCAATGCATGTCGCGTGCTTCACAATGTCTCATTACGTAGCACCGCGGGAAGACTTACTCTCAGCGCCTCCACCATGCATGAGTACATGTACGTAGGGCAGATGGCGCCTTAGTATGCGGTAAGCTGGCATGGATTCGAGATGCTGAGGCTGCCTCCATGCTACCTACGACTAATAATCCTAGCCTGTCTATACATCCTGCTCAAAAAGTCTTCAGGGGAGAACGGCCTGTCAACTGGAAGATTGGTCCTAGGTTTATGTAATATTGTAATATCATGGAACCAAGTATAGGTAGGCAGCGGAGGCGCCCGCTTCCAATATGCAAGTCTCACGCCTCCAGCACAGCCATTTAGTACTGCGAGGATGGGGCATATACACGTACTCGTATGCCATCACGAAAACGACTGTGGAACAAGTGGATGCAGTGCAGCGTCATGTCATGTAACTTCTACTCCGGCAACCTTCTCCTCGAGCTGCGAGGTTATGCCTACGAATATGTGGAACAGCGAGCAGTCCTTGTACTTGTCCACCAGCGTTCCTTCGCCCTTGTCCTCAGGCTTGTCGAGCTTCTCATCGCTTGATATATCCAGGCCATTCACCACCGTTCCCGCTGGATAATGCGGCCGCTGGCCTTCCTCGACGAGGGCGATGAACTGCGCGTCAATGGGCACAGATCCCAGGAACGGCACCTTGAACTCCTCCGCCATGGACCGCCCGCCGCCGGACCCGAAGATGTCGGTGCATTCGGAGCAGTGCGGACAGACGAAGCCGCTCATGTTTTCCACCACCCCCAGCACGCGGATGCCCGTCTTGACGCAAAAGTTGAGCTCCTTGCGCACGTCTGCCGTGGCCACTGCCTGGGGCGTCGTCACAACCACCGCGCCAGCCACCTGGCCTAGGCGGGCGTCCTTCTGCAGCGTTTCGGCCAGTGAGATGTGCTCGTCGCTGGTGCCCGGAGGAGTGTCGATGAGAAGGTAGTCGGTGTCGTCCCACAGCACGTCCTTGAGAAACTGCCGAATCATGGCCGTCTTCTTGGGACCTCTCCACACCACCGCGTCGCCTCTTTGAGGCAACAGGAATCCTAGACTCATGGCATGCAGACTCCCCAAGCCGGTTTCAGGCTCTGCCTCGTGGACGGGGACTGGAGCCCATCCTCCCGGTACCTGCTTGACCTTGGAGGCCTCGATCGATAGCATGCGCGGAATAGACGGGCCGGTCAGGTCGACATCGAGGATTCCCACCGAGTGGCCGGCGAGCGTCAGAGACAGGGCCAGCTGAGTCGTCACCGAAGATTTGCCCACGCCTCCTTTGCCGGAAAGCACCTGTAGTTGTCAGAGCCGCGAATTAGTATGCTGTAACTGTAACTGTAACTGTAACTGAACCCGGTCGGATGCGGGCCGTGTCTTGAATGCTGTCTTTGCCTGACGTACCAGCACAACGTGCTTGACCTTTTCCAAGCCCATGGCGATTCTGCTGCTTAGCCCTGGCGTCGATGGCGCATCAACATCAGCATCAGCATCAAGACGCTTGACCAGACAAGGCCAGGGCGATCAAATAAATGTTCTGGTGTTTTAAGCCGTCTCTGGAGCTGATTTGTAAGGATGAAGCAAGCGCCGATGAACGGACTGCGGCTCAAGCGCCCGATGTTGCCCCGCCATTGGCATTTTTCTTCTGGGGTCACTAAAATGGAAGAATTGCCCCTCCAAGACTCCGTATCGATTAGCCCAGTGCAGCTTCAAATCGTTCATGATACCTTCAAATCACATGCACTCGCTCGCAGTCTGCATACAAGACGCCAAGTCTCTGTGCAAAAAGTAACATAATCAATTCATTAAACATCCATGTCCACAGCTTCACCATTTTTGTCAAAACAATTCCCGGCTCTCCATGATCAGGACTTCACTCGCCCGCCCAGATATAACCTGTAGTGGTACGGGTATATACCAACGTACATGTACACTCCTACAGGTACTTCACCCCCTTGTTCCAATTCTTCCATGCAGGTAGATACAACAGCTTCAACCGAGCGTCATCCGCTGCCAGCCGCCTCTGCCCGAGCCTCTTGCTTATCCAAAGGCTTCTCCTCCTGCGGTAATCGAACGTCTTTCCGTGTGCCTTGGTTGTCCTTGTCTGCAGTGGGTAAGAGCTGAATAGAGCCCTTTTGATATGCCACCACAGGTCGAGTGCCATCGTAGTATCCCAAAACTTCAAAGGAGTCGTTTGGGGTGCTATTCAGTGGAATAGAATCGTTGAAGCGGACTATCGGACCACCTTCAACTGTGAATCCAATGAACTCGCCCAAGATAGAGTTCTCGAGATCGTCTTCAAGATTCCCCTGGATTGTGTTCCTGTAGTTGATGATGAGAGTTAGCATGAATGGGCCGACGGGGAATCAAGTGGCCTTACACTTCGCTCATAGAAGGGACGCTACTCTTCATGATGGAACCATTTCTGATTCTCTTGACTCGCTTCTTTGTGCAGTCGTGGATGAGATGCAACAAGCCAGCAATGACGAGAACGGGCGTTCCCAAAGCCAGAGCCCAAGGCCTAAAACTGATGGTTAACATTTTGCAGTACATCACTTGCTCACAGTTGATAGACTCACGGGTGTTGTCTGTTTCTCAATGAATGTGCCATGGCAAGGATGATGCCCATCATCGCGATCAGTGATCCAACTTGGATCATGGTCCAAGTTGACCAGTAAAGGGAAATGAGATTTTCCCCGTCGCAAAACTGTAGAGCCAAGAGGGAAAAAGCTTCCATGATTACCACGGCAGCTGAAACTAAAACACAGACGAGGCATATGAGCATGTATTTAACCAGACTCCTCGACCGCCTCTGTGGCTGGTGACTGAATTGATCGTTCGTTTCCTGCGTTCTGTATCATGATTTTGTTAGCACTAATGGAATATAGTAGTTGCATATATGCGCAAAGATCAAAAGAGGGATGATTTACTTTGTGTATGTCCAAGATGCAATGAACAGGATCACGAGGTTCAGCACAAACATGAACCAGTAGAGGATCTTGAAGTGCCACCGGTCCAACTCGGATGCAAACTGCGCATATCGTTGGCAGAGATCTTCATCTCTTATGAAAGCTTTGGCCATGGCTTCTATGTTGTTCAAAAAGGAAAAAAAGGACAGTATGGGGGAATCGATGGCAGAAAGGTTGACAAGATTATATCCTCCAAGATGCTATTCAGAGACGGATCGTACTCGCCCGCAGTGGAAAGAAACCTTTGATGATGCATCGACAAAGGCAACATGACATGGATGTCCTCCCTTTATCTACATTTCTTACTCTAAATCATCAGCCTCTCAGCTACACTACCCCATCCGGAGTTGGCTGCTAATCACTCCATGCATAAACGTACCCTTGCTCGGGTAGAACCAACGGGATTCAGGCCATGGTCACACCGACATCCGTGATAAGCGATGGCTCATTCATGTAGACCAATATAGAACAAAATAGAGCAGCAAGCAAACGGCGAGTACATGTGAATCGAGATGCTTGCTGTTTCGAGGAATTGCCGACTAATGATCTGCGTTTTCGGGCCCCCAATCTTCTCTTCGGAGCAAACACTCGGGACCAAGGAGACGGTGCCGCTTTTCTGGGTCTGGGGGCTGCAGAACAGGTCGTCCCAGTGACCTAGCTTTCACGGGTGTGGCAGAATACTCGCAATTCATTCGTCACGTCAAAGAAGTTGACCCGCGTGGCGAGCACTGCCGACCGGGAACGGGAGTTGGAGCGGAATCATGAAGCCCCAGGAAGCTCTAGTATTGGGTAGATGATGTTACTGAAGGAGAATAGGGCTTCCTCTCAAAAGTACGACTATTCAAAGGTGATGAAGACGAGTTATCCTAAGAGAGACAAATATCTGCAAAATTGTACGCCCTTGGACCAAAAGATCAAACCCTTCATGATATGAAGTTGGACTTATGAGGGTCATTGCTACTATAGCACACAGATGAACGTGTAGTTCATTATACGCTTGTGGTTTGGCACTTGGAATGCGGCGTTGGGCGGGTGGCAGATACACACGTGCAAACTATGGCTTCTCATGTAACACATTCCCGCCACCCTGTCTAATATGAAACCAATCCCTTGGGTACTGACAGCCCATGGGTTACCCCCTACCGAAATCCATGCTTCGCTGCCGCCGTTGTTGAACGTGGCCTATTCTTGGCGCTCTCAAACAGTAGCCCGAGCTGATTCTGGAAATCCCTTGCTACACAACTCGACGCTTACATGCTGGAACATGACCCAGTTGAATCCCTTACCAAACGGCCATTGTCTCTCCAAGCACCCGGAATATGTCACACCCTGCAGCCTTATATGTGATTCAGGGCAAATTTCCGTAGCCCTGTTTGTTAAGACGTAGTATGTGTCATCGCCGTATCCGAGGTTGAGGTAACGGGACATGCTATCCTTAGCCATATCCTTGTTTGCGGCTGGCTCAGCCAACGTTGGCGCCAAGACGCGATGAGCAGAAGGTGGAAATAGCCGACGTACCAAACGAATCTCAGCTGACAAGAACGGTAGATGTAACGGAGGTCCGAGAATATCACGGAAAGTCGAGCGCTCCGCAAGCAATGAGCTCTCTTGGCAGCGGTTGAATCCAGTCTAGGTTGCTATTGTTAGCGTAGCGGCTGAAATACCAAGGCCTTTGATTCTTGACGGTGTGTTCAAGGGGGGGCCTGGATGCATCTCTGCTGGCGATCAGGCCGTCTCTGTTGGATTAGATCTTACCAAGATTGATGCACTCCATATTTTTAAGCTTATTTGCACGGCGTGGTGGCTTCTTGATCCACAAGAGATATGAGATTTATTGATCCTCCGAGCCTGACGGGAGCGCAGTTTTAGCCTGGACTCGACCTTTGCCTCCACTTCAAGCCCACGACACTGGCCATGTTTCACATCTCTCATTATTATTCTGTTGTCCACTGGATTAAATGTAATTTATAAACCCGGAAGATGATAATGCATCACGATTTTGCCAGCATGCTAGGAAAGGAGCTGGTCAACAAGACGAGATGGCCCCCAAAGGGAACAAATAGTAGCCAAGGGTCGAATCATGGAGCATTCATCAGGTTGTTGATAACATGCCGAGATTCACTCTGTGAATACATAGGAGCTGAATCATATGTGAAGTTGTGCTGACGACGACTCTTGGCATATCCTTGAGATAACAAATGTCAACGGCAGCACTGCCACTGCCACATTGTCCGATAGCCCTGCAGCCTGCCAATGTCTCTGTTACACAAGCAAGAGAATTTTTTTTCAAAGCTACCTTTTCACAAGTGTTAAGTAGGCATCATTCAATTTAGGCCAGTGGCAAAACGGACTTTGCAAACGCAAGAGGAGTCGGAACTTGGAAGTCTGGAGTCATAACCAGGAGAACAGGCGCATGTACCCGTGCAGGTGTGAACGGAAAATTGCATACCATTGCCATAAATCAACCCCGTGATTCAAATTCTGATAACTATAGTACCGCCAAGTCTTTTTATCTCTCCCTGGCCTCTCAGTATCTAAAGCAAGGGAGAATTGTGGCTGCAGAAGCGGTGAGAGTTGGCCGCATCAAAGGCAACAGAGTTCCTACGTGTTCCGGCTGAGATCCGATCCGCGCTCGAATATATAATCATTTTGTGACTTGAAAAAACTCCGACAAGTATCCGCACTCTCTGGTAAACAGTCCCGTGAAGAAAATGACATCTATGGCACCTTGAGAGGTACAATCGCCACTCACATAAAGCCAGTGGGGGCAACTCTCCCTGCAGTTGGTCCGGAAATTATTCCGACAAACTATCAAGTAATCTCTACTGCATATAGATCATGGCGTCGAAAGGAGGATGGAAATATAATGTAATCGGTAAATAACTTGCAGCATTAGATAGCATGTGACCTCATTGTGTGCTGGATACAGCGCTATCCTTTCCGACCACCAAGACGTTACTGGCTGTCTTACCACTCACTTCCGTAGCCTCTGTAATTACCCGTCCAGCGTGATCATGTGTCTTATCCCACTCTTCCACTTCAGCATTTGGCACTTTGATCAACTGATGGCTCTTTGACCCGTCATCAAGGGTAACAACCTCCTCCCGGATCTTATAGCCTCGGAAATAAGGAATGCCGTGAATCCAAAGCCAATAATAAGCGACACAGGCCAATAAACTATCATGAGTTAGCAACCGATTGCTATTCGCCATTGGATCCAGATCTTTAAACTTACATGCCAATTGAAGTGACTACATATGTAGCATACCAGAAACTCACGTCGCCACCTGTTGCTCCCCCTGCTGGAGGATACCAGGGCATAATGAGGAGATAGAGGTTTTTCAGGATGCTGAACCAAATGACGATGTCCCAGGCTTTGAACTCCGGTCTTGGTAGATTGAGAGCCTTTCGCTTGTGTCTTACGATGAGGAGACCGACGCTCATCAAGAAGTCGAAGAAGGAACCAGGGTAAATGCGAAGGTCGCTGACTGTGAGTTTCGTTAGTAACAGACGGCGTCAACAGAGAGGATCAACGTAGAGTCTCGATACGTACCGAAGTTGAAGGCATCACCAGCAGGAGGAGCAAGGATCATAATAAGCGTGATGCCGTATTTGAACAGATACGGTCCGAGGGCAGTACCGAGAGGATATGTTGAGACCCAAAACTTGGGCCACGGGAGTACGCCCTGCCGGCCACACTCCCGAATGATTCTCGACGTCCCGATTAAAACTGCCACAAGATTGCCAAAGGCACTAATTGCAATCAAAAAATTGAGGGCCTTGACTTGCTTGGTATTTCCAAACACATTTATAAAGAACTGATTGGCAACGGTGAGTTTGCTCTTGATGATATCTTGCTTTGGGACTGAAACGAAGTACAGTTAGCAGAGTCCCATGTGGCCAAGCAGGGAGACTTTGTGCACTTACCCGCAGCATAGAAAGCGACGACGGTGAGAATGTAAAGAATGCTGACAGACCAGATAGCAATGTAACCTTGCCGTCGGATCTGTTTCACAGGGTTCTATGAAGCAGTATGAGAAAATGAACCAATGCGTGGATAGACCCATCCAAAGGAAGCTAACCTTGACCTCATTGGCGACATTGAAAGCATTTTCGAATCCCGCATAGGAGAAAATGATTTTGTACAAGCCATTCGTAATTCCGTATGCGGTAGCTTTCCCTTCAAAAGAATTATGGAAGTTGGCCGTTGGGTTCTCAATGCGAGTATGTCCTCCGAGGACCACGAATCCGGTTATCGAGATGAACACCAATGTAGCCATCTTAACAAATCCAATGGCATTGGCCAAATGATATGCAAATCTGTTGTGTAAGATGACGACTAGAGCGCTGTATGAGTGTCTTGTATTTTTCCGAACTTGGCGATTCTCTCATAAATTATAGCACACATACCTAGAAGGGCGACGGTAAAACCAGCTATGGCCACCCCCTTTAGTTGCCAATCGGTTGGATTATGATCCGTCATTTTGTAAATATATTGAGCCAATACTAATGTGAAACGTGATGTCAGATGTTTTAGTCCTCATCTTACTCGGATACGCTGCTAAATCACCTACCATATGAGTTTGCGCTGCTAAATGATAGGATGACGGACTGAAACGCAAATGCCGTTGAGAACAGCCAGCGTGGTCGCGGGAACGCTTGTTCGAGATAAACCACCTCGGCGCCAGATCGCGAGGGAAAGTAGGCGGTAAATTCGAGATACACAGCAAACGCCGTGATCGATGTCAAGAAGCCAAGAGCCCACCATATCAGACTTAGTCCTATGCTGCCGGTGCCCGCGAGAATTGTTGAAGCTGCAGATCCTATCGTATAAGAAATACTATTACCTGCAAACATTGGGAGGAATAGTTTACTGACGAGTTGAAAAGATGCCTGTGCCAATCATCTTGCTCACATTGAGGAACAAAATTGTCATGGGTCCGACGTGGTATCCCAAGGGCGATGATTCTTCCACAGGGGCACCAGAGGCATCTTGGTAAGACGTCTCTTTGTTGTTAGCTCCCTTGCCAGCGATGTAGTGGGTATCTCCAGCGACGAGCTCAGAGGGATCACTATCTGATGTTGATCCGCGCTCTTCTACCTCGGCAGGTTGGGCCTCTTCGCCGCTGCGGAAGGGACGCCGCCAGAAAGAAGGCATTGTCACTAATTGTCCCCAACTACTTCTATCCAGTTATAGGTAGTAGCAAGTGATGATAATGTTGGAGGGTAGTATCCAGTCTCAGACAATTGGCTACGAGGCCTGGTTTATACTCTGTACAAATGAGCAAAATGATGCGCCGGTGAGAAGCTTAAATCAGTTCGACTGAGACATGTGTGGGATTGAATTGCTTTTGGGCACCACATAACCCCGGCTGTTTGCGAGGGATGCTACACAAAGATGATCTACACCCTCTGCCAGTCGTTGATGGCGAGCTTGGCAACGGGGATCCCCATCTGGTGGATGCGATACTATTGATTGCGACGATACAAGGCAGCAATAACGCAATCAAAGAGACCGACTGTCATTAATCGCTAAGCTCGTCTATCGGCAGTCTTTGGCTCTGAGCCTCGTCCAATACTATTAGGTGACATGTATGCTGCGTGTCTCACATCACACCAATCTCTCAATCATAAGCAACCTCGTGGGGGCAGCGCATTTGTGGAAGAATGGGCTCATTCATCGCGGAGAGCACGAGATGGAATTGCCCGTCGAAACCTTATCGCCCAGCCCGAGAAATCTTCCAAGACAGAAGATAGGTCACATTTCTCCATGTCGCCATATTCGTAATTGTGATGCGATGTGGTACCAGGATATTCAGGCCTTGACTCGCTAGGCTGGTGTCGCGTCATGCGAGTTGAACTGGCAAGGATGCATGTGCAACTACAACCAAATTGGTGAATATGGTTGGGGTTGGCCCAGCTCGAGTGCTACTATCCAGGAATCACACCAGTTCGAGAACCTTTTTCGGATGACGCCGCATGAGTTGAGCTTATCTGTTTACCGGCGGCGATCTTACAAGGATGAATGCGGCTGTATGTAGGTAATTATGTATGTGAAGCCCAGGCGCTACCAGAGATACAATCGCTCATTTTTGCAAACAATCCCCAGATACGCACGTGGTGTAACTGTTCTTCTGGATATACTACTCTGTGTAAGGGCAGTGTCTTTCTAAATGGACTTCCCTGCGTCGATTGATTCATGTAGTCTACTGGTACTTCTGCTGATCAGGCTTTCCGTCACTTGCGCTACGAACTCTTGGCTCCAGCGGGAACACGGAGTTTTCAGGCTTAACGTCCTTGTAAATCCTATCCCACGTATCATTCAGCGGTTCGGGCGTCTCCCAGGCCAGCTCTGGGTCACGCAGCCAAAGACGGACAAGATGACGTCTATTGCCAAGATGCCATTAGCGGAATTGTACAGTCTGAGAATATCATCGTTCGTATAATAAACACGCATACCTTTTCTCTGGAGAGTCCCGGAATTTATCACGAGCATGAAAAATGCTCAAGTTATTAGCAAACTGAATGTCGCCCTTGTGGAAGTCGAGCGACGCGCGGTACTTCTCAGCTGTAAAGTGCAGAGCATCCAGCGCCTCAGCTTGGGCTTCAGTGATGGGAGGAATATCAGTCGATCGAGGAAGGCCCCAATATCCCGTAAAGGTACGTCGCGCATATTGGATGATGAGGCGCTGAGGGGTGTCTGCAGTAGCGGGCTGGAAGTATAGAAGAGGTCGAACGGTATGACTCCTGCCACGCTTCCCAAACCTAGCAAGAAATTAATAAGGAACCCCAATGCCTAGATAATGTAAGAACGCTTGTTTCTTTTACTCACTCGTCGACGACCCATGGCTCAGACAAAGTCCGGATAAGATCGGGCCGCGTTGCTGCAAGCTCATTGTACACATGCCAGCTGCTTGACAGGAAGCTCTGGCCGCCCTCTTCCGGCTCTCCCAGAGCAAAGAGAGCAATAACATCTCCAGCGTCAGTGTGGAAAACCTGCTTGTCAGCCGTATAGGCCGGCGCTCCGATTTTGTGAGGGTCAATCTCCTGACTGAGATCCTTGATGTGTGCGAGAACAACATCAGCTGGCTTTCCGTCGAGTTGATGATCTTGTCGACCGCGAATGGGGGCAATGTGAGATGCAATGCCGGCATAGATGATGACATTCTCCTCGCGGCTGTAGTTATCAACCGGAACACCCTTGACGACCTTGAAACCGTGACCTAGGTGAACTTCTTTTGAGATTTCCCTTAGAGTATCGTGAAGTTTTGACAGAGGAAACGTCTCTTGAGTAACATAGCCCAGGCCCAAGTTGAGTGCTATTGAGCCGTGGTGTAAGTATAATCGCCCATGATCTCACTCATCAGAAGACAATCTAGGGATCTCACACTTGAAGTGGCGAAGGGCTTGGTCGACCTCAGCAATATCGCTCTGGGTCAAATGGTAGTTCCAGTCGTATGTCTCGGCCAAGTTCCTTCCATCCCAGACAAGATCGGACTCAAGCTTCGCGGGAAAGCCTTGTGGGAGAGACTTTTCGAGCTTCTCGCTCTCCTGACGCCGCTTGATGCGGTTGAGGTAGTTGTCATAGTCGGGGGCATATGAAATGTCCGGCTGTCTAGGGATTTGAACGGCGGCGGCGGCCATATTGAATGGAGTTTTCTTTTTCGGAAGACTTGGATCAAAGCTAATTACAGGATATCTTGAAATGCCTCGTGACCAGGGGCTACAAAGAAGGATATGGTTTGCTCGCGCGTACTCGTATACCCAATTTATTCTCTTTGCTCACATCGGCATATGGCCCAGCTTGACAAATCACCACTCCACCATCGGCTAAATGTTATCACCTACACCTGTTCTCTGAATGTCGTCATGAAGGCTGGAGAAGCCTGGTCTCTTATGATAGGGCGCTGATATTGTTACCTAAGCCGAAAATCACCTGCGCTCATGTCGCCATCAGAAGCCAAGGGCTCGCAATCGGTTGGATCATGTCTGCAGCAGCTGCTAACTACATTGTGCAGAATGATCACTGAAAACGAACCAATCAATCTTGTTCAATTCTTAGGTCGATAGATACTCCAATGATCCCCGCAACAAATGAGAAGCTCTAGATATCCTTCTATTCGCACATGCAGAATGTCTCTGCATTAGCGATTAACCCAATGACCCACAGCGGTTTAATATGGCTGGATATAACCGCGGAGATGAACTGCATCATGCACTGCTTACCCGCAGCCCCAAATGTTCTTCGTTCCCCTGCGGAAATAGACAAGAAACGCAAGGAAACAGACGACGATACAAAAAGAGAACAACTGCGCAAAAAATTAAAGTGTTTGACACTCTCCCGCCGGGAATTGAACCCGGGTCTCAAGCGTGACAAGCTTGCATACTGACCACTATACTACGGAAGATGTTCCAAGCGTTGAATCGCTCGTTGTAGGTGGATCTTGGCGAGACTGAAGCTTATTCCAATTAAGACTGATGGAGCATTCCGATATCAAGCTCCCGTGCTCTCCGCGTGAGGACGAAGCTGATGCTCCTCAACGATTCCTTGGCCACTATCCGGCTCTCGATCAATGCTGTAACTTTGGTTGAGCAGAATGAGGGGGAGGCCGAAACCAGCCAGAGCGCAGCAGACTGCCCAAACAATGCGCAGGCTATCGGCAAAGGCCCGTTGAAGATCATGCTTGTTCTGGCCGTCCGGCATCGAGTTGATGATTATCGACTAAGCCGGCGGCGTCGGCACCATAAGCTCTGGCGTTTGGCGCAAGATTTGGGTAACTGAGGAGGTTTAGGGTCTCCAGTTTTGGAATATCACCCCTCCTATGGCGACTCCTACAGCCTGACCGGGCGATCTGAAGAAACTAAACATAGCCAAAGCCATTGGGATATGCTCTGGAACAGTGGCCGCCTGAGTTGCTGAAGCCACCGATGGGAAGAGGAATCCGAGGCCGATCCTCGAGACTAGGTTCAGAAGACCCAACCAGGCACGCTTGTCCTGACCTCCAGAATGCAAAGCAAACCCAGACCCAGGGTCGCTAGAGCCCACACCGACCAAATTACCCATCGGTATTTGCCAGTCTTCGTGATGGCTATGCCAGCTATCGCACCTGCAGGTGCCACAGTGAACGTTTGAGGGAAGATACACACTCCAGTCAAGACAGGACTGTATTCTTTCACGGCCTGAAAATACAACGGCATATAGTAGACGATGCACCAAACGAGCAGGCCCGAGAGCCCGGCGCTGACAAACGAGACGCTGGCAGTACGGTTCTTGAAGAGATCGACCGGAATGATAGGAGCAGGGGTAAAGTACGCTTCATAAAAGACAAATATGCCACACCCGGTGCCGCCAATGATGAGAGGAACCAGTGTTCTCTACACAACGTCAAGGGGATTAGAAATGCCGTCGTGCTACCGATGAAGATGACGGAGCCGATATAATCAATTCGACGAAGCTTGTCAGAAAGTGATGTTGGGGCGAAGTGGGGGTTCATAAAGACGACAACACAAACAATCTCAATGCCGACACAGGGGAAATTGATGTAGAATATCCACCGCTACAGTTTGACACCACGAATATTAGCCACTCGCAGACATGTAACTTGTATTGGTGTGCTGTGTTTCTTACCCATGACGCGCTGCCTGCGAAAGCGCCTCCAATGATGGGACCACAGACAGATCCCACACTCCACATGGCATTCATGAGGCCGTAATACTGTCCTCGATACCGCATCGGCACCAAGTCAGCAATGAGAACTTCGGGTAATGGCCGAGATGCCTCCCCCTCCGATACCTTGTATGCATCGGCCAACTAGTAGTTGAGTAACATTATTCGATACACCTGCTACTACGGTTCTAACGAAAAAGAAGGCGATGCTAACAATGAAGAGAGGTCGGCGGCTAAAGATGGTCGAAAAGGAAACAAAATTCGGCTGGAAGACTGGGCATCGATATGCTAGTTAGCATTGCGGAAGGATAGAGACGATGCAGGGCGGATTATATATACCTGTTGCACACAACAAAAATCCAGTATCAGCCCAGAAGGTCTCTACGCCGGAGCTATGAAGCGCTCTTGAAATTTTCTACAGGTTCATTCTTGATCAGCCGAACGCGTATATCAACGAAGCTCAATTGCAGGCAATGCTACACCGATCGACGTGCTATCCAAAGCAACCATGAGTGTTAAAACGCAAATGGTAATGAAGACTAATAATGTGCGATTCGACATTTTCCACTCGGGCTTTGAGACATCATTGGTTGTTTCCGATTCATGCTCGTCACAAATAACGAGAGGTTCCGACACAAGAGATGGCTGTGCTTTTCCACCGGACATTGTCGTTTGACTGTTTTATGGGAAGGCCGTGATGCCTTTGCAGCAGTAGTAATAAAACCTACGGGATAGAAGATGACAGAAGAGTCGGTAATCCATACTGAATACCTTGAATCGAACCTGCTCTATGAAGGGGTATCTTATGGATGACTCTATGTGTTGAGAGGCCGGTCGGTATGCTAAAGAAGGGAGTTGTTGGTTCGAGGTGTTTGTACAGAGTATGGAGTATTTCGGTCGCTATCCTTACAAACCGAGTCCCTGCCGTGCACACGGAAAAGTGCGCAGGCCAACCAAATATTCGTCGAGGCCAACATATGTATGTTTATAGACCGATATGAGCCGAGCCTCATCCCCATCTTGACTACCCTGTAAAGGCCTTGAAGAAGGCCGTATTTTGACACAACATCCCTACAAAGGGAGCCACACGAACTACCCTGTTGTTTGATCGGGGCTCTTCATAAGACGCCACTCGTAGTCGACAAATAAGTTTGACGCTGTAAGCTCAGCGCTTATGAAGAGCAAGACAACAGCAGGGTCAGCTTACATGTACTCTCCAGTGTCTTTGGTATAAGTGTATCATCATGACATGAGCTTGCCTTCTTTATACTCATCTCCCAATAATAACTAGAGAAGTTGTTGACAAGACATGAACGGTCACAATTTGTAGTTACAGAATGCGTCTAGCCTCTCTCCGATCCGGATAACACCGCTTACTCTAGTGATAAAAATCTTGGCCGAATCAATCGCAACACCAGCGCCAACAGAGAGTTCAAAGATGGCGATTACCGTGGAAAGCGTTCGAAAAGAGCCTAGAACGATATGTGATCTCATTGAAGAATGGGCACAGAAGCAGCCTGACCATATTGCCGTTTCATTTGGTGAGAGGAAGATTACATACGCTGAACTTGACAATGCTACATCTCATATTGCATGGCTGTTATTGCAGAGAGGAGTCAAGTTTGGCGATAAAATCCCTGTCCTGGCTCAGAGAAGCCCTGAAATGGTTATTTGTTTCCTAGGCGTCCTCAAAGCAGGCGCTTTGTACGTACCCATTGATGTGGAATCCTGGAGCAAAGATCGCATCCAATCAACGCTGGAGCGAGTATCTGCCCGTGTCGTTTTAAATACCAGCACAGAAGAATATCTTGGATATGAAGAGATTCCGCTGAAAGAAATCGAGCGTGCCTTTGCACCGACCATCGAGAGACACTGGGACAACGAGCTGGATCGCCCATGGAAGCGAATTGATCCAAGTGATCTTGTCTTTATTATTTTCACGTCAGGCACAACCTCTACGCCAAAAGGGGTCATGATCCCTCACAGCGCGGTCCTAAATTATGTACAACAAGGGGGAGAAACAACACCGTTCAACTTGAGCGCGACTCCAGCCGATATAGTCATCCTGATATTTTCTCCTACCTTCGATGCTTCTACGGCTGTTATTGTGTCGGCATTGTGCAATGGTGCGGAGCTGAAGATCGCCACTCCGGCTGATTTCTTGTACACTGCGACACTCTGTACAATCATGGCATGTACTCCATCGGTATTGGCCACAATTCAGGACCCGGCGAGCTACTCTAACCTGCGAGCCATCATGATTGGAGGAGAAGCAGCACCCGCTTCACTTGTTCGCAAGTGGGCAGCGTCTTTGCCGACTTCTCCGATATATAACTTCTACGGACCTACAGAGACTACTTTTGCATGTCTGGTGTCTCGACTTTACCCTGATAAGCCAATTACATTAGGGCGTCCAATGTCAAACAGCCGTGTGATGTTACTTGATGGGCAAGTTGAGTCTCGCTATGGAGAGATTTGCATTGCTGGGCCAGGCCTAGCCAGAGGATACTATGAGAATGAATCACTCACAGCTGAAAAATTTGTTTACTGGCAAGGCGAAAGGATATATCGCACTGGGGATTTTGCGCGGTTGACAGACCACGGGCTAGAGTTTGCCGGACGCAAGGACAGTATTGTCAAGAACCGTGGATTTCTTGTGAGTCTTGATGGACAAGAGATTCCCATGTTATGCAGCTACCCGAAGGTTATGGCAGCTACGGCTTTTATGCATCAAGGCCGCCTTGTGGCCTTTGTGACGCCCGAAGACATTGATGGGGTCGCGTTGCGGAAGATCTTGATTCAGAAATACGATTCCTTCATTATCCCGGATCTTATTCGTCCGGTGGAAATTCTCCCACTTACTGCAAATGATAAAATCGATAACCGTGCCTTACGGGCGCTGCTGGATACCGAAAACCCGCGAGTGGGCGGCGACAATCTACTACAGGATGTATCCAGCCATGGCTCGAAAATGGACACATTGAAAGCTGCGCTTTCTTTTGCCATATCTCTACCGCCATCGGAGATCACTGACAACCGCTCTTTTACTGAATTAGGAGGAAACTCCCTGGCAGGATTGAAAGTGATATCTTTCATGCGTACCAAAGGATTCCACATGCGGCTTGTACTGCTTTTTGATCTTCCAAATCTATCTGCTATTCATGATGCTATGGTAGAACTTGATGGTTCCGAAGAGGAGGATGGCACCTCAGACCATAAGCAGACTCTAGCTTCGGGACCCATGACGTCTCTTCAGACCAAGATGATTCGAACAGGACTTAGAAATCCTGCTACGAGTTATATGCTATTGCGTATGACTCTCCCACATTCAGGCGATGCATTTAGTGGGGAAACATTTTAGTCTGCATGGCAACAAGTTATTAAGAGGCATTCGATCTTTCGCACAGACTTCAATCTCAACGACCAAACTCAACATGTACAACAAAAACTTAAGCTTGACTGGAAAAATGAAGAAACAACTCGCCATCAGCTAGAACGTGTGATTCGGATTCGCTCCCAAGAAATGCGCAAGAGCATCTCATACTTGGAGCATGGAGACATATTTATACCTATTTCAGCCTATCGCTTGATCACAGTTCCCAATGTTGCTTCTACCTTCTTGGCTCTGATTCATCATAGTTTAGTGGATGGTTGGTCATTCAGCATCATGTTAGAAGAGCTCCGTCTAGCATTAGATGGTAAGCCGCTCCCAGAGCCTCCGCAATTCATCAGCATTGCTCTGGCTCAAAAGCGGCTGCAACAAGACCCTCAAGGCAACGAATTTTGGGAAAAATGCTTAACAGACGGTTTGGCACAACCGAAGCTGAGGCTGCCGAAACTATTGGCCGATGTTCCAGCAGCTGACTGATCCAAGAGCCTGCAAGTCAACCTTGGATTTGGATCGGGGGAGCTGGAAGCCAAAAGTCGCCATCGACGTATTACGCCAGCGACGGCAATATATACGGCATGGGGACTTGTATTATCGAATTATAGCTTTTCTGACCGAGTGGCTTTTGGTGTGGTGTTTTCTGGAAGGAATATCGATGCGGCGGGAACTGATCGAGTTGTCGGGCCGCTGCTCAACACATGCCCGTTTCCCCTCGAGTTCAAAGAAAGCCAATCTGTGGCTGACATACTTTCAGAAGCTCAGAGTCAGCTTCTACAGATGCTCGGGTTCCAGTGGTGCGCTGATAATGCGCTGAGCAAAATGCCATCCGAAAGGATAGCCAATGCTTTCCAGACAATTGTGGTCGTGGAGTACGATCTCCCGTCGCAGTCGGGGTCTTGCGAGGCGATCCCAGAGCCATGGAAAATTGAACGAGAAGACATGATGGAGTTTGGAATAACTCTGCTGCTTGAGGATGAAAGCGATGGTAGTCTTCGGGCTCGCATTCTATACGATGGCTCGCTCTATACCGAGCAGAGTATCGTCGGCCTTTTGAACCATTTCAAGCGTGCGATCGAGGGGTTGCTCGACTGCGGCAATAGCCAATTACAGCAAGTTAGAAACCGTATAATTCTGGAAGAAGAGAGAAAAACGCTTTTAAGCCCATCGAACCAAGAGCGAGGAAGCAACTACCAAGGATACGATACAGTCAAAGACGCTTTTGAAGCTGCCGCAGCGAAGTGGCCAGATTTACTAGCTTTGGAGTCAACCTGTGGTTCAATGACTTATCGAGAATTGGATGAATCTGCTAATAGGCTGGCCAACCATCTCGAGTCTATAACAAAGCCTGGAGATGTTGTTGGCATTCTCACCGATGGATCTCTCCACTGGGTTATAGCTATTCTGTCTGCTCTCAAAGCGGGCTGTATATGCTGCCCCATTGATGTTAGTCTTCCAGCAGCACGGATTGAAGTCATCATTCAACAAAGCGGTGCCACCATTTTTATCGCCGCCAACCAAGAATGCGCGCGAGTGCTTCGAGATTTGAAAGGAAGTCGTATCATAGTGTCTGACGAGTTTCTCGCGTCGTACAAAACGCCATCATCTGCACTTGAGACTGTTTCAAAGCCGAAAGACGTCATCTATCTTGTTTTCACCTCAGGAAGCACTGGTGTTCCGAAAGGTATAGTAATCTGTCTACTATTTGCATCTAATTCTTTGTATACGCCATTAAATACTTCTATAGGCGTGGCTTTGTATAACCGCAGCCTTCTGATGGTCATCAACGATGAGCTAAACCGAATGTTTTCTGGCCCTGGACGCCGACATGCTCAAGTCTACGCTCTCGGTGAGTGAAACACGTTTCTTTTATGTATTTATTGCAATAGATGAATCATCTTTGACGTTGATTTGCTCACCATCTTGTTGATTAGGCTTCGATGTAGTGCTCGTCGAATTATTTGGATCAATCTGTTATGGCGGGACACTAGTTTTGAAAGACCCAAGTGATCCTCTGGGGCACCTCAAGCGTGTAGATGCAACCTATTCTACACCCTCACTGCTAGCAGCTCTGTCGCCAGAAGAATTCCCCAATCTCGATACCATTGGTCTTGCCGGAGAACCTGTTCCCCAGAGCCTCGCAGATGCGTGGTCACATAAGCGCTTGTTCAATTTTTACGGACCAAGCGAGGTGAGTCACTGCCAATCTTGACATATATAAATGGATCTATGGGACAGTTATTGACACTGCTGGCTGGTGGAAGTGTGGGCCTATCTCGACTCAAACTGAACTTCGTCCTGGAGAGCAAGTTACTATCGGAAAAGCCGTGCCCCATCTGGATGTCTACCTATTAGACCACCATCGGTGTTTAGTTCCACTTGGAGTCACAGGAGAGATTTATATCTCCGGAGAACAGATTACCGATGGATACTGGAGCATACAAACCGAAACTTCAAATGCATTTCTTCCAAACCATTTGTCCACTGGCAAAGTCATGTATAAGACGGGCGATCTAGGTTATTGGACACAAGACATGAAGTTGAACTACGTGGGACGAATTGACAACCAGGTCAAATTACGGGGATTCCGAATTGAACTGGAAGAAGTTGAGCGCGCTCTTATTCATGCAGATTCCTCCATACAAAGCGCTGCTGCAATTGTCGTCAATCGTGTCCGTCTTCTCGCCTTCGTCACGCCGAAAACCGTGGATACTTTATCAGTTGGACGAGTGGTCAAGAAACACTTACCTGCCTACACTTGTCCTGCCCAAGTAATAGCGATGGAATCCTTACCGAAATCGTCTAATCTCAAAATTGACCGCAAAGCTCTTCGGGAGTTGGCTACTGAAAACCTGGACCAAGGAGATGCTCCGTCAACGCCGACAGAAAAGATGATAGCAGAAATCTGGAGAAAGATTCTTGACCTTCAAAGCCATAATAGTGAGCGTCAAATTTCCCGAGATGATGATTTCTTGGCCATCGGTGGAAACTCTCTATTAGCTATCAAGGCGGCTCGTTCAATCGATGAGCGAACGGGTCATCACACTCCGGTGCCACTTCTCATCATAGAAACAGTCCTATCAAATCTTGCAAAAGAAATCGATCGATTTGCGGCTCTTGATGAACTAGAAGATGGAATCACTACATTCAAGTCGTTTATACCTTCTCTTTCTGATCCGCCAAATATAATGGCTGCCCAATTACCGTCACAGCTCGAGGAAGAACTCTATTTATGGCACACCATGTCGAACACGAAATCGCTCTTCAACACAGCATTCCAATTCATCATTAAAGGTGATGTCAACATTGAACTGTTGAATGAATGTTTGATCTCTGTGATCCAAGAAAACCCAATTCTTCGAGCCCGCTATGTCCTTGAAGAAGGGTCCATATACCGATTCATCAGCGATAAAGTTACTCCAGCCTTGGTTTTCGCAGGGCGATCTATAGATTCCAAGGGCCTACAGACCCTGATTGATAAACCTTTTGACCTGGCGCATGACCAACTCATCAGGGCGGTTATCTGTACGGAGAAAGATGAGCATGTTACGACAAGGACGTCGCTCTCACTTATAACGCATCACATCATTACAGATAAGGCATCACTCGCGCTTTTACTACAATCAATTAGCCAAAAATACCTAGGAGCAGCCGATGCCGCTGTTCGCAATGGGCAGGATGATGACGAACATTCGCTCAAGGGCACCTATATCGAATGGACGCAATGGCTTCAAAAAAGCAGTTCCCAACCTGCGACACTAACAAAATTAGCGAAGAGAGAGTTTTGGTACAATCGTGTTAGACTCATAGAGGCAGTTCCGTTATTAAGCGGACGTGAACTTGGAAGCCCCGGTCATGAGATACCTGGTTATGAATCCATTCTCGTCCCGTCTACGGATGGTAAGGGGTTTTCGCAGCGTATGGCCCTAGCTGCGGCCGCAATTACACTTTTCGCAGTGTTTGGTAATGGGAATCTCGTATTTGGTATTCCATACATGAATCGAGACGAGCCCGGGGCGGCGAACATCATGGGCCTCCTTCTCGACAGGCTCCCAGTGCGCATAAAGCTCGACGATAATAACATGGCGGACTCCAGTATGCTCGTCGACGATATTGTGTCGGAAGTCAACCTTTCGGTTGAGAACCAAATACCTTATTCTGAAATTTTACAATTGGCAAAGGATCGGAGATCTCTCTTTGATGTTGTGGTGATTTATCACTGGCAGTCTGACGCACTGGAACACTCCCTCAAGATACCGGGTGCTCAAGTTTCGAGCAAACGCATTCGAGCGCGAGGAGCCAAGTTTACATTGCAGCTGGAGTTCAGCGAGCAGGATAATGGACTACACTGCGGCATCGAATACAATGCTTATGTTCTGTCCCCGTCGCAAATAGCAGCGATAATGTCCTTCATCCCGACTGTCTTCAAGGGCCTTGTATCTGGCTTAGCACCAGCTGAAATTCTTTCCTCATTCAGACCATTGAAGAATTACGATCTATTGGCAGCTATGCCATCTTATCATGGGAGGGTTAACGAGGTCCGCAAGGCTTTCTCTGAAGCACTAGGAATTCATACGAAGGGCATTACACCCGAGACGACACTGTATGACTCGGGAGGAACATCTATAATAGCGCTCCGGCTTCACTATTTATTAGGTGCAACAGGATTACGTGGGGATTTGCATGATATAATTAGAGGGCCTTCTGTAGGAGAGATTGCCTGGATGTTCCAGTAAGGCAAAATGAGTCAAATTATGATAAAACGTGGTGAATGAGCGCAACGCAGGATTTTTGACTCTCAAAATAGAAATTCTATCTATCAGCTAGTGAAGATAAGATTCGATATCTGTCAAGTGTTACTACTTCTATAACACAAGTAGGCTACCCCGTAGATCAAAGCAGACATAGCAACATGTAACTTTTATAATAAGAACGGCGATGTCAGATTGTAAAATCCACGTCGTAGCACGTACCCATTTCCTTTCTATGCCTCCGAACCTTAGCTAGGGCATCTGCCACTCGCTCCAAGGTTGCATACAGAATTTGGGAATCTATAGACTGATAACGACTCTCGGTCTCCGTTGATGAAATGCTGTCAATACACTGGCGGATTATGTTCACAGTGGACTTGCTCTTTGCCATCATACGATTTACTAGCAACAGTTTCACCGCAGTGCCTTCTTCCCCCGACACATTCCATGTGCCAAAATTGATGGAAGGCGTTTTATGAGCTTCAAGACTTTTCGCATTGTTGCAATTGATGATGGACCAGTTAAAAACAGTCTGCAACAAGAACATGATCAAGAAAAGGACCTGACTGTCTAGCAAGCAGGGGTCGCATCAACAGATACTATAATCCGAATGACAAAAATGATATATTCTAGACCTGTGCTCAAGTATACGGCAGAAATGGGATTGTTTCTGTATTGGGGTAGAGAGCGAATTATATCGGCAGCAAAGCTAATCGCGTTTGGAGTTTCGCTGGATATGCAACCTTTGAGCTCCACGCTATGGCAGTGGATGTCATAGACATACATGTTTGGCGAGCAACTTTGACTATTTTGCATGATTCGAGGGGCTCAGCGATAACATTCCTTCGACGTGTCAGAGCAATTTTCGATGTCCTTCTCATTCCAGCCAACACGTTCACTAAAGAGAAAATAGCAATTCCAATATTGGACTCGTATACTGCATGACTACAACTGAGCGAAGCTGCGCGGTAAGCGGTTTTCGCCTTCCGTGTACGGCTGACCAGCTTCACTTCGGGCCATATCATTAACCCATTGCTCATTCCCCAGCAGTTCCAGCTTAGGCCCTTTCTGCGCCCATTTCATTGCCAGATAATACCAAGATAACGCATTCCCAACAGTCGAAACTTCGTCTGAAACGCCGGTTTTTGCGGCTTGTGACATTCGATCGTGTAATTTAAGATCCGTAAACAACTCCACCAAATGACCAGCGACTGCTTTCCAATCGCCCGGTTCAACGAGGTAGCCGTCGATTTTGTCTTTGATCTGAAGGGGTATCCCGCCGGCATTTGTAGCAATGACAGGGCGGCCAGCATGGAGTGCCTCAGAGACCTTGACTTCGAAACCTTCATACGTAGAAAGCTGAAGAACGACATGGGCATTTGCCATGAGACAATTCAGTAACTGGTCACATGGATCTAAGCGCATGACGCTCACATCACCCATGATGTGGGGATATCGGGTTTCTAGCTGCGTCATTACTTGGTCGTAAATGGCAATACCATCGGGGTCATCAACGGACGCATTGCCGCAGCTTTGTTTGAACAAAGTTAGCATTCACGCATGAAACATAATTATCAGATGGGGAAACTGACATGACGAGCTGGGGGATGGCGACACCACCATGATTTTCTAGCTGCTCTCGGAAACAAGCATACTAAAATGCCACAGTCGGGCCTCGTCAGCTCAAGAAAAAAAAATGGAGGTGTTTTATGATATTGGTTATACTCACAGCATCAACAACCGTTGGCAGCCCCTTGGCAGGATCGAAGCGGGATACTTGGATTATATATCTCCCTAAAGTGGATTTAGCACACATTGGAGGCACTTCCAGGATGAGTGCTGCATTTACTCACTTCTTGGCCACTGTAACTCTGTCATTCTCTCTGAGCGGCATTTAACGTTGTACAGATGGCCATAGTATCCGGTATCCCAGATTTCCATCGGTTTATTCAAGCCATCCAGCCTAGATGAGCATTAGTATGGCGTTCTTTCTTTCTTTATGACGCGGTACATACCAATCGGTCGTTGCAGGCATGTACAATACCTTCTCCTTAGGTACATTATGGGGTACAAAAGAAGGAATCGGGTGGCTAACGAATAAGTCGGCTTGCTTGATATTTTGCCAGAGAAAGTCCCAAATATCTGCTTGAGGTGAGCCAGCGACTTTGATCAAGTCCGTTCGAATCTGGATATGCGATCTGTAAAATACTGGCCGCGATGGCGTAAGTTTCTTGATGAGCGGAATGAGACAGGGCATTTGAGGATCGTCAATAATAACAACATCTGCGCCACCTTTGTCGGGTCGGCACAATGGCCCGCCGTCGGAGAACCAATATCGTTTGCCATTGTCGGTAATCCAGTCCACTATGGCGTTCTTTTCGTCCGCAGAGATGAATTCGCCATCAGAGCTTACTCCTTGCAGCGTATTGTGGATATTTTTGGTGATTCGAAACACTCCTGGGTGAGGTTTTGGAACTAAAGTGTTTTTTAATTCGTATCATAGTGTGTGTAACAGAAATTGGTGCTTGTTGGGATAAACAACATACCATACCAGCGGATATCTACTCCTAACACACGAGAAAGTCTCACGAGAGCGTGCCTCATCAATGCAACGCCGCCACCTTGAGGAGTGCTGCTGAAGAAAGCAATTTTGGTCTTATGCTTTCGTAGATTTTTTGCATAATGCATCACTGCTGCCCAAGTCGCGGAGTTGCATGTGGTTTTGTAATCATCGACCGAGATGAGCGGTGCTTGGAATGATGCATCAACTTCTACAATACCACGCCATGCAACATGTAAAAGAGGTGCCAACGAAGGACCAAAGTTCCTAGAATAGTCAATCTTTTGTGCGACCAGATTTATGCAGACAAATCCTTGATCAGGTAACATAACTTACATGATGCATTTTCGCGCCATTGAATCGGCTTGTTCGTCCACTCGTTTGGTAAGCCAGAGACTTATCCTCTCTGTATGTTCATGAGGCTGCTGAATAACAAGAGGAACAATGTCCAATTCCAGCCAAAGACGAGAGCAAAGTGTTGGACTCATCGTCTGCAACGCATGGGGAAGGCCGGCGCCAACTGCTTTAACGAAAGTGTTATGCTCGTACCACCTGATTGACTTGATGATGTAGTCGGCAAGGAAATCACGACCATTTGAGCCTTCTGGTGCTGATATCTTTTTAATCGCGAAATCAAGTAGGTACGTAGCATCACGAACAGCAAAGGAAACCAAATACTCTTTGTACCCGGCTGATGTAGCTGATATTCCAATGTATATGGGCTAAAAAACTCAGGTTAGCTACTGAAGAACTGTTTTGCTCTTCTTCTTCTTCTTGGTGAGAAAAAAAAACATCAAATATTCTTTTGGGCGCCCTTCGAAATTGATCGTATGAAGCTCACGGCGGAGACTGACAGTCAGGCTAAGGCCGAAACATCCTTCTTTCTCGACCAGTTTTTCCGCTTGCGACTTGCGACGAAGCGAAGCGCTGGCGTGAAACTCTTGACTAGACGCGTCACTCATCTTGATTTTTTTTCTATTGTCGTTTTTTGTTATAAAAAGAATTGTTTCCAAATTCAAAAAGCCTTGGGCTTATAAGTGGGATGTATGGTTAATTATACGATGGATAAGTATGATGTGAGGCCAGCTTGGGGGCCTCTGTCCAGGTGTATTGTGCTCAATCAAATTTAGCCAAAACAAGCAGCCAAAAAAGATCGAATTCAATTCGGGGATGGAGAGCAAATTTATACTCGAATCTCCGAAATTTAATGGCTAGCTTCTATAGGATATGAATGATTGCGTGGCGTGGATTGTCGCAGCTGAACATCTGGAGATGGTGCGATGAGATCGAGTACCGTGTCGAGAGATTCCTACATGAAGGTACGAGATCTTGTAGTGGCATCATTATGACATCAAACATTCAAGTACATGCGGATGTCTCCAGCCTTTTAAAAATAAGCTCTTTTTAGAGCCCCAGCTATATATATGTTTGAAGACGAGATAAAGGCCTAACGAGGTAATGAACTCTCTCGCTCCGCATAACGCCACAATAGATGATCAAACAACTTGCTGTTTAGAAGACACTCCTGCTGCACCCATTTCGGGTGTCGCTATCGTAGGATGCAATTATGTATATGTGAATCAAAACAGCTGGGTGTGGCAAGCTTGGCATGTGTAAGCAGGCCCGAGGCACGGAGGCTATGCATCTGCAACATGTGATGCACATACCATCATGCTGGACGGCTATTATCGCACCACCAAAGATACCTTGAATCTATTTATGTTAACATTTGAGCTCCCATTAACAGTAATTAGTATCAAATTTTTGCATTTGCGTAATTAAAAATGCATCTTACGCAATTGACTTCCAAGAGCTCACCAAGGTTCATATACTCGAATTTGTCGTCTGAATACAAGTAGATCATGCCGTGTAGCTCCGGCGCTTGTAGTTCTCGTCAGTCCACCAACTGGTAACAGCAGCGGCTGCTTCCGCCCGCATCGCCACATCTGATCCAAATTTTGCCTCCACGCTTCGCAAATTGGCTTTATAGTCATATGATATCAGAGGAGCTTGCTCATAGGGGTCAGTTTCGAGATGAATGAATTTCCATTCATAGTTGTCAAATACAGGGATAATCATTCTTCAGTTTGGCTGGCGAGCCTCCCCAACTGCAATTGTTGAGCCGCCTGGATTCATAACCGTAAATTGCCAGCCTCCTTGTCCAATTGTTTTTGAGAATTTCTGCAATAGCCGCAAGAGAGATTGACTTTCGTAATTTCGGACCATTGGTTGAGCTCGTAAGATGAGACAAGAAGACCCTCTCTTTATTTTTCTTCGCCGATGCTGAAACATCTCGCAAATAATTTCTTTAAAATAGTATGGTAACTTCAGGCAAGCAGTATTAGTACTTACCATCGACTAGATTCACTGGACCAAATTTAGCCGCCTCATTCTTCAACTCCCACCAGCTGAGTAGATCGGTGAATCCAATCTTTGGCATGAGACAATCCTGCTCGTCATATCTCATCGTTACAGATTGCATAAAAGATATCTTCCAATTGAATGACTTGAAAAAATCTCCAGATGTCTCATCGCCACTATGGTCCAATTGATTCAATGCCTCAAAGATATGGGGTAAGCACGGTTGGTAGATGTGAAGATTTTTCTCAACATTGAAGTCGGCTACAAGTCGAGTTATGCCACAATGGGTCCCCACTAATTTGCCCCAGAGCCATTTCTAGGGACTCTTGTCTCCATTTGTTGTATGTTCCGCTGTCGGTAAATGTGAGAATAGGTACGCAGTCGATCTTTCCAATCAAATGGTCAGACAACAGAATCGGAACCTGGCGAGGGATGTTCCAAGATATGGTAGCTACCGTGTTCATCTAACATAAGACAAAATTAGGATTGAGGATCAAGGGCACTTTATGAAGCAAATGTGGAGTAGGAATGCTCTATTATATGAGCGACGAGTCGAAGGAAAGGTGGAAAATCCAATATATGTAGGACCTTTGAATGGAGTACCATCCCTTTCAAGGTGAATCAATAGCCCTCTCTAGAAAGCACAGTCGGCGGGTATCGATATACATCTCGTGATGATCGCTAGCTATCGTAAATGACTCCATGGAAGCCCACTTCACGGTGCATGGGTAGTAGTTATATATGAGGAGGAAACGGACAATTGATCCTCCATAGCCTACCAGACGCATCTTATGCACTACGTCTTCTCCAACCCCCATTCCCAAATTGTTACCTGAACCTGATACATTCTTCCTTTTTTATTTGTATTGCAGCGGTTTCCTCCGCCACCCGGACCCGAAACACCCGAGTGAGCATCTCGTCGTAATCATCCCCCTTGCCCCTGATCTCACCAATAACTTGCTCTTCTTCTTCAACTAGCCCCTTAAAATCGAGCACTGTAGACGATGTGGGAAACCCTAGAACATGTTATGCTGTAAGATACTTCACTCTGGCATCAATAACTGGCGCCCACTCAAACCTCCGGTAAGCCGCTATATAATTGGGCTCACTACAGGCTGTATTAGTACGTAAACGGTTACTTGAGAGGCAATGATGAAATGGAGCAGCGATTTTAACATCGGCTGATGGTCAGAGAAGCCTTTCATTTAAGTCCATTGAGTATTGCGCTAACGTACGTATTGCGTTTCAAGTCTTGCGCAGAAACCGCGGACGGCTCTCTTTTGCCGGCGAAAAGCACATGCAGGGCGGTGAAAGTCGCTTTAAGAGAAACGGTTCATTGGTTTGTAAACGTAAAACTCTAATTGGTATAACGAAGAGGCTTTAGGTATGTCAATATGCACTTGGAGTCTGTGTCCCAGAGCGACACTAGAGCTATCTAGACGAACACCACCGATAAGAAGAAAAAAACTCGTGAATTACCAACACCGTAACAACCCAATCGTAACTATTCCCAGCCGCCAGCACCTCTCTCAGATGCTGGTGCGTGATTTAGACGGGCAAGCCTAGCCAAATCAATTACCGAGGATCACCTCACTAATAAGGCGCCTAAGAAGAATGAAGCGGAAATCTAGATCAAGCCGTGTTTCCGATTGAACGGCTTCGCCAATAGCATCACACGGTCGCCCCACGAGTGGAAAGATCTCATTCTCATAGCGTATTCGCCTCGTCTACGATCCAGATGCAATGTAGGGATCTACGGGCATATTACGGGATGTAGCATTGTGCATGCAGACATATATATTGCTAGGCGAATGCGAGGTCGCAGGGGCCGTGGAGTCTGCGTGACATGGCTCAATAGTACTAATTTTCAACACGCGATACTTCCAATAAGTACGATACTCGGAGAGAGTTGAGGTACTTTTTGCCTGAACCATGTCGCAGGGAACCGAGGCACAACGAACAACTCATCCGGGTGGCTACTGCATAGCTGTCGTACGCTTCCACTTGACTGTGTTCAACACACTATATATAGCCATTTTGCTATCCTCCTATGGCCGTTGAGGAATTATTAATGACAAAAATCCCATGGGATATAGCAACTACGAACTGAGCGTGCTTGTCTTAACGAAATATATATAGGTACCGAACCTTTGCTGTCGAACCTGTATCTACCTTACCTCTCATGATCAATAGCCCATCTATATCATCATCAATTATTCCTTTAGTTGAACACTAGCTAAAGTCAAAATGGTGTTGGCCTACAGTTCAGTAAAAGTTCTGCCAGTCCTGGCAGCCGGCGCTTTTGCTGCAGCAACCTACCCTCCCATCCCAACCGACTTGACAACACCAGTGCAACAACGAATTGCCGTTAACGGGCCCAATAGTATGTTTGCATCGATACCACGGATCAAATCTACATGTATGCTAATAAATCTTCTCTAGGCGTATCAATTGCCTGGAACACATATAAGCAACTCAGCCAGCCTTGCGTCGCATATGGCAATTCTGTCACAGCTTTGACACAGCAAACCTGCTCGCAAAGCTCTGTTACATATGAATCATCGCGCACTTGGTCGAATGTGGTGACTCTCAATAATCTATCACCGGCCACAACATACTACTATAAGATCGTCTCAACCAACTCAAGCGTGGATCACTTTTTCAGCCCCCGTGTCGCTGGAGATAAAACTCCGTTCTCCATCAACGCTATTATTGACTTGGGCGTCGTAGGTCCCGATGGATATACCATTCAAAATGACCAAACAAAGCGTGATACTATCCCAACCATCGATCCTTCGTTGAATCACACGACCATTCAGCGCCTGGCTCAAACAGTCGACGACTATGAATTTGTCATCCATCCCGGAGATCTGGCCTATGCTGATGATTGGATTGAGACACCGAAGAACATTTTTGATGGAAAAAATGCCTATCAAGCAATTCTGGAGCAGTTTTACGCCCAACTAGCTCCTATTTCTGGCCGCAAGCCGTATATGGCCAGTCCTGGCAACCACGAAGCTGCTTGTCAGGAGATCCCACACACCTCAGGACTCTGCAGTGCTGGGCAGCGTAACTTCAGGTATGCAACAGGAGTCTTCCGTTTGGCGTTGTGATACTGACTGTGTGCGACTAAGCGATTTCATCAATCGATTTGGCAAGACTATGCCCACTGTCTTTACCTCAACTTCAGCAAACAACACCGCAAAGATCAACGCAAACAAAGCACAGCAGCTTGCCAATCCTCCGTTCTGGTTTTCGTTCGAATACGGCATGGCGCATGTTGTCATGATCGACACGGAAACAGATTTTGCTGATGCTCCGGACGGCCCAGATGGCTCTGCCGGCCTCAACGGTGGACCATTTGGTGCTCCCAACCAGCAGCTGCAATTTCTTGAGTCGGACCTTGCTTCTGTTGATCGCAGCGTTACGCCGTGGCTTATTGTTGCAGGTCATCGACCATGGTACTCTACCGGAGGCTCAGGCTGCGCACCATGCCAGACAGCTTTTGAAGGACTGTTCTACAAATACGGAGTCGATCTTGGAGTTTTTGGCCATGTACACAACTCTCAGAGATTTTCCCCAGTATTTAACGGCACTGCTGATGCAGCCGGTATGACGAACCCGAAAGCACCGATGTACATCGTCGCCGGCGGCGCCGGTAACATAGAGGGGCTCTCCGCCGTCGGTACTAAACCTTCGTACACTGCATTCGCCTACGCAGATGATTTCAGTTATGCAACTATTCGCTTCTTGGATGAGCAAAACTTGCAAGTTGACTTCTATCAGTCATCAACAGGAAAGCTTCTGGACAGCTCGAAGCTCTTCAAGTCTCATAGCCAGCAATTCGTTGTTCAGTAATAGCACGCTTTAGAAATGATGTAGAAGATAGGTAAAATGCCTCAGAATCACCGATAATGAGCTTACAACAGTGGCAAATGTACCGCAACCAATTCTTACATGCTTGAGAAGTAACAAGGCGTCAGTTTGGGACACTACCATCGCCAAGCTCACTGTCCCTATATCCAGCAAAAAATACTGGCGAAAATGTTATCGCAACTAAGAAAACGAATGACAAAATAAGATTAGCATCAAATGTGACGTTGAGGATCTCAACGTTCCCATCATCTAACATCCACAGGCTGATTCAAGAATAGGGTATATGATGCTATTGGAAGTCATCCACTGCTTAGTGAATTCAGTGTCTAAACCGTGCATGTTTCGTGTAACTAGCGAATTCGGCCTCTATAGCGCAATGTGAAGCAAATATTCACCAGTGGTCATGAAGCGCAGACACTCTTCGCACGTCATTGCGCTGTAAGATCTGCGTCTTGTGAATACGAAATCTTCAAGAGCAACAGAGAGATAGCCAGTCGCTAACGAGAAGATATTTTGTCTCTTTTACCGACCAAGAGGCAGTAGCCCCGAATGGACAATTACAACTGTGAGTCCAACCATCTCCACGTTCTACCTCTCCTCGCGTGTGCCTCTAATTTACCGCGGTGTGCTTTAGATCAAGGTCAAAATCGACTGATTGAAAGTCCCTAAGCCCACTATATTAATTATTATTGTTGTTCGGAAAAAATTGCTTAGTCCTGGTGTCTCTGAATTATTTTCAGCTGTTCAATTAGTAGTCGCGGAATATGATACTTAATCAAGCCACCTAGTATGCTATTCAACCAGCTTCCACAAATACACCAATAGAGGGGTTACGCTACCGCATTATGCCTCCAATTATAAACTGGTAGTGTTGAACCCATACAGTACGGAGTAGATAAGCCTCAAACTACTGAGCCACTTTAATAACAAAGGCACTGTGCTCGCAATATGCGCACGTAATATAGTAGCCTATTCAATGAGGCTGGCGGTAGAAGAGCTGGGAGGTTATGACCAGCGTGTGGAGTCGTCAGTTCAGCGAGGCTATTCAGGAATAGTGATTGTACGTCAACCCGATCTGCCTACTCTATACTCCTTACAAGCACTTAGGCGGGTTGGTTAGAGATGCGATGGGCGACGTGTAAGTTTAAGGCATCTGAATCAATTACGTGTGAATTCCAGATGGAAATATAAATGAGCGTCCTTTCTGCTAGTGTTTTAATCCATCGTAACACCAATGCGAAGTAAATGCCCGCATAGAAGAAAGACTTCCATACAACGCCACGATGTCTCAGATTACTCTCTTCACTGATTCCAGGGTGCCTTGCCCACAACGCCTGCTCCTTACCATCCACGAGCTTAGACTCCAGATCAAGGATATCAGAGAGGTTGATATTTCCAAATTTGAACATAAGGTATAATACAATAATAGAACAAAAAGATTAATAATGCTACGATTCCACCATTCACTGACAGTTTTCAGCGTCCAGACATTGTGGTACTCAATCCTTTCGGCGCTGTGCCATTTATCCGGGACGACACATACGATCCTCCTTTGATGCTGACTGAATCGCGCGCTATTGCAAGATATCTATCGCAGGCGTACGGTAGCAGTGATATGTCTGCTTCGCTGCTCCCTGATCCAACAAACGTTGTTGCAGTCGCCAAGTTCGAAGAGGCAGCGTCAATTGAACTTACATCCTTCGATGCCTGCGCCAATCAGCTAGTATTTGAAGAGCTGTTTAAGCCGTATGTCCTTTCCGAACACCCACGCCACCAATTGAATAGAAAAGCTTTAAATTTCATTTTTTACTAACATTGTCTTTTGTGTTAGGTCGTGGTTTAACGGTGAGACTGATGTTGAAAAATGCAAGCTCCTTCGAGAGGGCGTTGTGCGAGCCGTTGGCTTGTTAGACAAGAGACTTACAGATCAACATTTCATGGCAGGAGACGTAAGTGACGGCCTGAAAAGCTTCCCCTTCAGGAGAACGGGATGAGAAAGGGAAACTGATAAAATTTAGAAATTGACGGTGGTCGATCTGTTCTTTGTCCCTTATATGCACCATCTGGTTAGAACCGTCTATCCAACCTTATTGGACTCTCGGCCCCATCTGAGTGCATGGTGGGAAAGAATAACGAGTCGAGAATCATACAAACATTTATTCGGCGACTCAAAAGGGAACTGAGGACGATTTACTTATCGCTACGCGAAATGCCTTTATTTGTGGGATCACATACCTTCATATTCTTAAAGCGTTCAGTGGTGGCAGCGCCGTTCCTTCTATATTCACTCCTCTTTAACCTATTCACAAAATGATCATATACTTCATCATACACTTCACGACGATCATAGAAACTTCATCGCCTAGTGTGAAAACATACTTTGTGATTCGAATTTATCCAAGAAGAAATTATATACGGCTCACTCTATGGGCCATTAATTGATAGATACACTGTGCAGGCACTTGACGCTACAGTGAATTAGAAGCTAGAGTTTGGCTGTAAAATTTCCTACTGCTGCATCCTAATTGCGGTACGTTAAGTACATTAGTGCGCTCTAGTAGCGTCTTGGAAACGCGGAGAAGTCATGCTGTACGGCATAGGTGCTCTGTCTGGCTCGTACGCATCCGCTATATAATCAAGATCTTTGCGCAATGCCTGACTCAACTAGTCTTGAACAAACGATAAACCTAGAATTTGATTTAATGTTATATAACTGACGTAAAGATGTTCCGACATACAATCCATTTGCCACTACAACTCTTTATTACCGCTAGGGGCACTCTTGTAAGCTAACTAGCCCACGGCATTCTACTGCTCGTACTAGCCATGAAATCCAAACATGACTAAATATTCGCCATGTGGGGGATGACTTTTCCATCTCCGCAGCAGCATCACGGGACATTGTTCTTCCTGAGCATCGGAAGTTCCATGGTTACTCTTTGCTCTGCTTTCGATCTGGAAACAGCCACCAGAGACTCAGCATAACAGTCTTACATAGTCATAATCAGTCCAGATCATCTTCGCCATCATACTCATCCATCTCAATGGATTCCCCTGGTCTAATGCCCCTGGGATTACCCCAGCCTCTTGGATATGCCGACCAAGCATGCAAAGAATGCCGCCGGAGGAAATCGAAATGCAACAAGGGGATCCCCACATGTAACATGTGCCTGAGATACAGAAGACATTGCCTATACGAAAAACATTCGAGGACTCCACTTACGAGGAGGCGAGTAGCATGTTTGCTGAGAGTTCACGACAGCACCGTGTTTGTTCTAACGTATATCCAATAGGCACTTAACGGAAGTAGAAGAAAGATTAGAGCAAGCGGAGGCTTTGATCAGACAACTAAGAGCTGCGCTCCCACCGCAAACGTCGTTAAGCGAAGGATCTACTAACGTACTTGCTTCACCCAACCAGCTATCTGAGGCTAGTGAATTGGCTCATAACAAACATGATCATTCAGGATTAGGCTCAGATAAGATTGACGTTGTGTCAGATACCAGACAATCCATCAATATCGACTTATCCATGGACGTATCACATTTGCAACAGCCATCAGTTCTTGGTATCCATGATGATTTGGCCTCAGATTCCACGCTCAATGCGAATACTTCAAAGAAAGTTTTTGGTGATGGCTCAACTACCCAGGAAATTTTGGGGGCCTCAGAACAAGTTGAGAGTTCTGATAAGCCTCAAGATGACGAATTTGAAAGCCCTCCGTCAACAGGCGACTTTGGTTGGAATGAGCATGGGGCTGTTCAGCAAGATTCTCCAGGAATTTCGACTGCAAGCGACTTGAATGAAACCAGACAGATTCTAGATGGCATGGCATCTCTAACGGTCTCGGAGCAGCGGAGTGGTTATCTCGGAATCGCGTCAGGAGCCGCTTTTCTACGCCTTTTAGAGCCGGTGGAATATCGAAATGCGCAAAGCCATTCAACCGTCGAGACTGATCCCCGCGTTTCCCTAATCACGCTCCCCAACATGAACAAACACATAGCCGACACTATGATCGATGCCTATTTCAGAATATATCACCTCAGTTATCCCATTGTCCACGAACCAACTTTCCGAGCTCAGTATTCCGAAGTCATTCGAAGGCCTAACGGCGGATCTTGGTATATCTTAGCCTATGTTATGGCAGCCCTTGGAGTGTATACGACAGCAACAGATCTAAATAATCTAGATTTAGATCTTTTTCAGCACACCAAATCTCTCCTCACATTTGACATACTTGAAGTTGGGAGCTTAACAATGGTCCAAGCCCTGACTTTAATTTCCAACTATCAACAAAAGAGAGATAAGCCGAATTCTGCGTATAGTTACTCGGGATTGGCGGCCAGAATGGCTATGGCACTTGGACTGCACAAGGATTTTCAAGGATGGAAAATCCCGCCTTTAAGCATGGAGATCCGACGCAGAGTTTGGTGGACGCTGAGCATATTCGACATTGGTGCTACCATCACGTTTGGTCGACCGCAAGTGTGCCCGTTCGACGGTGTTGACATAGCGCTTCCCATGAATGTTCATGACAAGGTGATATTATCCCAAAGCCTTAATCTCGTCGGCGACACTGACTCTTGCAGGACCTCACTGCGATGTCTAGCTCGTATCCTTCTGATCCAGAGGAAATCTCTGTTTACACGGCGGTACGAACGCAGGCAAGATTGTTCATCGCCACAAACCCAATATATATCCGAATTATCTCGAAACCTTTGCCCAGTGCTCGAGAGCTACTCCAGTTAGAAGCTCGGTGCCTAGGATCGTGGGCGGAAAAGACGCCGTCCTACTTTTCAGAAACAGCGGCCATACCCCCTAATTTTATCTTTTCCCACTCCGTCATGCAATGGAGATGGCGAAACTTTCGCATGATCATGTACCGCCCTTTTGTCATCCGGCGAGCTTTATTCGCGCGCAGCGGTCGTCAGGACAATTCGAGTCCAGAATCACTCCAGGCTTACGAGAGATGCTTGGACGATGCTAAACAGAGCATACTGTCAATCAGTGCATTCTGGGCTGCAAATGACCACATCCGTCTCTTCGCGTGGTATGCATTGTGAGTTATTCTCTGGTGACTGAGATTAAATGAGAGTCCTCTGCTAACTCACAAGCCAGATATTTCCTTTTCCAGGCTGCCTTGATCCCTTGTATCTGCCTGCAAAATGAATCTTCTTCCTCACACGCACCAGATTGGCGTGATCAAATTGTTACCTCTTTACAAGTTATTGCGGCCTTGGTACCAGTAAATCCAAGCGCCAGACGATGCCACCAAGTTATTGTTAGCCTCTGCGGAGCCCATCTCAATACACCGATGCCTCTTCCCGAGGATGTCAACTCGGAAGAGCCCCCCGTTCTCCAATCAGAAGACGTTGATGGCCTTCATAGCGCAATCTACTGTCAGGCTTCCAATGCACATGGGGATAGACAAATGATGTCTGGGGTAGACTCAAACGATCAGATGAACGCGGTTTTCTCCATGATGTGGCCCAACACGCTTTTCGATACTGCTGACAAGGGACATGATGATTCTTGGATGGATTTTCTCAATGGAATATAGACTTGAACATAATACCGAGCGCATGAAAGCATTATCCTCCATTTCCGTGCCCAAAAGGCCACTAGATATTGTTTTCTTTCAACAAAACTAAGGGTATACCACGTTGGTAGTGATACGCCCCGACTAATCGGGGACGATCTGGTTAATTTGAAACAATTTTCAATCATGAATTTTTTATGATACTGAAAGAGGATGAGGATTTGATGACATGGGCTCCAGAATTGGAGGTGATGCCGTGTCGCGCTAGAATTGACAGTACATGTACCTTAGCTTAGGGACTGTGTCCACTCCAAGGTCGACAGTCACCCGAGAAAAGGGATTCCGCAGAATGTCAGTTCTTTGGCTCAATGGAAGGGAGGGGACAAACAAAATCCTATAGGTCTAAACCTTCGCCACTCCCAAGAGATAGGAAGCTTACAATGATTGGCTTCGGACTCGATATCCGACAACCTCAATGCTGGGTGATCTTTACCTGTCTTCTATATGCAGTAGCTAAATACAACAGGGCCTGACCTGATCACTTCTTCCGGGTTCGACGCCCAATACTTGTATATCTTCAGCATCACGATCACGCATAATCCTGCATCAACGTGAATGACAAGCTATCACCCGGACGATTTATATCTCATGATCGATCCAGCTGTTTGCACACTAATGGCATAAGCCATTTGAAGTCCAGTTGTCCCATGATGACTACGTACTTTGGTAAAGATCCTGAATTCATATAATAGTTACCGGCGGCCATAACGCACCTTCCAATGTATTTCCTCTTTCCTCTTCAATCCATTTTTCTCTTTCTTTCAACCTCTTTCTTTCGATTTAAATTTTGGCTGTCTATATCGCAGTAGACAATATGCGCGGTGTACCTTTCTGTTATAGTTTACATCCAATGCTAAGCTCTCATTTCTATGCTTTCTATCATCACATCGTATCTGCCCCTACTTTTGGATAAAATATACTCTCCATTCACCAGATCATTTGTTTTCGCTCGATGAACTGCTCTTTCCATTGTTGTTTCAATCCCAGCTGCAAGATGCCGTGATGCAACTCGCTTACAGGCTAAATCCGGTTCCACATGGACAAACCACTTGTCGTCAACAAGATCTGCGATTTCATCCCACGGATGCTCATCACAGAGAAGATAATTGCCTTCCAAGATGCATACATCCACATCTGCCTCTATGAGTAATCCATCTGACACCGGATCTTTGATTGCATGGTCAAAAGTAGGCGCGAGAACCGGCTGGGTGCGTGTGCTTGTTTTGAGCTTTCGAACCAGGCTCACTGCGGCATGGCCATCAAAAGTCCAGGGCGCTCCCCGGCGAGCAAGGGCTTCCGAAGCATTGGGTAGTTTTCGCAGAGCGGCAAGTGGAAGATGGAATCCGTCGGCAGATACCACAATAGTTTTGGGGCTTTTTGATGGTAAGGAATTAATGATGTCAACAACCTTGTTGGCTATTGTTGTCTTTCCGGAGCCGGGAGGGCCTGCTACTGCCACTATGAGTCGAGGCGTCGAATTCTTTGTGCCGTTGGCGGTAGCCGCTTTTGCTTTCTTTTCCTCCCACTTGCTGAGGATGCAGTCTGCAAGTGACCTGTACGTTTGATCCATCTTGTATTGCAAATACTTGGATACCGGTTAAAAGGTCATAGTATTGCTTGTTGTATATATTCTTGCTCTGTCGAGCGGACACTGCTTTCCGTGTTAACCTCCCCCTTCATTGTGTAGACTGGATGCTTCGCTCCACATGCCTCCAAACTCTCCGAGTCATGGCCTTTGGTGCTCCATCTCTACGGACGACTGTCGCCCTTACCCACTAATAGTTCATGACCAGTCGCCCCCACTGTGCCTCTCCCGCCAGTTGCTCAGTACCTCATGTCAGCTTGCATGTGGTTTCATCAATTCTCGTCGTTGAATCTCTAGAGTCTACCAGTGGTTGAACTCGTGATCGGCATCTCATTGAGCTTCTTAGAGTTTTACTAACTGAATGATTTTTATTTACTTCATCCAAAATTACCTAGCAATATAACATCGGGTAAGCTGAACCAAGGTGAATCTAGGCAGCCTTTGTGGCCCTTGGCCCAATAAAGCGGCCATATACTTACGACATCTAGGCTCCTTTCTTCAACTCATTCATGGATCAGCTCTGGCGTAACGGAGCACAAGATGGTATTTCTTTGTCTTTTTTGTTTTCAAGGCGACCCTGCGCTGTCAGCAGATTACATATTCTCTGGCTCCATTGTCTAGTGAGTGCGGCCCCGCTCCGACTATTCCGACTGTCGTCCGACAAGAGACTCGGTGGAATCTCATGGCTGGTTAGTGCTCGCCTCTGGGTATTGGCTTTCGCCTGGATAACACCGCACTCCGGACGGGACAACGTTATAAATCCCGCCGCCTTAATCGCCACCAATCACGTAGTATTACCAATCGACTACCCCTACAAGTTTGTCGCGATTCCTTGCATTCTGTTACGCCCGATTTGTAGCGTTCCGTCATGTTGAAAGTTTTTGCATCTCGTAGCCAGCCTGCGTGAGATTGGGTATAGCGGTGAAGCGCAGAGCAGCCGGTATGGTCTGTCGACTACAATACGATTGTAGACGCTCCCGTCTCATTGGATCGGCAGCAGTCAAGAAAAAGAATAAGAAACATCTCCATCTAGCATTGGTAACCAGTATTAGTGTTTCATACCAACTCTTCAGAGGTCACCAGCCCGATTACCAAAGAAGCCCTGACTGTACGAATGCTGGTGATTGCCATCTCCACTCTGCATGATGGAGACCACAGACAACCTAAAAAAATTGCAATTTTCAACACCAGTGTCGCGTCCAGCGGGTGCCTGTCCTCTTTGAAGTATTGTAATGTGCGAGTAAAAAAAAAAATTCACGTGATATAATTATGTACAAATGTAAACTCTGAGCTTATAGGTTGGATTTGCACAGTTCAGCTAGCGATGAACAGCTCTGCGCTCTGTCCGCCATTCGGCTTTATAATCTTCCTTTTCCAACGTAGTATCATCTATGCATTTGGTTCGAGGCTGAAGAGATTCTGTGCTGGTTACTTACCTGCCTCAGCGTGACCCTCCTTTGACTCACTCATTTACTGGAGCACTTCCAACGGTCTCTTTTTGCACTGCAGCAGCCATCGGGATTGTCCCGGCATATTCTTTGGGTCTTTCAACAGGGTCTTTTGTTCGATTCAAGCAATGAGCGCGGATAATGAGGCTCGCGTGATTATTCCACGCATGCGCCCGTCTTGTTCACAGTGTCAAAGGTCAAAGAAGCGATGCGACCGAGAGAAGCCTCGATGCTCTGCGTGTGTGCGGTAAGTGAAAACCGCGGAGTAGGCTGGGGGACTAAATGAAGAGTCGAATTCTAATACACTAACGGTCAGATATGGGAGGGAATGCATCTATACCGGCACCGTGGGCACCGTGGGAAATGACCAAGCACCCATAACACTTGCCCCATCTAGATCGCCGTCGAAAGTTGCTCAAGAGAATGAAGAAAGCTTCCCTGTAGTGTTCTTCCTTGACTCTGTTCTTTTTCAGCGCTCCTTGAATCGGCTACCAGAACTAGAATTAAGCCTCGGCGATCCGCTCTTGAGCTACATTGGTCATGATGCGTCTGATAGAGCATTTGTAGGCAAATATTTTACAACTATTCATCCAGCGATACCATTTTTATCGAAAAGAGGGTTTAAGGAGAGAGTGTTAAACCCATTGGCTCCTCAACGACCGACAAACACGCTTCTTGTTGCGTCAATGAAGCTATTAGCAACCCCATTAGAAGATGAAGGACCACGGTGCGGTGCATATTATGCGATAAAAAACAGCCTACTTGAAGCCGAACACTCTTGTGTTTTGGAATTGCGCGTACTCCAAGCCATCATCCTCGTTGCTGTATACGAGATTGGGCACTCTATTTACCCTGCGGCATACTTAACAGTGGGTTATTGTATACGCTATGGGAGTGCGTTAGGTATTCACAGAGCAGTGGAACAGTATTCAGAAGAGGCTTTTAGTATTACCGAGTCAGAAGAGCGACGTAGGAGCTGGTGGACCATTCTGGTCTTGGATCGGTCAGTATATATATCCCTTCAATTGTTACTGTTGGGGATTTCCTGTCGTACTATTCCCTCGAGAGACTTTTGATGGTTTGTGTCAAACATGGAAGAATGACCCCTCAGGCTGACTGTTAATAGTTTTATAAGCCTTGGTAGCGCCGATAGAGCCTTTCTCACAACAGATCCCAGTAGTAACAGCTTGTTACCCATTGACGACACCATATGGGAGGAAAATGTAAGAATACTGAGTTGTGCAAAAAGATATAAATTTGATGGCTTATGACGGCTTAGGGAGAGACCGATGCTCCGGTTCGTAGGCTGTTTGAGCCACCGACCACGTCAATGGGCCGCTTCTCCCTGACTGCGCAAGCCGCAGTTCTTCTGGGTAGGGTGTTTCGTAGCATACATGAATTCCCTGTTTCAGAAGAGTTTTGGCAAAACGATGTAAAAGTATTAGATGATACTCTTGTTGCATTGACAAATGTTTCGTTGGAAGAAGGTCGCTTTCGTGGCATTGCTGTATGTAGCCCTTCAACTATCTGCTACAGGTAAGTACCAAATCCATATCCTTAATGAGGGTATTGATTTGGCTGACAGACCTTCATTGCTCGATTGCTTCTACACGATAAAGAAAGATATGCACCTGGCAAAAAGCCACTCACATCGACAGATAACTTTATATCACAAGATTTTAAGCATGAGATTGCTGTTGGTATGCTTGGATTAGCTAATACAATAATCGCCACGAATAGTTGCGCCGCGGAGGAAATCACGCCACTTTGTCTAGAGGCGATCTATCGGGGAGCCGTATTATACGCTCAGGAATATTCGAGAACAGGGGATCCCAGCACTGCAGCATCATGTAGAGCTATCAAAGACGCCCTGAACATAATAAGCAAGAGATGGAGGGCGGCCAGTAAGTCACTCACTCACTCCATTTGTATGAGGATAACGGGCAAACTCTTTTAGCGTTCTATGTTCAACTAATCGACGCACGAATGGTAACTGGTATCTTGTAGCTTTCCATGTTTGGACGCATATAGTATGTCTCGGTCATATATGTTGATAAGAGCTATTCACAAGAAACGGTTTGAAGGATACAATTATGGAGTAAAAGCTATATAGAGATATCTATAGAAATCTAATTGAAACTGTCTATGAAAAGTAAAGTGTTGCCCGGGGTGCTATGAAACTGGCGGAGCAGCAAATCCATGTGATACCTAGTAATTAAGCGCCGTTGATTTCTCCATATGTTCCGAACGGAGGAGCTCGGCCAGCTGAGAATGGAGCCGTCGGCAGATGACCATCCAAAAATTCGCCAACGACCTTTGTAAAATAGCCGGCATATTGAAACAGATGGCCGTGGCCACTGCTGGGAAACATAACGAAGTTGGCTCGTGGCAATTGTCGGGCAAGAACAAAGGAATTTTGCGACGGAACGATAAGATCATTGTCTCCAGAAGTAACTAGGGCATCCTTTTGTATAGTTTGCAATAGAGAATAGGGGACTGGATCAGCGTCCCAAGTCAGGTAAGCCTGTGTGAGATTGACTAGAGATTCTCCAGTTGTGAAGCCCGCAATCTCAGGTTCTCCATGTTTCCCAGCAACGCCTTCTCGTGCACCGAAGCTTCGATTGAACCAAGCTTGTCCCTCATTACCGGTCGTGAAAGATGGGAAGAATGCTTCAATTGTTGGCAGCCCTGGAGTTGGGTTGAAGACTGTAGATTGCACCTCATTCATTGGCCGCTCAACGCCCGGCCCAAGGCTAGGGCCAGTACCGGAGAGAACCAATTTGTTAACCAGGTTTGGAGCATCCAAAGCAAACTGTTGAGCAACGTAACCGCCCATGGAAAATCCAAGAATATCCACCTGCTGAGTGTGCAAGGATGGGAGTAGCACGTTGAGAAAGGCAAGCAGATTAACAGCAAAACCCCTGATGGATGGCGCAATATTGCCCTGACTGTGTCCTATCCCGGCATAATCGTACGTTATAAGTTGCCGACCAGACGCAGTAAAATTGTTGATAACTTCAGGATCCCATGTGTCAATGGTGGCCCGAACATGGTTGAGCATCAGCAAAGGAACTGGGTGACTCTTTGAGGTGGAATTTCCGATGAGTCGGTATGCATATTTGATGCCGTCTGCATCAAGATATAGAGTCTTTGCGGTTTCTTGTGTGGCCATTGTGGTAGAATTTTGTTGCTGTTGTACTGATTGATATAAAGTGTTTGCTTGAATGCAAGTGATGATTGAAGTCTCATGATGAAGGGAGATGGTCGCCCATATATACCCAAATCTGAACCATATTATCTATATCTAGACTTCATAACATGCAACAACACTAATGTAACATCGTCACTTCGGATTTCCTCTCGAATGCTCCATATTTGTCATTGTTCACCCGCCTATCCCGCTCCCCGTCTCTTGTCCCGACCTAATCCGACCTAATCCGACCAATTCAGGGCCCGGCATCTTCGGCCCACAAAACCACGCCCGGTCCAACTTGGAACCCCTTATGAATGCATGGGTTAATAAGTCTGTTGAAGTTTTCGACTTCCTGAATGGGCTTGAGGAGGATATTTTGGCGATGTTGGAGGGAATGATCGGCTTGAACGTTGCCACTTGACTACGAAATCTCAGTCTCTTCTCGCATCCTTGCATAGTTAACGGAGTACACCCAGAGTGGTCTCGGTTACTCCGTACCAAATGCAGAAATAGATATTAAGTGGTAGCAAGTATCTCTCTGCAGGTGGTTATTCAAAAGCACAGCATATTTTATACATTCAATCTCGATACAAGGAAGGACATACCATTGGATAAGTAAACGGAAACAAATGGATCACTGAACAGGAACAAAAGTTGTTGAAGCAACTGGAATTTGTATTGTGCACATCGCCATCAATTGTCCACATCTCGCGGTTCCATAGTAGACCATGCCTTCTCATATTCCTCGGCACTCATGTATTTAAACTCCGTTGGCCGTGTAATTGGCAGGAAATTTTCTCCGTTTTGTTCAAACTGTTCCAACCTCTTCTTCGTTTCAGGTCGGCTTGCATTGACGCTGTAAATCTTCACTCTGTGGCAGCTGCTCGTAACGTGCAGCCCCCAGTTCCAGCTGTGGCGTACGTTCATTGGCTGCGTGTTAAGACTGTTATCCCAGCAGCGGACGACGAGCTCAGTCCATCCTTCATGGTCGCATGGGATAGAAGCGGACCACGTCCTCCACGCATATTTATGCTTTGGTGAGAGATTTTCGAGCGGTACGGCATACCAAGCCCAGCCACCGTCCGCAGAGACCTCGACGCGCTCTGGCCAGCGTCCACCACCAGAATAAGCCCAACCTTGCACAGTTAGCAAGCTGTAAAGTCGCATAAAAAAACACATTGCGTCTTACCAGTGACTTCAATATGACCGTTATGAACCACGACTTCTTTATGCCAAGGGCTCATGATGGCGCTGCTGACTGGCATCTCTTGAATCTGAATTCCCACTGCTTGCAAATCAGTTTAGCTGCCATAGTCTAGTATACCGGAGTCTCTTACGCGTAGGGAGCTGATTATGCTTTCCGTATTGCTGCTGGAAGTACAGATATTCCCTGCTCTGTACAGGAGCAAGACTGGGATTCTCGATTGCTTTGATGCGGTAGAGCCACTTGACACTCCTCGCGCCAATGTAGCCCATGACCACAGCCCTCAGTGGGAAGCCATGGATCTTAGGCAAAGGCTTATCGTTCATCTCCCATGCAAGGAGGACTTCGTTTGCCTTAACCTTTGACCAAGGAACAGATACCACATAATTCATGCAATCACCACCCTTGAAATATGTTTCTGCTCCATATAACTCAAGATGTTTCGCATCACCCTTGAGCCCACCACAATATTTGATGATCTTTTTGAGACTGACACCGGTCCATTTTGCTGTCCCAATTGCGCCTTCCGCCCACGGAGCATTGATCATCTCGTCACCTTCGCCGGCATATTCACCAATCTGCTCAACGCGCCTCGTACCGCTGCACTGAATGGTAACCAACGTAGATTTGCGTGGGAATAAAGCTTCATTTTTTAGATCATCCAGCGTAAGGACCTTAGGGTCATTCACCAAGCCGTCAAGACGAAGGTCGAACTCTACTGGATCAATGTCTGGTATGCCACCATGGTTGCGTACAAAATGGAGTTCGTTTGGCGTTACGGCTTCTTTGGTGAGAAGGCCTTTGGGAGGCTCACCATTATAGGGAAATTGGAGAAGATGGAGCATGCCCGGATGTTTTTCCTGTATGGAATAGTTAGCCTACTGCATGCATTCTTAACTGTAGGATAAGGGAGAATACCTCTAGCACAGTCTTCCAGCTCTCTTCGGGCACGTTGGTGAGAGCACCACCGATAGCTTTATGCCACAGCTTCCATCGAACACCTTCAAGGACTGGATTGGTAGCTGGGACTGGCCCAAGTTGGAATTCAGGGGGTGGAGGGAATTTATGACGTGAAAACCTCTTGCGAGCTTTAGCCTTTTTCTCCGGATATTCTTCCCACTCTATGTATCCTTTCCATCCTTTCCTTTCTTCTCCAACTACAAAAGTCGGGTCATCATCATCCGCATCAGCACGAAGTTCTGCTGAATTGGTCTCCGTAGGAGATTGTAATTCCGTATGAATCACCAGATTGCTCTGGTTCCGCAAACCAAGATGAGCAGGATCTAATCCTTGCTCAAGCTTCCATTCATTTGGAGGCTAGTGGTTGTTTGTATGGTCAGCATTCATTCAATATCTCTTCCGACTACTGTGCTGACCTGAAGACCAACCCATCGCTTTTGATCTGTATCCATTGCTCAATTGTTTATTCAAACCAGAAGACTAATAGCAATTCAATATCTTTGGAGCTCCAAAGCATTTGAGATACGCCAAAAGATATCCCTGCTTATATACACAATATCCGGTTGGGTATCAACCTCATACTCCTATCGCAATCACTTCAAGTGCGGGGTTTCATAGTAAGATTAATCTATTCCTGCAGATGTTACGTCACTATGATTAAATAGTTCTATGCAGAGATAGCTTTACAATGATCTATCTTAAAAAGAGATATCATTTCGGGACTTGAATGGGAGTGGAAGTTGTGTGGAACATGGTGTCTTTTGAGCAAGAGGGAAGTGCCAATCTGAGATGAAGCCATCCTCGATCGGCCGTAAATATGGCGTCGTACAAGATGGTCATTTCTTTGGCTAAAGAAGAGCTTAACCCCAATATTTTGGGTACAACTTCGGCAATTATTGTGGCCTCGTGGCGTTGCTGTGTCAATTTATAGATGGCTAGGCGCAGTCACTTTCCTTCGGCGCGTGAAGAAACTTGGTCAAAGTTTATGTATGTCATTCCTGGAACACATATACAACCGTGAATCCTTTTTACTAGGCGAGATATATGTGCTTCATCTTTTCTATGGCTTGGTGAAGCTAAATAAGAAAAGTTTCAACCTTGTAAACCCGATAATTGCTGATGGAAAAGTAAAAGCATATCCCCCTGACACTGAAAGCAAGAAGGAACTCGAGTGTATGGCGTGCAATGAAATGGCTAGAAGCAAACGCTGTTCAAATTTTAGCCTCGCTTCCAGATGGAGATAATATCACGAATCCAAGCAAGCATCCCTCGTGCCCGAGCGGCGGCATTCAGAAGCCACAAGTACCTCTTCACAAATGTTTCCACCTGGTCGTAATCATGGGCGTAGCATTCCCAAATTCCTTGAGCCTGGTTTGGATCCTCTATACCTAGCAAGCCACTACCATTATCGACTCCCTCGGAATCGTGGGGCTTTAACCGTGGGCCAACAACGAGAGCACGACCAACTATGGATTCATCGGCAATCAAACGCGTGGCTGCGTCGACCACATCGGGAACTTGTCCCGGCCCTGCAGAGCCAGAGAGCAAAAGTGCCTCGGCGGTTGGCTGTAGCATCTTAGTCTGTGCAATATAGTAGGGTGCGATCATGTTTATGCGGATTCCCTTCAAAAATGCGGTTCCGCGCATTGAGCGAAAGAGGCCGAGCACGGCATGTTTACTCATGCAATAATGACTCTGACCAGGAAGAGGGATGAGTGATGCCACAGAGCCGACGAACAGAAAACATCGATCGGGACTTTTGTTTTGTGGAAGGTAATATAGCGCAAGGTGAGCGGTGAAAATGACTCCTTTGACATTTACATCAAGAGTAGCTGTGTTGGGCTCGGGCAATTTGCCATTCACCAAGTCGGGATTTTCGAATTTGGTTGCCTCCCCGGGGAGAATAATTCCTGCATTGGGCACCACAATATCTATAGAACCGTGTGGGCTGGCTTTGGCCGCGGCATCGAACAGGCTGACCTGAGATTCCCAATCTGTGACATCGCAGTGTCGGAACTCAAAAACCCCTTTAGGATATGCCATTCGAAGAGAAGCCACGAGCTCCTCGCCAGCTCTGTCCGCAACATCGCCAATCACAACATTGGCACCATGAGCGGCCCAATGCCGGACCATGTGCGCGCCCAAGCCATTAGCGCCTCCTGTGATAAGAATTGTTTTGTGATTGAGAGTCGATGGGTCGTACGGCTTATTAACATCTACCGGGAGTGACTGTTTGATTGTTTGTCGCACGTCGCCCATCTTGTACGCCCTGGTATGTTGATATGACAAAAGTTCTGGTGATGTGGAAGCTTGCTAAATGCCCGCCAAAAGGGTCGCTGAAATATCTTGTAAAGCCATCTTTATTTGCCTCTATAAAAAAGGCACGTCTTCTACTAGCGCTTATGAAAATGCACTAGAACATTAAATAGTCTGCCATCTAGTGGGAGGGGCACACGGAAGGCTCAAGTAGTATTGGGTTTTTGCCGTGAGGAAATCGGATTGAGGCACGATGCACCTCATGATAAACCGTAGTAATTAGGCTTCTCTGTAACCTTCATAATCAAGAGTCTTAAAGAAAACGAAACGTGAATCAATTTGGGATTCTCAATATCGCAACGTTCTAGACATGTTGCGCTTCCTACTCCAAACGTCACGTCCCATCTCTCAGCTTATCTTGGCAAGTCAGGCAGTAACAATTTCATCTCCACTTAAATTTAGTATTGGTGAGCGCCGAGCGGTTCTGGTTTCCATCGGCCGGTCTGGACATGTCTTCATCTGCCGCCGAATCTCCATGGTTAAGCCGCCAGCCGTCGTAAGGTCTGAAATCATGATATCATTTGATGGGACTTGGGTGGGAGAAAGACTCGTCGCCAGACAGGAATGGTGGGAGATGAGGATGAGGGGTATCCAAGCCTGTTAAAAGAGAGCAAAGGAGGCTAGAAATAGAAAAATGGCAATGAATGTGAACTCCCCTCGATGCCCCCCCGCTTCCGTATACTTGCTTAAAGTCTACGAAATTGCGCTAATGTGATTACGCCCCCTCTGTTACTTCCGAGCTCGTCCGCGACCCCTTCCGGAGCTTAATTTGTCCGATATTGCTCAACTACCATTCTACCCGGCATTATGACAACTCAGAAGTAACATCGTTAATTCTGCATTATCTATGAAGTAGCTGTCATGTAATAGTTCAGCCAAGCAATGCCGTCAGCCGCTTGAGGCTTGGCTTCTCAGTGATCGCGATGAACCATTCCGTCTCTATACATGTATGTTCATTAGCACGCATCTCGAGTGAGCTTGGCGTGACCTTGTCTCGTAACATCTGTGGAATCGTTTCTCTTGAATAATATTTCTTCATACATCAATCACGATTTATGTGCTACTTTGTAATGTTATCGTCAAGTATAGGGCATTTATCCAATAACATCATTATAGACGGTATTATGGCCTTCAGACTGCATGTCAACCATTTCTTAACTTATATTCGTCATCGGCAGGAGAGAAGAGCAGTCATAAAATTGCATCCCTTTATCCAGTTAGTTAGAAGACCCAAGAGGGCTGCCTACTGTCACCGATTTTGGGAATCGACTCAGAGCAACTGATGTAAAAGTAGATCAATAAACTGCTTTGTCTTACAGTTTTGCAATGCTTGAAATTCTCGGCCGTAAACTCCTCCGAACTCCAGCGGTTAGACACAACCATGCATTAATTTGCATTCTGTACGACTGATATTTAAGAATCACTATGAATTCGGTGTATAGAAAATATCATTTGGCTTTGGCCCCACTGAAGCTGCAATCCCTTATGTGCTCTATAGTTGTATAATTGCAACGAGAGTCTCCTTATCTTACTCAGCTTATCTATCGAGTGACATCCGGAAAGGGAACAACCGAACTTTAATCATCTGTTTCAGTTGCACTGTGCCCTAGTATCCAGCCCCTCGGACGTCGACGGACCAAAAGTTGTTACGCAAATATATCACACGGACAAGTATGATACCCGAAATTCTTTGAACACCCTTCACAGTGATTAAACTTGTGGGTACACCTTAAATATCGGTGTCACATACCCGCTTTCTCGAAATGTTCAAACACCTTATTGGACCGGGCTTCACTTCGTCAACATTACGCCGTTTGATGGTTTCCACACTGAAATGTCAGCACCGTGTCAGTAAACCCCTTTCACCTGTAAGCTCATTAGCTGGTGATTATATGTGGTTAGTACTCAATGTTTCGCTCAACTGCTCTTTGAACATTTCACATATATAGCCATGTTGATATTGTGTCAATATATGAGAAAAGAATTTCCCAACTTAAGTGAATCTTCATCACGTCTATTGGAATATAGTATTCACAAGAACCTCAACTTCTACAAGTCACTTACAATGTCTGACAACCGCCGGGACGTCTCATTCCAAGCTTTTGATGGAGTTGCCCTTAAAGGCTGGTTTTTCCCGGCTACTTCAGAAAAAGGTCCATGTATTATTATGACTCATGGGGTACGTTCAACTGGCGAGCCATGATATCGACCAAGGTTAATGCTTCTGAACATTAGGTCACAGCTCTCAAAGAGCACTTTATTGATGGAATGGCCCTGGATTTCCAAAAAGCAGGATTCAATGTTTTACTCTATGACAATCGTGGATTTGGAGAAAGCGGCGGTCGCAGATATGACGCAGACCCTGTCAAAGCACAAGATGACTACATTGATGCCTTTGACTATGCCACATCTATTGCAGAGGTTGATCCTGAGAGAATTGTCTTTTGGGGGCCTAGTCTTGCTGGAGGAGTTGCCATATCCGCTGCGGCAATTGACCGCCGAGTCAAGGCTGTTATTGGCCTCGTGCCCTATGTATCGGGAGAGCTTTTAATGGGGACTGGTCAACCACTTCTTGATATGGCCGAACGAGATCGTGCCATAATCCGTAAAGGAGAAGAATGGCCCCTCTCCCGCGTCGTTGCCTCCACTATTGAAGAGGCTGAGGCTGGAAGTGCGCCGGTATTGCTGCGAGATACGACCAGCTTCCGCTTCTTCCAAGACGCAACTGCGCAAGGTGGTAACTGGGAAAATAAAATCACCACGATTTCCCTTTTCCGATTCCTTCGATTTGAGCCAATTAGGTATATCCATCGGATCGCTCCTACACCCCTCTTGATGGTTGTGGGGGAAAAGGATGAGGGTTTGTTCTCGCCTCAATTGCAGGCATTTGGACTTGCGCAGGGACCAAAAGAGATTCATATATTGAAAGGTGGTAATCATTTCAACCATTACCATGGGGAACTACGCGAAGAGAGTCTTGCAGTTCAGATTGAGTTCTTGAAAAAATATGTGTAGCCTCATCAACCTCTGGAACTGTTTTCATCTGAACCCTCGAATCTAGACTTTGAATAGACTTTGAAGGTCCGTTGAGATGGGAAGGCTGTGTACCTATAGAACCCCATGCCGTCGTGATGAAACATGGTACAGCGCGACACCTTTATAAAGGGAAAAATAAAAAGGTTTCGACGTTGTAAAACTCTTAGGCAGTGAAAGTAAAGTGACTAATTAGGGTTCAAATTGTATTAAGTACTCTGTGTCGATTAGGAACAGTCTTTAAGATAACTCCTGATGACGTGCTCGTGGTACATGTGGAAACTGCTCAGAATAATCACTCATGCTGTCTATTAATAGTACAAATCAAGGCGCTGTAAGAGTCTTCGGCACGGTATGTCACTTGTCGCGTCTTATTGCGTAATCTGCCGGATCGAGGCCGAGACGAGCTGCTCATATTTATCTCCGATGGCGTGCCGTTTCTCTAATCGTCTGGAGTTGACGCGCCCATAATTTTGGGCCGCTTCGAGGCTGCTTAACATTCTTAAGCAGACTGGTTGGTATTAGTATGACCATGCGATATAAGATGAGAAGCTCTCCAATTCGTATTCAAGTCAAGTCTCAAATTATCTAACAAAGCTGCCCGCTAAATGTTCTGTATTAGAGATTGCCGAGCCCTGATCTGTGAGAATATGCGGAGTAGACAAAGCGAAACCATACAATACATGACCCTAGCATTCTGACGCTGACTGAACACAAATCAGTTGCATAATGCCATGTGTTGGGGGACGAGTAGGGAAGTGGTGTTTAGTAGTACTGCTCCGTCCACCTGCCCATTCTGCGCATGCCGCTCTGTTAGTTCGCTTACTGAGAAGAAAATATGCAGAGCTAAAAAGGCCTGATTGCATTGTATTCCTAATCCCATGAAGTTGCTCAGCCGCAGCGTCTTAGTCACAAAAGAGATTCCTAATCAAATGTCCACTTAATAGCTGCGGTTGCGACGTCTTAATTATTCCGAGTAACGCTACTTTGGATCCCATGAGAGATTTGCTGGCTACATCTGGTCGCCTTTACTTTATAGTACGTTATGATATAGGAAGACGCGTGAATATGAATTATGAATATGATTCTGCTCGTAAATATTAGTAGTACTGGAAAATGGGACACATAGAGCACATATACATGGTAACCACATACGCACACACGCCAGCATATATCTTGGCTCTATCGCTCTTGGTTGCGGTAAGCAATTAATTGCTATTGGTCACCAAAAATCACATTATACAACTATAACAGTTTACAATCAACAACATGGATTCAGAGCACAGCCGGCTTAGCACAATCACCAAATTAATAAACGACCGCCATACTGTTCGGAAGTTTTTGCCAGAGCCTGTACCTCGCGAAGTACTGGAAAAGGCACTATCGTTGGCTCAGCGAACAGCCTCAAACAATAACTTGCAGCCCTGGCGAGCAATAATATTGACTGGCGAAAAGCTGGAAAGCCTCAACAAAGTGATGTTGAGCGCGTGGGATGAAGGGTGGCCTGATATTCCCGAAACACCCGCAGATTATATGCATCACAAGGAGAATTTCGACACGGAATTGTACGGAAAGTTATTGGGCATTGGCCGTGACGACCACGAGAAGAGAAAGATAACTTTGGCGGAGAATTTTCGCTTCTACGGAGCCCCAGCAGCGGCCATTGTCTACATGGACAGCAGACTTTCAAAGTATGATGTGATTAGTGTTGGATTTTGGATGCAAAACTTGACCCTGGCCCTTCGAGCACAAGGCGTTGAGGCCTGTTACCAGGCCAGGATGGCAGGATATGCAGAGCTGCTGCAGCGCGAACTAGACCTTCCTGAGGGTGTAAATTTCCTGAGTGCAATCGCAATAGGCTATGAGGATGTTAGCTATGTGGGAAATAGCCTCAGGATGACTCGAGATCATTGGGCCAGGAATGTCCAGATCCGATAGAGACAAGGCACTGTTTATAAACCGGTAGGATACGAATACAAGGTTATTAGCAGAGCTGGAATAAAGTAACCCGTTGTTATAGCAGTTTTTATGAATACGTATTCCTTCTTGTAAAATATTTTGTATGTTCATAAAAATAGAAATGCTTCATTGTCTCATGAGAATTAAATTGTACCCATATGTCGATAGCAGCACTTGAAACAAAAGATCGTTAAATACAAGAGAACTTAAAGCTTGAAAGGCATAAAATGGTTTCAGATGCAGTTCAAACATACCATCAATGAGAAGCTGCTGTTTAGGCTTTCATCTCATCTATGCTTACATAGAAACTACTATATAACGCAAGATGTCTAACAAGTATGCGAGAACTGTATGCATGTTTTAATGAGTCTTTTTCCCGGCTGACTAGAAGCGCTACTCTTTCAAATGCTGAGCTTATTAATGAAGCCTAAGGCAGCAATAAGATTCATAATCTGTTTTGAGATGTAGAGCCGTGCTAACTCTGGCGCTTTGCAATCGATGTAGCATTTATAATGTTGTTCGTGTGCAACTTCACCACCTTGCGCCGATACAATGCCTGGAAACCGGGAATGTTTTTTTACCAACACTATACACACCTTCTGTATTGGAAAATTCGATTTGGAAACAACATTGCCAAGTGAAAATATGGTGTTCGACGGCCGCTTTTTCGCAAGCAAACAATTACTAACCGGAGGCTTGATGGTTAATATATATACTAATACTGACGCCATATAAAACCGAACACGACAACTTGCGAACAGAAAAAACAAAACATTTAGCAGCCTACTATTGCCATATCGATAAGTAATATTGATTTGTATCACTACAAAATGCCTACTAGGAAAGAAGTCGAATTCAAGACCCGCGATGGTCTTACATTGAGAGGCCTACTCACATTGCTGGATGCGCCTAACGCGCCTCTTGTGATTTTCGTGTCCCCAGTACGTTTACACAAAGTTATGGTGGCATCTCTAAAGAGAACTAACACAACATAGTTTGGTGTTACAAGAGGTCATCTGATGGATCATCAAACAAGTCTCTTCAACGAAAATGGGTTTGCAACGTTAACCTACGACGCAAGAACGTTTGGCAAAAGTGATGGACTACCAAGACACAATATAAATTTCGATAATCAATCTGAGGATATTTTTGACGCCGTCACATACGGTACATCTTTAACACCGCATGTAGACTCAGAACGTATTGCCATTGGTAAGTATACTATGTGAACCCGATGCGCATTGCTTGAAGCACCGAGTTTCAAAGCCTTGCGTATTTGAATTGATGTCAGAAGTACTGACATATTCCCAAAGTTGGCGGTGGGCATGGAGGAGGCGCATCTATCCGAGCGACCGCCCTCGACCCGCGAGTCAAGGCCCTTGTTTTGCAAGTCCCAGGAATCTCGGGCGCAATGGACGCCCAATTTTACCCTCCAGGTATACTGGACCGATCAAGAGCAGACTTAACGCGACCGAAGCATTCGGATGAGCAAGAGTATATACAACTTTTCCCGGAAACAATGGAAGAAGCCACAGCGGCCACTCAAAAAGCGCTGCTTGGAGGGCCAGCGCTTTTCAACTTTCACTCCTACATAAGGGGGAACTGTGATGCGAAGGAGTTCAATTGGCAAAACAGAATCACACTCGAAAGTGCCTTCTATAATTTTGCCAACGAATTCCAGGCATATCTGCCCAGAGTTTCCCCCAGGCCGCTCTTGTACGTGGCGCCCAGTGGAGAGCTCCCTACTGAGCCTCATGAAAAAGCGTATGCGAAAGCAAACGAACCTAAACAGTTCTCCAAGATCGAACCGTTTGACTTTGGGGGATATATGAACGGCACAGCCAAGGTATCACAGAAGGATGTCGAAGTCAAATTTTTACAGAAGCATCTTTTGTAAATCACTTAATGTTTCTCAGCGCACAAGGACGAAAGGGAAATCTTAAAGCTCCCATATAGTTTTAGCAACTTACACGCTTAATTTAGATTATATAACTGGCAAGTCAAGGTCTGGAGCGTAGCCTTGTTTTGAACTGACCATTGTAGCTTTACTGACCCTCTTGGTTATACATATGACCTCCATATAGCTGGCAAGTCTAGAGAACATTGAAGAGCATTTGTTTCAATATCTTCCAAAGAGTGAAGTCATGTAAATCAGCAGCTAAATTCCAAGTCTTAGTAGATGAATATCATGTCTGTCAATGCAAGATAAAAATCCGTCGTCCTCAGACACTACCTCAACATCACGGGATTGATGCTTCTTTTCACCGGGGCCACGCCAAGGAGGCCCAACTCGAGTGCACCGGTATTTATTAATCGTGAATATGGCTTTCAGCGGGGCTCCAGGTAATCAAAAGGAAGGTCTTCCAGTTGGGCCCAAAAATCCCCGAACACCAGAATAAGAGGCACACGCAGCCAGATGGCCCTTTTGCTATATACGTAATTGAAACTCAGGAAAACACCACACGCCCGCATCAACCGATGCACAGCCCCAAAGCCGTTACGAATAAAAAAAATGACCCAAAGAGCGGACTTAATGTTATAATCTTAACTATTTATTGCACTTTGTTTCGATTTTACGTATACCCCATGCCATACGTTGACAATTATTTTGCTTGCGAAAATTTGCAAAAACTACTAAAATATGGCCAACGTCGATGCCGAAAGTCCATTTCTACGGCTATCGAAATCTTTTGTTTCTTATCAGTTTACGGTTATTATGGCCTTTCTTTCTTTCTTGAGGAGCTATTTTCACTGTTCTCTTTCTACGTAAAATAGGTGCAATTACTGGTGTATAAGCTGTGCCAATGGTTGGGGAGTTTCAGGGATTGTAAATCACCTTCCTTTTAGAGTAATGTCAAAGGTCCGGCACTCGGTATCCCCTCCTTCTTAAAACTTGACAAGCCGCCGGCGGGTATTGCGCCATATAGCGATTTGCCGTCCCTCCTATTCAAAGGTTCCTCATTCCTCGGACTTTGTGACTTAATTAGCAGGTGCGCAGATATTGGTGCGATCTTAGTGTGCATGGTGCTAGCTGAAGCGCTCAAGTATCTGCCTTGCCACAGCCGATAGACTTCTTCACTTAAGCTTGTAGGCTAGCTCGCCAAAGCTAGTTTGTTGGCAATATATAACCTTAAACGAATCTTAAACTGTATAGCATAGCTTAAACTATAGAGCAAATAAGTGCAGCATGGGTATGGCTTCATAGGAATGACGATGTGTGCCAAAGGTGATGGAAACACACACTTGTATATTAGCCTAGGAAGATATGGAGATTGTCCTGGCAAAAGTTCATCAGTTTATGCCTTAAGACTCAGCATGAATATCCATTAGCAAACATGCGGACGATATTGCTACATCTTATTGCTTTCCGTATTCAAACTAGATGCCAAGAGCTGGGCGCTGTGACTACCGAATGGAAGCACACAATCTTGTTTGGATCGATTTGTCCTAAATCCTTTTAGGCAGCTTGGTTGTCTGTGACCAGCAACTTGGCAGATCATTCAGAAAGACGCCATATTGATAGAAGTGATGATAGCTCAAGCTGGTGAAATCGATTACATATAGGGCGCCGATAAAAAAATATTTAAATCGACTCTCCTCGCAACAAAAACACTTCTGATCAGACCCAGCCATCAATCTCTCATTACCTCCAAGTTTACAATAAGAAGACATTTTCACAATGGCCAGCATCCGCCGCCTTGCACTCTACCTTGGAGCTTTGCTCCCAGCTGTCCTCGCTGCCCCTGCAGCTCACCACAAGGCTCCCGAGGCTGTTCCCAACAAGTTTATTGTTACTCTCAAGGAGGGTGCGTCGGTTGATACTGATTCTCACTTGACTTGGGTGAATGACCTCCACCGTCGTTCTCTTACCAAGCGCAACACCGCTGGTGTTGAGAAGACATATAACATCCACACTTGGAATGCCTACGCCGGCGAGTTCGACGAGGAAACCATTCAACAGATCAAGGCTAGCCCTGATGTATGTCTTAATCATGTTTTACATCGTACATTAACATCACCGAGATACTAATAGTAGAATCAAGGTTGCCTCTGTTGAGCCCGACTACATCATGTACCTGTCTGACATCGTTGAGGACAAGCGCGCTTTGACCACACAGACTGGTGCTCCTTGGGGTCTTGGTACTGTTTCCCACCGTACCTCCGGCTCTACTAGCTACATTTATGATACCTCGGCTGGCAGCGGAACATATGCCTACGTTGTTGATTCCGGTATCAACACTTCCCACCAGCAGTTTGGTGGACGTGCCACTCTCGGCTACAACGCCGCTGGAGGACAGCATGTTGACACTCTTGGCCACGGTACTCACGTTTCAGGAACTATTGGTGGCTCTACCTATGGTGTTGCTAAGCAGGTAAGCTGGGTTCATACATGGCTTGGGAGTCTATGGCTCTTAATAACTAAGCCTCGCTAACTGGGAGATTATAGGCCAACCTCGTCTCTGTCAAGGTCTTCCAGGGAGACAGTGCTAGCACTTCGGTCATTCTTGACGGCTACAACTGGGCTGTGAACGATATCGTCTCGAAAAACCGGGCCAGCAAGTCCGCCATCAACATGTCGCTTGGCGGCCCCTCTTCTTCCACCTGGACTACCGCTATCAATGCAGCCTACAACCAGGGTGTTCTTACTATCGTGGCTGCCGGTAACGGTGACACTTTCGGAAACCCCCAACCTGTTTCTGGCACCTCTCCTGCCAATGTGCCTAATGCTATTACTGTCGCTGCGCTCGACATCAACTGGCGGACTGCTTCTTTCACCAACTACGGTGCTGGCGTTGACGTTTTCGCTCCTGGTGTTAACATTCTGTCTTCATGGATCGGCTCGAACACGGCCACTAACACAATCAGCGGTACCTCCATGGCTACTCCTCACGTTGTCGGTCTTGCTCTCTACCTCCAGTCTCTCGAGGGCCTTTCAACCCCCGCTGCTGTCACCAACCGCATCAAGGCTTTGGCCACTAGTGGTCGCGTCACCGGCAGCCTTAACGGCAGCCCCAACGTCATCATTTTCAACGGAAACAGTGCTTAAATTGGCCATATAGTCAACAATGCCTAGGCTTAAAATGCGGAAAGTGTGACACATTAACTGATTGGTCTATTGTAAAAAATGGTCATGTACTCAGTAGACAAAGTCAAGACAAAGTCAGCGCCATGGTCAGGAGGCATGGATGAAAGTTGAACAATTGAAATAAAAAAATTATCTATCTACACTGATAGCTCCCTCCATAAGTGAGCGTGTATACCATGGTATGTTTGAACAAAGCCATCCATTCCACCTCGCATCATTATGTGCAGATCATCTGCCTTGGTTCTTTACTACATCATATGCTTGCATATAATATTCTATTGCTTAACCTGCCTGGTAAAGAGTAGCTAGATTTTGAAGGAGTCCGTTATATGCAAAGTACAGATCCAACTTATCAACTTACATATGACAACTTAGAAGTATTTCTTGGGCTATGAAGTAAGGTCTATACTGAATCTTGAATAGAGTTGGCGAACTGTCTATTGTTTAACATAAGGATTTTGAACGACTAGATGATGTGAGAAAAATGTGCACACGAGGGAAAATAGCATGCAATAACATGACATTGGTTGTTTTAACCTGTCTGTCCGGGTTTGGAATTGGCTGATGACATCGATCATTCTCAACAAGGTCGATGAGCAAACTGTGATCTGTCCAATTTTATATTTACTGGATGATTTACTTTGTAGATATTCACTTTTGGTCCTTTCGCGCAGCCGCTGCTGATGGAAAGCTGTCATCTCTGTGAATAGGTTCGATCGGCTGTAACCGATCGGATCTAAATAAGCTGCAGTCAGGACCCGTCAGACTAGTCAGCAATGAGATGGCTACTAAGCTAACACTTCTAACTCTGATTTTCTCAAATAACGGCAAGCAACTTGTCCACTCCCTTCCGGAGGAGGCCCTTTACTAATTCAGCCCTTACAGCCCATGGGCTGCTCTATGGAATATGTGAAAATATGTGATATCCAGCCTGGTATACAGAGCTGCCAAATTTCTACGAGCACAAAGTGGCCATGCTAACTGCTCCGCACTGATTCACATCTTATGCATTATCCTGTCTAGATAACCCACGGTGGAGAGATCCCATGCATTTTCGAGCACCGCTGCAGGTCATTACGTAATCTGATCCGTTAGACCACGTCTTGTTATTTTTTCCCCCATGGCGGAATAGCAACAACATTTGTTAGAAGAACTCATCGGTGCCCATACCTGGCTTGTATATTTGACCACCGCCACAATGGCTCAAAAGATTGAGCCGCGCCAAATTGCAGCCATACTGCTCTCTTGGCTCGACCTTGAGCTAATTTCATGCACCACGCTTCAAGGCCTCTGGGCAGGCTACGGTCACATCTGCGCCGTTTCTGCTCGACCAACTGCTGAAGGCGCGACCCCACGGTGGCAGCGCTTCTCCAAAGACCAGGGAAATGGCCAGGGCAGCCTAATCCACCTCGTACTGAAGATAGTTCGCCCTCCAGCTATTACTGGAGACGAAGGGCATCTTCGTAAAATGTTCAGCTACGAGGTTGAGCAGTACTTTTACGATGAAGTTGCTCCTCGCCTTACCGACACCATAGCAGTAGCACAGTGCTTTGCTTCGACAAGAAGTATGAAGGAAAAGGCCCTTGAGCATGGAATTGATCATTTGACGGTTACTCTCATGAACGACTTGAGGCTTGAGTTTCCCATTGCTGGAGAAAAAAGGGCAGTGCTTTCAAGCAATCAGGTCTATGCGGCTTTAGCATGGTTGGCCAAGTTCCATAGCAGCTCATGGTCTTATTTACATCAAAATTTGGATGAGTTTCTTTTACCGCCGCTTGAAGAGGCCTCAAGACGGCGAAATGACCCCACATCAGGTGGAAAAGCCCTTTGGTTGAATGGAGGATACACATATTTAGCCACTCGACGACAGGAATATCGATCGCTTGAGCAGGACAAGTTCTCAGAGTGGTCTGATGTATTTCGTACCTCAGTGGAAGGATCCCTGTCCATTGCTGAAAAGGTCGCCGACTTTCTGACGCCGCGTGGTAGGCCTTTTGAAACATACATTCATGGGGACGTGAAGTCAGAAAATCTTTATTCAACAGAAGCTGGAGATGATGTGGTATTCTTTGACTTCCAATATGCGGGCATCGGATTGGGCGTTTGCGATTTGGCCAAGCTATTCACTTGCTCTGTCCCAATGAGTATGCTTACAACCGATGATCCTATCCCAGACGACTTGGATATGGATGAACGAGAAAAGAAGTTGCTGAAGCACTATTGGTCAATCTTAATGGAAAATCGGCCACATGAAAAAATACTCATGTACGATTGGGACGAATTTCTTCGACATTGGGAGACTGCCCTTGTCGACTGGTGTCGATTTCAAGCGTCGTGGGGATTCTGGGGGAATACAGAATGGCTAGAATCAAGAGTGAGGTATATTACTAAAGATGATGGCTGGAGAAACTGGCTTCAGCGCCAATCTTAAATTACAAATGTTGAGAATAGTGTTGTCAAGAAATTTGGGATCTAAACATTATACAGCTTTGATTGTGCGTATCCGGTCACTCCATTTTAAACCATCTCCCTTTTATGTGAAAGGTGCTCTTGTGTAATCTCTGAGAGAGGAAGAGTACCAGATATAATCAAATTGTGTCCCAACTGGTGTCAGAGAGATAGGTTGAATGAATGATGGTACTATCGGTTTAATCGAACAATCTTGTTAAATGATACTTGAAAGATGTTAAAGTATAAAAGAAAGGAGTATATAAAAAACTAGTATCATTATAGGCCTAGATCCCCCATTCTCATTCAGCCAATGGATCAGTCTTAGCGCAAGTCTTCTGTGGCCACTTTAATCGCCTTTCTGCTCGTACATATAAGTTTTCAGGCTTAATCAGTAAATAATAAGGGTTATATTCCACGGTTCCTGTTTCGGCCAAACTGAATCTGTATCGGTATAACAGCTTAGATAGCACGATTTTTACCTCTTGGAGAGCAAAATTAAATCCGATGCAGCTTCGTGGGCCCGAGGCGAATGGTTGGTAGGATCCAGGAGGTCGATTTTTAACCTTCTCGGTGTCCCACCGGTCAGGGTCAAACTTTTCAGCGTTATCCCAGATGTGTGGGTTGTTGTGAATGTGGTGCAAATCGGCAATAACAATAGAGTCCTTTGCTAGCCTGTACCCTCCGGGTAAAATCATGTCCACCAACGCAGTTCTGGCAGGCTGGAATGAAGGATTATGTGTCCGCTGAGTTTCCTTAATAAAGTTATTCAGATACTTCAGTTGATTTACCAAATCTCCGGTCACTTGGATTTCGTCATCCCAGTCGTGGTCAATCAGTTCTTGGAGTAGCCTCTCTTGCACCCCTTCGTAGGTCACAAGGGCGTATATCATCCACGAGAGTAGTGAAGCAGAGGTTACAAACCCAGCGCCGGTAAGTATGACCAAAGCTGGTACAAATTGATCCCATTCCAATCGATTGCCTTTCAAGTCTCTTGCCCTGAGACAGTAGTCTGCCAAGATTAATTACTAGTCAGCTTTAAGCCCTCTAGAGATAGAATGAGTTCGTACTTACCGACCAAATTTTGAGACTGTAGAGCGGCATCTTGAAGGTTTAAATCTTCAACTCCCGTAGATGCTTTCTTGGATGCTTCGAATATCATTCTCTGGATTTCGTGCATATTGTCTCGAAGCTTTTTGGGGTCTCCGAACGGTATGTTTGCATACCAGCTACCGAAAGACGACACTCGCTTACTTAGTTCGACATTATGCGCAATCTTGAGCACAAATTCGTGCAAAGGAGCATCAACAGATGTGAAATGATTGAAATTCATGCCAAGAACAAGTCGGCCAACGGCTTGAGAACCGATCTTCATCATGTATGGATATACGTTCCATGCTTCCCCATCCAGGTCCAATTTGTCGAATACACTGAATGACTCTTCCACAGTTTTTTGCATTGCTGGTGCATAATGTCGTACCGCCTTGGGACCCAAAGCTGGCGGTAAAAATTTATGCGTAATCCGCCACGCCTCCGAATCTGTATCGCCAAGAAACAATCCAGCTTCTGGCATACCCAATGGATGTACGGGATGGTTGGGGATGATCTTTTTCGAAAAGAAAGCGCTCTCAGTGAAGAAGATATTGGCCAAACGAGGGTCATTAGTATGGTGCATGCGGCTTCCCATGTTGGTTGTGACGAATAGTGATCCGTATTTATTGAATAGCCGTTGATGATTTCCAAGATGATCGGGATATACTTCGAAAAAGCTTCCCACGTATGGCAAACCACCTGGCCCCGGTATGTCTCGTACAGATTTACCACTGATTGATATCGCAACCGGGTCGGTTGCTGCGCGTACCTCATTTACGGATGTCAACTCGATATTTTGATGAATAAAGCCAACATCTAGAAGAGAACGTAAGCACCTCTGTTAACATGAAATCTTTGTGAAGAATGCACAAACCTTTGTAGTCCACAATAGCAAAGTGAGATGCAATTAACTCTTGCAACTCTGCAAAACCGAAGTTCGAAGGGAACGTGATTTGGCGGGACGTAGAGGGTTGCTCCCCCAAAAGATGGAAAGACGAAGAAATCATGATGAAAAGCTTTTTTGTGAGGCTGATATGTTGATACAATTCAAAATAGCTTTGGGAAGCCCATCGCACTTTATAGTCAAAGATGTCAATAGATAATTTGCTCAGACAAAATAATAATTATCAATACTGCCACTTTCTTGATTATCTGGCCATGGATTACCTTCCACGGCTTGTCTCCATGGAATTTCCATAGAAAGGGGTAAAGCAAACATTGTTCGGATATTCTTCATGGTCCGTGGTCCGTAGAAAATCAAGATGTGATGTAACATCATTATCGACCCTGTTATGCATCCATTGCAGGCGCAGGACGAAACCCGCCCAATCCTCGGCTAATATACCCTTTTCGTATGCATGATAGAGGACATAGGTAGGTTTCGGCATATGAATATTTACCAACCTATACCCTGCATTCCTCGGAAACCCACCCTCCTTCCCGCAGTTGGCGCCCGGGTGAGTTTTGTCAGTCGAGGATCACTCTGCAAAGGTTGCTGCCGGATACGCGGAGGGACAGATGCCGTATGCGTTTGTGGGGCTTCGGCGTTTTTAAGTGAACGATCAGCGTCTAGTAGGAACCTACAATCTCCGTCTCGGAATGAACTATTTTGGGATTGCCGACGACTACCGATGTTGGTGTTCCCGTCATACGCCCTTTGCGGATCAGAGTACCAGCTAGAATGTTTATATATACTTCGCAAGCATCCCAAAACCATTGAGCGATTCAATCAAAACGCCAAGTTTGGACATATAAAATCCAGCCAATATGACTCTAGAAACGGAATATACGGTGGACGAAGTTGCTCAGCACACCAAACCTGATGACATATGGATGACTATCCATGGGGAAGGTTCGTCGACTTATTATCCCTCTGAACGATTGACATTAACTTTTTACAGTATACGACGTAACTAAATATCTCATGGATCATCCAGGAGGGATCGAAGTTCTCTTGGAAGCAGCCGGCACTGATGCAAGTGATCCATTCGACAATGCTGGCCACTCAGATGATGCCTTCGACCTCATGACCCCTTTCCGGATTGGGAAATTAAAAGGCCATGTTAACAAAAAGCCAAAACATACACTTCCCTTACAGCCTTCATTCGAGAAGCTCGATTCTACGAAGAATTCTCATGGCCTAGCAGGAATAACCTTGGGGTTTCTTTCGCTGGGTATTGCAGCATCGACATACAAGATTTTTAAAGAAGAACATGGTATTTCAGCCTTGATGCCAGTAGCCATACCTCAAATACGTCGGTTAACTCATGCACTCTCGATTTTGTCGATTCCGATGGCTTCTACACAACCAAGTAACTCAAATTACTTCAAGGGGTTATTGGGTAGCTCGTTACTCTTAATGGGTTGCACAGCATTTGCAATACGAAAGTCTGTCAGCGTTATCATGGGTGATACGAACTCCAGACGGTACCCAAATCATCTGAAATTACCTAAACCGGTGACACGGGATCCCTTACTTCAAAGGGGTTGGTTGGATTCAGTGTTATCCCCCCTACCGTTGGCAAAGAAGATACTGGTCGCACCAAATGTATACCGCTTGGTATTTTCTCTACCTCAGTCAGAAGCAATGTTAGGCCTGCCAACTGGTCAACACATTGCCATAACCATGAACATTGATGGGGAAAAGGTGACAAGGTCTTACACTCCAGTATCCAATAACTTGGATTATGGTGTTCTGGAATTACTCGTCAAGATATATCCAGACGGCAAGTTGACTGGTGGCTGTCTTACCAATCTACAAATTGGAGATGAAGTTCATTTTAGAGGTCCTAAAGGAGCAATGCGCTACTACAACGGTCTTTGTAAAAAGATCGGGATGATAGCTGGTGGTACAGGTATAGCACCGATGTTCCAGCTTATTCGAGCAATTTGTGAGAACGACCGTGATGGGACGGAAATTAGCTTGATATACGCAAGTCAAACAGAAAACGACATTCTACTTAAAGAAGAGCTGGATAAGTTTTCTCGCCTATATCCTAAGCTGTTTAACGTTTTCTACGTTATTGAGCATCCATCAACGACTTGGACCTCTGGAGTTGGCTATATAACGAAAGATATAGCAGCAGAAAGACTGCCGCTTCCGGGAAATGATGTCAAAATCATGATATGCGGTCCAGCTGGTATGGTCAGCTCAGCCAAGAAATTTCTTGGAGAGTTGGGCTACGAGACCCCGGGCGCAAACCCAAAGATGAGCGACCAGGTTTTTATTTTCTAGAGAAAGAGTAAGAGCATATGACGACCTTCAAAAAGGTTGCGTGACAAGAGGTTCTGATATTTCTCATATAGCGTCTGAGCATGGCCTTAAAACCTTCAGTTTAGTAGTTGATACATTTTAGGATTAAATATAATTAGCGACATCGATTATTTGTGTCATTGGCGATACCACACTTTGCCTTTAACTGGAATGCGACCCGCCCCCTGTATTGGAGAGCCAATGCGCAGGCCAATTGCGCGATCCTTAGGGCTTAACAACAGCAAGTTTACCACGAACGGGGACATTTTCTTGCCTTCCAACATCGGGGAATTCCGACAACTGAACTCCCTTTCGGAACAAGAGACAGTGTGTTGATCCACCAAAATGAAACATGCCTGTTTGTTCACCTTTCTTCACATGTTGGCCCTCTTTTACGGTGATGTCCACCGAGCTGACTTCATCCATGCCAATGGCAATAAAAGCCATCAAACCGATCGCCGGATTATCCGCCTCAATGAAGATGATGCCCCGAGTTGCTAGCGCAGACAGGTAGCCTTGAGCGACCGAGATGCCGCCAGTGTCGATTTCATGAACAGTCGGATCACCTACGCCCTCAAAGAGAGGCTCACTGAAGTACGTGCCATCCTGGACGAAAGCGCGTCGAATGGTTCCTGAGACTGGTGAATGCCAACGGTGATAGGATAACGCCGAGAGGAACGCCTGGTAAATTGTTGCGCCGGCGAAATGTTGAGCGAGTGGATCGTGAGCTAGCATATCAAGTACTGAGTAGGGCTGGCCCTTTGCGAAAAACCGATCCCGCAGTTGAGCACCATGCTGAATGTTGAACACCTTAGATTCGCATGCATTGGCAATGACATTGTCGTCGTCTGGTGATGCGACGGGCCTTGCCTCATCGTGAACCTTGCGAGTGAAGAAGTCTAAGAGCTGTCAACATATTTGTCGAGTCATTTCACTCCGAGAAAATCGAGGTTGAGAAACTTACCATCCCATGACTTGTAGCCGTGATATTTGGCCGATGGTTCACAAACAAACATTTCTTCAAATTTCATGGACGATTTGTACGGAGCATTGGCGACCTGCATGACGTCGTTTCGCCCCGTTTCGCCGAACCAGCCCAGCTTGTGCTCTCCCAACACCTCGGCTGATTTTGGAGTCTGCGATGCATGTCAGCCGACGATTGGTGCTCGGAGTTTTGGAACGGTTGAATTGAGGCTGTAGAAGGCTCAAAATTACCTACCTCTAAGAACTTTCCCCATTCGTTTAGAACCTTTTTGATCGCTTTATTCACGTCTGGGTCGAGGAACGCGGCATGTCCACTGAGACAAGGCCAAGTTAGCGCTTTCGCCACATAAAGTCATGGACTACAAGTATGTAGCCATGGATTGTAGTATGGATGTATCCATGAATCTGCCAGAACCGCGTCGACGCACCTTGCTGTGCCCATGGGATAATCAAGGATGGCGCAAAATGGCACTCCCACAACACCAGCACTTTCGGCTGCATCTGTCCATTCCGGAGCTTTGGAGACAATGTGGTTGAGCACCTGAAGCATGTGGTGGTAGTCGCGGATCTGTTTAGTTCCTGTAGGATCGCGCCAGTATGGCCTTTTCTTTGGGATTTCATCAAACATTTGGTTAAAGTACATGTAGATTCGTGAGTTGCCTTCGATTAATTCTCTGAACTCCTGCAGCGCCGGCGTCAGCTTTTCCTCGGGGTGCTTGTCGACGTGCTCCGTCACACGACGAAGATATTCGCGATGGACACGATGGTCTGCTGGAAGCCATGCGCCGGGCCTGGATCATGTGAAAAGGCGTGAGATTTTGATACTCGGCAGGTGAAAACACGGGAAGAACAATATTCATACTTGTGAATGCGCCATTGATGCGGGATGTCATGGTGATCGCCGTGTTGCCAAACCATTGTGAATGAAGAAATTGGGTAGCTGGTTGGAGTAGAGTAATGCCACTACAAAGAAATACTATTACTTCAACAGGTGCCTTTTCAACTAATGCATCTATAACTAGGTATGTAGTCGACCATTTGAGCTGTACAGGATTATATACGTCGCAACTCAAGCTTCATACTTACTACACGGTAGTGGGTCTTATAAATGCAATGATGCAATCGTGATGTGAGTGTTACCCAATTGAATCTCAGATCCTCCAAGATTTATTTTCTATATAACGTGTCGCATCCTGGGAGACTGGAGCTGATCAGCCACTATAGTGCCGATTTCCCGCTTCCACGCCATCATGCATCAGGAGAAATACTGGATACATGGCTCTTCGCACGTGCATCAGTCGCCTTTCCCCTTCCCTCTTCAGCCTATTGGGCCCCTCCTCGTAAACTGCAATGCCTTCTACATCTTAAAGCCATTTAGCCAGTAGTTGCCGTTGCCTATGGCTGGCTTTATGTGGTCGAGTGTCGCGTAAGAACCACGACCTGGGATGCAGATGCCAAATTGACAAACACAACTCCGTCGATGCAACTATTCAATGCGGCGACTTATCTCATACAATCGCTGAAAATTGCACCAGCTTTGGGCAACCATCGATCTAATGGAGAAAATTTAGCGCACCGCTAAGGGAGACATTGCCGCGAGTCCCGAATTCTCATCCGATTTCCCGGTTTTAAACAAAAGATCTTCGTAGACAACAGATTGGCACTGGATCCTTTGGATGATGATGATGCGATAGTAACGAGAGAGGCCATCGACTGCGATGTACTACGACAGGTGCTACAGAAAATGAGAAGAAGAAGGAGGCACAGTCCTCGTATCGGGTTTCCTTTCAAAACGGTGCTCTTTTGAGTCTCTATGTACTCCGTAGACTACACACGCCATCAGCGGCGGCGTCCAGCAAGCGGGGGCCTGGGAGTCTCAACGGTACCCGACTTTAAAATCGATGGCGGGATCTAACGTTGTCTCTCATCCCCATGCCAACATAGGTATGCTCACAGAAGTATTAGAGGTCCACAGCCTTTTGCATCCATAGCAAAGCCTAGCCACAAGTTCAATTCTTTGGACATGCCTCTGGCGGGTGGGGTGATAAAATTGTGTTGCTTAGAAGTCTCAAATGCCGAAAACACCCTTACAATTCGTCGACAAGAAAATAATAAATATTAAATTATGAAAGGTCGGATTGACTCAAAGAGTTCTAAATTTCAGTTTGCTGAAGAAAAGAGGGCAATATGGGAGATGACACTAGCTATAAGAAACAATCATATCGTAGGGAAGGGGGGAGGGCGGGTGGATAAAGAGCACAACGAATCAGCTTGGGTATGGGAAGATTCCGCTCGGCAACGCAACCACCCAAGGCAATGACGGCTGAAATAAATATGTGTTATAAAAATAATTACCTGCATTTGATTGAAAGTATAAAAACACTGCAGTGGAATGGTGTGCACTTTGGCTCTCATGTGAATGGGAGGTAAGTGGCTGTCTGGAATAAGATTGGTACAGAAATATAAAAGCTATCAACGTAGAACCATACAGTTCAAAGGCAATAGGGTCCATGATAGTTAGCACAATGAAATCCGCTACATACTAAATATCTTACCAATAATTGTCATAGGACGCGCTGTTTTCGCCTAATAGTGCCATCGATCAGGCGTTTGAGGCTATTATACAAAGCTCAAATCGTATTTCATCTATCTAATCAATCGGTCGCTAGCTTAATAAAAGACTGTAATCCTTGGCATTGGCATAAAATACATATTAGAAAACAAAGGATACAACCGCGGTTTGTCTCAGACAACTGTGAATGGAAAGCATAGGTAATTAGGCCACGGTGAGGCCCGAAATGAGCAAATCCTTGTTCAGAATCTCTTCTTTGTTGGCAACCAACTCGTCAACATCCCAATTAGCCCATGCCAGCCGTCCAGATAGAAACGCAGCCTCTTCTGAAGTAGCCCAGACAATAAACTCAGCAGAGAGCTTGGAATCAGTCGTTGGCATATCTGTAGATCCCTCAAGTCCGGACTTATAATACATTGCCGTTTTAACAGCACCCGGGTTAATGCTTATAAAGCGTGCAAGAGATGAAGGGACATCAGCAACAGCCAACTCAAAGATGCGGGCCAATGCAATCTTGCTACCACTGTATGCCCACAGATGCGGCGCCCGAACAGCAAATGAAGCAAAGCTATTGAGAGCGACAACTACACCTGGTGAACTAGGTTTGCTTGCCAATCGGTGCTGCAGATAAGCCTGCGTAACAATAGTTGTACCAAGGACGTTAACCTCAAAGCCTTTCCACCACTCGTCTATGTCGGCAGTAAGAAAATTCTGAGGCTCAGACATAAACTCGGCATTGTTGACGAGTGTATCAGGCGATTCAGTTAGAGATTCAAACAATTTCTTGACAGATGCTGTAGACGAGATATCAACAAGGCGGTAGCTGGCCTTTAGCAATGGAAAGGATTGTGCCAAGTCGTTAACCGTCGACTTCAGACTGGACTCAGTACGTCCGGCCAAAATAATCGATGCAACACCAGCCTCAGCAAAGCTACGAGCAATTGAAGAACCAATTCCGTAACCACCGCCGGTCACGATAACTGTCTTCCCCCCAAATTCTTCATGTAGCTTTGAAGGTGACAGTCTTGGGTAGGATTCAAAATGGAAAGTGGAGACAATTGATGATGCCATTGCAACAGAAATTGTATAAAAAAAACGAAAGTTGTTCAAGATAGTGATATATATGTGTGCGTATTGATTTCAGAAAAGATCCAGATTATGCTGTTATACACCGCGTCTCTTTTTATATTTCGCGGACAGTCACGTCGTCTTATTTTAAAGAGCCCCGATTGCCACTGTTGGCCCATATCACTGTTCTGTGGATTTCTAATTTGTACTCTATGTAAAGATTCGTCTCATGAATTGATCTCTCTACGCAATGCTAGTTTAAAACAGCATATCGGATCATGTTACATAATTCCTTCCAAGGACAAGACGTTATCCCCATCGATGCGATGGTGAGAGGGTTGTTGAGTAATCACTTAATTCCGAGGTTAGCTAATAATCGGATGCAACTTGTCCCATTATTGAGATCATGCGCAACTTGATCAAATTAACTACGCCATGCTCTTGAATTTTTAATCATTAAATCCGAAAGTGACTAAAGCTGTGAGAAAGAGCCATTTCTTGTATGTAGCAAATGCTTTTGTTTAGTTCAAATAACCTAGTTGATCGCATTTGCCGAAGTGTACGCTTTTGCTTCTACTTGCTACAACCCCCTCATCTCCTCAGTGCAGCCCTCGAACAAATCACCCTGTGAACACATATATTTCGTTATTCGGAAGTAGCCATCCATCTCGGCCAAGGGGCTGACATTTTTTCCTTTCGCACCAATTTAAACAAATAACTTATATCTGATCGCTGCTCATTCCCTTCATTAGCTTGTGTTCTACAGAATACGTTGATATTATTACCGATTCCACGACGATAATTATCTTTATAGAAGAGTATTCCACGAAAAGTAACGGTTAATTCCTCCAGTTAATTCAATGAACTTGGCACAATGTCGTCTAATTAAGTTTCAACATTGAGGCAGCCCCTAAAGAGAGATCGAACCCGCGAATGGATTTAGGGCACTAAATGGGTCGTATCTACATGTAAAATCATTGCGATATTACTCATATTCAGTGCTTGGTCATGATGACCCATTCTAGGCTATTAAAACCAATTAGAGTCATTCAAGAGGCACCTACCACTGCAAAATTTGACCCTTTTGAGTGATAAACTTCCCCGATGTCTCTTCTGATGCTTCATCAATAACCTTAAGCATCCCATCTACACTGGTCTCAATCGTATCTGGAGGGCCAGATGCAAACCCCCATTGATCAGCAACAAATTGTCCCGCGCGCGTTTGTACCCAACCCGGATGCAGCGCAATTGTAATAAGGCCTCTGTCTTTGTTTTCCAAATGCAAGGCTTTGGTGAGCCAATTTTGAGCGGCCTTACTCGGGCCATAAGCGCCACCGGGCACAGGTTCCATTTCCCCAATACTGCCAACTGAAGATGTAATCATCACAAGCTTCGGCGAAGGTGAATTCTGTAGCAGTGGCCATAGTGCCTGGAATACCAGCAGAGGAGCGATCGTATTAACTTCAAAGGCAGTACGTAAGTCTTCTGCCGTTGTCTCGGCCGCCGGTACCATAGGCGGGGCCCCTCCAGCATTATTAATGAGAACGTCGATATGATCTACATCGAATTTGAAGGCATCTCTAACTTTGGCAAGGGAGAGAGTCGTTGAGAAATCCAGCAATGTCGTCAGGAGGGTACTACCCAACCCTTTATTCAGCGTTTTAGTCTCTTCGATAAGGGTTGAAATGCCATGTTCGTTTCGAACGGTTGCAATAACAGTTGTGTTGGCGCGGATAAGAAGTGCCTTAATAAGTCCAAGGCCAAGCCCCCTATTTCCACCGGTGACTACGTAGATCTTGTTTTCGCCGTTTTTCCCCATGATTTTTATTGTGATTTGAATGTTTGTGTTTGTGTTTGTGGAGTCAATCTGGCATTTGCCAATAAGGAACTTGATGGAAAGGGGTAACAAAAGATGTATCAGAGGATTGGGCCCTTTTATACCTTTATTAGGTGGGGGCATTGGCTTTATTTTTCTCACAAAGGAGGGGCAGCTGTGGGACTCGAACATCGTGAACCTGGCTGCCTAAAAGGATTCAGTCACACGCGATGCCCCTTGAACAACGAGCACAGGACTTCTATCACACAAATGTTTTTCAAGAGTACTAATACGAGATGGAACTTTTGAGGAAGAGATCGAACTGAAGATCAGGTTGTATGTATCTATTTTATTGATATCAAGATAATACAGCTCAGATGTTGTGAACATTTTCTTATTCACTCACGTACGATCCAATTACCCAATTTTATTCATACCGTGAAATTACGAGGTGTTAGCTCTAAGAATATTTCAGGCATGACGTACAGTATACAAAAGATATCCTTCCTGTTTCCAAAAGAGGGGGTGGATAGGGGCTGAACCAGGGGGTATCACCTCACATGCAGTTGCATCGGTAAAGTCCAGATGAATGGTATGAACAGATTATCATGTTCGATACCATTTTATTTAAGATAAGCTTTCTATTTAAATCAGCTATTTGACCGTTATTTTACTCTCGAAGAGTGTAAAATCACTGTGAGGATCATGAAAAAGGGTGTACGAATTGATGGGCGGTTACACGCCTTCACTTATTCTTATTTTTTATTAAAAAAGTAGTGATTCCCTCAAACGCTTAATACACAGTTCTCTTAGGATACAGCGGTAATTGATGATGATATGATGATCTCGCGAACTTGGGACCTGTCAGTTGATCTGTCGACACCAAATACCATCATGGCGGCGATGAGGGCTAATATCCTATATTAAAACATCCACTCTCTCACAAAGATCAGCTAAGTAAACATAATAATAAATAATAATATAGATCTATATCACATTTTACTGTCTCATTGTTCACTCAAGGTGGCAATGAAGTTTCCAACTTTGCGAAAACCTGCAGCAACATATCGATTTTCTATGAAATGATACCCATGTGTCCTATGAGACCAGATCCAGATAGTTTCCACCGCCTTACATTACTGATGAACATTAGTTCTTTCTTTGTGAACATTCATTGTTTCAACAAATATTCATCGAACCAAGCAATTGCTTGGGAAAATGCTTGTTCTTTAGCAAATTTCTGTACCTTCACAGCTGGATCGCCTCGAATTCCAAAGCCATGCTCAACTCCAGAAAAGAGGTTTATCTGGAAGGGCTGCCCTGTTTTGATGAGGATTTTTTCCGATTCGTGTCTCATCGCGGTAGTAAATATAGAATCGGTTTCAGCTGCCGCAATGGACAAAGGTCCCGATAAAGCAGCCAATTCGCTTTCCTCGACGAAGCTTGGGTGAGCAATAAAAGCGACATCAATACCGCTCTTGAAATGTCGTAATACATACTAGTTTGAGAAATTAATTAGGTAGGTACACGCAAATGCGCATATCGAGTTAGTTTTACCTTGGCACCAAAGCAATATCCAACACCTCCAATCCGATGTATTCCCAACTGCCTCAATGCTCTGATTCCAGCAACGATAATAGGGTCAACGTGCTCGGTAGTATGCGGATTATTGCCATTAGAGCCCTTGGTAAGCCAACTCATTAGGTCGATGGTCGGAAACTTGTTCAACGGTACTGCATCTCCATTGAATACGTCTGGGATAAGCGTGGTGTATCCTTTGGCGGCAAAACCGTCCGCCAGGAGTTGGCTATTCGGATATATACCCATTGCCTCCGGAGCAAATAAAATGCCAATCCCTTTGTTCGGAGCCTCTTCCGGCGCAGTTGAAAGATAGGCATCGAACCCCCCTTCGAGTTTGACCAGTTTTCCCATTGGAGTACCTCTAGAAATGCACGTCAGGCAAAGATTGTATCAATTTGAATTTATGATTAGAAGATAATATCGGAGGCGATGAATGGAAAGAATACATACTCGTGGAGAGTACCAATGGTACAGCAGCTTTTTGGATGGTTTGATGCCATGTTAATAGATGAATATTTGAAGTTGATATGCAAGGAATTGGAAGACAAAGTACGGAATAGCGATGGAAAGCGAATAAGAAGATGTGAAGAATATATACTCGTTAGACCTGCTCTGTTACGTAACGAAACATTTTTGTAAGCTTTCTCCTGTGAATTATAAAGGGAATGCCACTAAAAATCTATTTGACAGCAGAAGTTCCGATAAGGGAAAAAACTGTATGGGCTGTTTCAATGGAGAAGAGCTTATGATAACCCCACCTCCCTTGCTGTTGACCTTTTACTGTAGGAGGCTAAATCAGGTTGGCTGACTGCTTCATAGCCCTAGTGATTGTAAAGCAGAGACAAGGTGGTTGGCAAGGGCTCAAATTATGAAAGTTACATGATCCCAGGTCGTCCTGAGCATACACCCGCTGGCTAATGGCGCAAAAGCTCGAGCAGCAAATGACGAGAATTACCCCGCTTCTTAGTTCCAAAGGCTCAAAATGTAGCTATGCACCAACCTCTTTTCATTCTTGTCAAACAGTCTAGTTAGTCTGCATTCATTTTGCTTCCATCAATGTTTACTGCCAGCATCCACAGCACCGCCTTCATCCTTATCAGGGATAGGTAGTGGTCTACCCTGCTGCATATTCGGCCTGCTGGATCGTACGTGAACACGCTGCTCAAGTCCGCACCGAACCGCCGCATTTTAGCGCGATCTCGACAAGCCGAAATGCAATATTATGCCAATCGTAGAAAGCAGCTTCACATAGGCTTTTATTTACCCGATTTAAATGCAATTCCAACATTTTTGTCCCTAATGTCGGTATTTCTGGAGGCTTCATACGGTAGATTCCAAAAGAAGAACTGAAAATGGGGAAATGGTCTAAGACTTAGATGTATTATGCTCAAGCTGTTATCCATGGAAGCTCGTTACATTAATTGAGAGATGGTGCTGACGCGTTCGGCACCGATAGATATTCTACTTGACAAGAGTAAACCACCCTTTAGCAACGAACGTAATTAGATTTAGTTAAACCAATACCATGAGTGAAAGAATATTCGCGTATCAGAACGATACCCTCTGCCTTGATTGAAAGGCAAAATGCATTTAGCTGCTTTGCACCAAAAGCATTATCTCTTGCTTTTCAAGAAGTGACATATATGCACCTTGAAAATAAAGATTAACGTCTGCATTGTCATTGATGAAAAGACTGACTTACCAGCTGCCAACCATCGATGGTTAAGAAGACGCAAGGTATTCTTTAGTATCGTTATTCTCTCGCTGACAGATTTTTGCAATGTCGAGCATTGCAGCTGTGAATAAATGCAAGTTGCTTTGTAAAGGAAATGTAACAAGAAAGGAGATACTCGTTCGCATTTTTGTCCACCCATTTCTGTCAAGAAATTTGATATCCACTCTATTGCGGCGTTAAGAGAAGATTCAGCTTCTACCGACATAGGCTGCATAATGGGATTTTCTCCGTCTAGCAATACGCCAGGGTAGTCCAGTAGAAGTATTCCGCTGGAAGAGATTAAACATGGCGAAAATTAAACTGTGGAAAATGTATCTCTTACCTGAAACACACCGCCATCTGAGTGCAAAATGCCCACTGTCTCATCGTGCCCTCCACAAAAGAAAGGTTGACAAGAGCCATAAGAGTGCGCCGTAGTTGAGTTGGTTCAGTATCAGGTTCCCTTGCGACGGAATATAATGCCTGGCTTAATAAATGAGCGGTTTGCGCAAACCGAGCGAAACGACCTATATATGAGCCCGACGATGAGCCAATTGTCAAAGAGTTTTCCGATCGTGATAACTGAAAGATTTGTGATTAGTACTACATTTGCATTTTCTAGATTAGAAACATACTCCTGTGTCCCACTCTTGGTCATCGCTAGGAAGATAGCTGTCTGGTGTTGGATCTGGAGTGATCAGATGTCGACCAGGGTTACAGAGATTGAGGTATCTTGTCCTTTGTTTTAGCAAAAGTAGCGACATTGTGTCTATTTCAAAGGTTCCTTACCGGTCTAATATTATAATGGACCACCATACTCGGCGCTGTTCTTCTACTTCATTCCATGGGAGCTTGTCTAATATTTGTGAAGTGATGCTTTTTTCGATATCGAGTGCCGCCGCATACCTAGCGCATTGTCCAACGGATAAAAAAGCAGCCGGATATATGGCATGTCCCAGTTCGTAAATCGCAATAAGAACACCGGCTTGTAAAACTATAACCGATAGTATTCCTGACGACTCCATTTCAAAATGGAATTGTTTTGCTGTTCGATATAGCACTGTTTTTGCCGTGGTGGTAAGAGCAGAGCTTAGTTTCATACATATGACCAGCAGACATAGTTCCGACCTTCTATGGGTTAGATAGTTGGGCAGATTTGAAGAGAATTGTTTTTTCGACAAAATTGGCATCCACGTGTGAATGGAATCAAAATAGGTATTGGCGATGTTCTGAATGTCGACTATGGTACCAACATAGTCAGCAACCATTTTTGGAATCGCTACATCCACTTTGGGGGTTTCTAATTGTAGATGATAGAAAAAGTCGGGGTCCAGAAAGCGTGATGCAAGAATATCTGAGATATTGGCATCCGAGATTCCATAGCGCCCTGGCCTTGATCTCTCAGTTGGTGTATGAAAAGGCATATTGGTTCCAACAGGCATCGATATATCTCCCTCAGGGTTTGCCATCTGACGCGTTCGCTCTTTGCGGCGATAAGGGTAATCACACAGGATCTGCCTCCTGAATGATGCCAACATCGTTAGCGCTACTTCCTTGGTGAGAATATTCAGCCGAGTTGACATACTGCGCGCAAAGTGTACATCTAGGGTAAATTTTGTCGCAGCGCCTCTTCGAATGCCGGCAAGCGATGCAGGCATATGGCGAATGAGTGATATCCACACCACTCATCGGATTCATGCTGACTGATTGTAGTGATAACTGGCAGATGTGAGTAAATTACAAGACATTTGCGGGAGTTCGGCGCGGGTTTGTCGATAGAAATGACCGACATATGGACAAATATTATCAGCAGCAATTGCTTTTCTCTCTGGGGCAGCAATGACTAAAGATGGCCTAGGCACTTGAGGAGAAACTAGATTAGATCACTGAATCGTTGCGTTGGTAATAATTCCCGTTACAAAGCTGCCAACGTTTTCTTTAGCGCAGAAGCCACCCGGGAGCTGCGGATCTAGAGGTCGTTGGCAGTACATGTACCTAACGCATCATAGAAAGATGTAGCAGAAAAATGTATCGAAATGTTTAGATAATTCGGGTTATGTCCGCAATGTAAGTCCGCACCGAAAGCCACCCACTAAGCGTAGCCAAACTCCACGCATACCGTACCTTGATGAAGATTATGTACGTACTAAGTATGCAACAGCGGTTGGTGGCTCCACCGAGTAGCTGTTGCGTATACGAGCCACCTGTTCTGTATTACTATGATATATCATAATAGTCGGTTTTGAGACTTTTGGACCAGATTGCGAAACCATTTAGAGAAGGAAAGATGAGCCAGGTAGAATTGGTTCGACAACAGCTAGATCATCCCAACACACTCACACTAAGCCAACGTAATGCTTGGGTAGAATGACGGACTAGAGATAGGCATGGTTTCGTATGTAGGCATGACAAACTAAGCTGTTGCTCAAAGATAAAGGTTAGTCCCTGACTTGTATCATAGGTAGGCCCCATAGCAATAGTCAACTTCTTGTTTTAGGCAATGGCGAGCATGCTCACAAATTGCGACGAGCTGTAACACAATGGACTTTGTTGCCAAGTCTGTTAGTTAATGTATGTATATTTATATATATATATATGCGCACATACAGGTGAAAATGCTGTGCAGATATTCTTGTGTTTAGATCCGCTTCTTAACGAGATGTTTTCATTTCTACAGTGAACCACTGAAGAATTGTGGAACGAACTGAAAGAAGGGCAGTAATACCTGTTGTCACTTCTTCATTGCTAAGCATCGCACTGCCCCCTTCTACACGAGCATGTTTGGCTAGTAAGAGTATCAACATAGACTCTCACTCACCAGTTAGAACACATACATTACATTTACCTGGGAGCAGGACCCAGTTGGACAACATCCCCGTGTCCATTTGGACACGCTTGAACTACACCAAGGTCATCGCTGGGAACGCCTCAATATACCACGATATAAAGAAACTCTGTTTGATCAAGAAAATACAATTAATCACTTTAATTTGAATGTAAAAATACACGAGGTTTCCCATTTTCCAGAGTAGACCCTTTAACTGAATAGGGGCTTTGGCCCCTACTAGACATACTGTCCTGATAAAAGATAAACGAGTCAAATGATGCCGTTAATTCTTGTCTCCATCCTTAAAGCAGAGAATAGGTAGAGTCAAAATAGAAACGATCCAGAATTAAAAGAATTGCATTTGCCATGATCTCCTGCATTTTTAATACTTATTACTGTCGAGTATTTGCTGATCCTTTCTTTCATTAAGTGAATGAATGGGACATGTGACACACTATTAATTAGTATTATAGCGGGGGATTTCAATCTCTGAAACGATGCTTCATATACAGCTGGATCAATATTCGAATGATAGTGCTGCCTGAACTAGATCATAAGAGACAAGCCATGAGAGAGAAACAGCTTGGTGGCAGGAAATTTCCGCCGGATTCTAGTGGTAGGTTGTACCTCTGCCACACTTATACGGGTGTGAGATATGCTTATGGTTTATAATAGCTAGAGTATTTTTGTGTGAATTTCTTGAATACATAAAATAGGTAAATAAATAGAGGATCCACTTAAATCGCATGTCACTTCATTCATTACTTTTGTGAAGCCTTCTGGTTATACTAGAAATGACTTTGCTGCTGGTCAGATGGGGTTTAATACTGAAAACTAGTCCCACAAACTTGTCTAGGTTTGAGTACGAGGGAATCTGAATAGGGGAGTGATTAATAATTAACAAGCGTCTGATTATCCGAGTGATATTGAATGCTTGCCGAGCCATGGATAAGATATAGGACTATCGCCGTAATATTACAAAGACAAGGTACGTCTGTCTTTGTATGTTGAATCCCGATTAATTCTGTCAAAATCTCTATCTTATTTGGATCATATGATGATCATGTATTATTTTCCAAGATCAGAGTCTACCATACTTGGTTTATCAATGTTTTTTTTTATTTACAGAGACCAAGTAGTCAACTTTCTTATATACATTCCATATAGCCGCAGTGAAATACCCTCTACATCAGCTTAAATCCTTGTAAGCAGATTATCGGCAAATGTCCAGTTTTTGGATCCATCCCAGTTGATTGACCACGTCATCAAGCCCTTAAGAGCGCCGTTATAGTGATCCCATGCCTGGCCTACCAAGCTTGGGGTCATATAGCCACCACCAGCGCCAGATTGCGCAGGTAATCCAGGAACTTGCATGCTGTAAGGAACCTTAATTGTGGTGCCTTGGATAGTGATGCCATTGTTTAAGCAGTCAGTTTGTGCGATGAAACCTTGAACGGTGCCGGCCGCATATGAATCGCCGGAGCAACCATACATGTCGCCGTTGTAGTATTGCATGTTCAGCCACCACAACCGGCCATTGTCGACGTATTTCTTGATAATTGGGAGATAAGAACCCCAGATGGATCCGTACACAATACTACCACCTGTCACATACGCCGTCTCTGGTGCCATTGTCAAGCCGAAGTTGGAAGGCATCTGTGCAAGGACACCATCAATGATGCGAATCAAGTTGGCCTGTGACGTTGACAGGGTGCCGATGCTGCCGCTTCCAACCAATCCCGTCTCAATATCGATGTCAATGCCGTCAAAATTGTACTGCTTCAAGATTGGGACGATAGTCGAGATGAACTTGTCGGCGACAGTACTAGAACTGAGGTCGATGCCAGCAGTAGCACCTCCAATGGACATGAGGATAGTGGCACCAGCTGCTTTGGCCTGGCACATTTCGGCTGGTGTCGCAACTTTAACAGTAGCATCCATGCCGTCTTCCCACAATGCGGTACCATCTGAGAGGATGACTGGGAAAGCGGCGTTAATCACGTTGTAGCCATTTTGTGCGATCACAGGGTTTTCGATAGGTGTCCATCCAAATGGGGGGTGAACGCCATTACTTGATCCATCCCAATTCTCCCAGTATCCTTGAAGAACCTTGCCCGCCGGCTTTCCCTTAGTTGCACATGTCTGTGCGGAAGCAGTGCCGAATAATGCCGATGCGATGACCGGCAAAAGCAGAAAGCTTGCGTCCAGGAGTCGTGTCATGGTCAAAATATTTGATTGAGTTGACGATAAGTGATCAAAATAATTACTCAACCAAAGCGTGAGAACGAAGTGATTCTTTGGATTTGGCTGCACAATGGATGAAGGGGGCCCTTGTGGTGCTTTTATAGAAAGTAAGCTCCTGATATCTTTTTCCCTTTAGGTTTTACCATCCCTGGATGCATACAAATTTAGAAGGTAGTATTACTCCCACTAACTTTAGCCTTCGTTTGAGTTACAGCAGATTCATGTGGAATACAGGATGTTCAAATCATCAGATACCGCAATGTGAAGTACATTATCCCAAGGCCCACAAAATTTGAACGATGTTGAGCATAATACAGCCCGCAGCTACCTTGGTTCGGCCCTACGTTGGTGAAGTGTCTTATCGGCGAGGCGTAGCCTTGTAGTCACGCCCAAGATAGCCCTGCATGCCGCGTGATACTGGCTGCTGCCTCTATTCAGCGTACTCATTTTTCGGGAAAAGTGCATTCCCCGCGTTTTAGCTTATGAGGTATTTGGCTATGGTAATCTGTGAAAATAAATAGGAAGGTGAGGCGGAATCACGCGCCCACGATTAAACGTAACGTAGGATCTTCACAGCGTATCTAGACAGACTTTTGGCAGCGTAGTCAAGGCAAGTGTGTTGGATGTCTGAAGAAGGAAGTTCGAGTTATAGGCGCTGATAATGATCAGCAGGGGCCCAGCTTACGTACGTATATAGGAAATTTAGATCACGTTGCAGCAAACGTACGAAACACGTCCCTAAAGCATGGGTTACATTGCTTGGCAAGGCATGTAACATCAGTACAGAACCACGATGAGTTCTACCACCTGGTACTAGAGATAGTGCGGAGCATCGGTCGATCGTGAGTACTCGCGCCAGACCATCAACATTCCCGTTGTAGATTGCGGAGTACAAGTACTATCCTTGCAATGTTTGTCTCGAAATTACGGGCCTTGTGACTCCTAGCTGCTAGGCCTGTGCTGTGGCCTTCCATATTTGGCGCTCCTGCCCGGGGCCCCCACCAGTGGCCAAGGTCCTGACTTTCGTCAAATACTCCTATCTTAAATTCTCCGTCGAGACAGATAGGTTCTCTTCCTCTAAGCAGTCTGGTTCGATAAGAGGCGAACGTTACTCTGATAAAACTTACGCGAACGCCTTAAGCCAATCTCGTTTGGATCTTACCTGCTGTCACCGATCTGTCTAACAACGGAGATGCAAGGTACCTATACAAATAGTAAAACTATGAGTTGCAAATGAGAGTTTACCACCACCGTCACGTTGAAACCCAAAATCTCGCAAAATAGAGTTCCAAAGTCATCCAAAAAAAAACCTATATCATGATGTATAAAATAAAAGATAGTGTGTCTCATAAGTAGATATCTAGGTAGTAGTGAAGGAGATACCAGTAATACATCTTATCTATTCACATTCTCAGTGGATATGAATGATAATATTGGCCAATTGACCTCTACCACGATATACCTACTTATTCATGGCACTTGGGTATCTATCCAACCTAACCATATCATGTACTTACCCTTTAGTGACCAATGATCTTGAAATCTTGTTTGTTGATTTGTTGATGACCTGAAATTGCAATGCAGTGTTTCTGCTCCAGCTCCTGTCAACTAAGCGACGTACTGTCTACCAATGATGATGTGTGACAAGTCATGGGATGTGAACTGCCCGCACTTTCGGATAATTATACGCATAGACACTATGCATCATGTGGCAATAAGCAGTAACTTGTTAGACCCATTTCGGCACGCGGCCGACTCCCGCAATCTACGAAAGGCTCACTTGCAATCCAGTTTCTCCCGTTAAGGTTACAATTATCTATAGAGAATCTCTTGTTTTTCGATAGAGCGATAAGATTCTGACTGCTACCTGGGTATAGATTCACATTGCCTGCTCGTCAACACATGTTTATTGTTAATCAGCCAACGACATTGCAGCGTCTGGAACCAGAGCTGGCATCCATGTCCGTTGCGCAAAATTGATCATAAAGCCTTGTAAAGATCTCAAAATGCGCCGACATCTTGTTCATACAACAATTTTTTCTTTCTTTTTGGCGTAACAGCTTCAACGGCTGAAGAAGCAGGAATATCTCATTCCATGTGACGCTGCATACCGTGTATCTCGTCGCCTCCACACCCGAATAATGCATGGAAAGGGCAACGTAATTTATAATGTAGCTATACATCGTATCGGCTCATTCCTCTTATCTCATATAGGTCTTGCTTGCTACCCTTGTGGCCTCCATATCCGCTGACCTTCTTCCACGACTATTCCTGCCCCTGGAAGAATTTCTCTCAACATTTCGTTGGCCCCTTTACTTGCATCCCGTGCCTTTTCCCAATGCCGGGGATATCCCAAGCTGACCTCTTCATACCTTACCCCTTCTTTGACATCTGTCCGTCGAACATGCAAATGCCCCGAGACTACCACCAATGCCCCTCCATAGTGTGCTCCAAAACGCCCGACCTCTGTCCAATCCTGAGTTCTTTTAGTTCCACACCATAGAGAAAACCGAGGGACTTTTGGAATGAAGACTAAATCTTCTCGTAGAGGCCAGTGGTTGACAATCACAAATTTCGAATTCGGATACCTGGAGGCGTAGTCGGAAAATTTGAGCTCCCATTTGTCGCACAGTTTCATACACCATTCGTCCCGCGAGCCATATGGATCTGGATGCAGCACGGCCTCGTCTGTTGCCCAAATGTTCTCTTCCATCGCCCAGTCCAACGCTTTCTCTCTGGAGACCTCCGCCGGGCGAAACGAATAGTCGTATAACGTGAATACTAGCGCAATCACCACATCAACGCCATCCGGCCCTGGCCAGAGCATCCAATCATCCTCTGGTGTGAGAACACCGTGCTGCCGCGCCAGCTCCACCAAGGCATTGTATTTTGCTTCACCTTTCAGTTGATCGGCAGGGTGCTTGGCCACGGAAGACGAGATACTGTAGAGCTCATGGTTTCCTGGGACCCAGAATACGTGCGTGAAGCAGGCTTTGGCGCGCTCAAAGGCAGCCGTAAGGTGCGTAGCTGATTCGCCAATGTCACCTGCAAGAATAAGACCACTACCGAGTGGTTTTGGCTGCAGAAGATTCCATGTTGAGGCATTCAGGGGATACGCAAGATGCAAATCGGAGATGGCATAAAGCTTCGCCATGATTACTTGATGCTGGAGATGAGAGAGAGATAAGCGGAGTGGGGTTAGGCAGTCAGCCTTTATAACACGTTTGATCAAAGGAACCGCTTACCTAACGTGAGACACGGCTGCAGAATTATGACATCAAAAAAAGTATTATGTACTTACTGAAGATACCTTTGCGTAACCTGCAAGCATTTCAGTGCTGCGTCTCCTTATCATTGGCTGTAATTTGCCTTCCAAGGTTGCAAATTGACATTAAAGGTCGTGTACACCTCAGCCATTTGCGCCTACCAGCGACCCACTCACTGTCGTATTTAACAGCAGGAGCTACTAGGTACATACTGAAGAGGTACGAAGCCGCTTTGTGCGGGGAGAACAGCGGCGGCTAGCAATCCAATACAAATGTAATGACTAGTTGGGCCGCTATTGAAACAAAATTACTCGTAGCAAAATGGCCAAGAAAGCAGAGCAATTATTATTCAAGCTTGTTTTGTTCTGTTGCTTTTTATTATGCCGTTGGAGTATTGTCCATATGGGTTGTTATAGCCGTTTGTTTTGGTATGTGCCTAGACGAAATCGGAATCATCGATAAGGCGCATAAAAGTATCCATACATAGGTCCTTCCTTAACTTTTATTCTACCGCTCTAGGTGGAGATGATCCCCAAAGGCCTAACTTTAAAACAAAGTTGTAGGCGGTGATTAGCCCAATCGTGCGTACTCAAAGCTTAATAGGAGCCACGCTATCACTCCATTAAGTACTAGTATGGACTCTATTATTGAAGACAGGCCTACTACGTACCGCGCACAATAGCCAAGAGTTCTATCCTTCGCTTTTATCTCCAGTCGAAGATCTATCGTATCCCGTCGTATATAACCCTAGATGCGTGCATATTAATAGGTACTGCTCGGTGAGAGATTTGGCAAGGATATTTGGCGTAACGTTTTCCACTCCGAGTTTCAGGTTCATCCCCGCAGATCTTTCTGGATGTTCGATGATCCAACGAACGTAATACCCCATATCATCCAAACAGGTCAATGGGAAGCCACCATCGTTCACAGGGAAGCGAAAATTGTAAACACCATTCTCGCCCTTGGTTGGCCTCATTAAACCCCAAAGTTGCTCAAGATACGGGCTTGTGGCAAGAATTGTCCATATCATAGGCGATGGCGGCAGCGCGGATATCCACTGTTCAACATGACCCTTGCCATAATAATGAACGGATCGAAAAGAGTCATCGTACTTGGTTTCCAAAAAAAAGTTGTCAAGGGACGACCATATATAGTGCTTAACACCACTCTGTACTGCAATTTCGAAGATTTCATCCTTAATACCCAGGGCCCAACTATTGAGATTGACAAACGCATAGTCAATTCCGTGGAATGCTCTTTTCAGGTAAGGAACAGAGTCCACGGCACCCAGAGAGAAGTTCACGTTTGGAAGCTCTGAGAGTTTTTTTGCGTTATTTGAGGTAACGTCTCTTGTGAGAACTCGAACTTGAAAGCCATTATTGGCCAACTCTGAACAAGTATCAGTAAATGATCTCATAAATGTCGCCATGAGTTGGAACACCTTCGACAATCGGTACCCCTTGAGCTCCAGTACCACCAATTATAAGGGCTGTTGGAGAAGTCATTTTTTCTTTCGCCTATAACTTTAGGGTGAACGCGAGTCATCGGGATTTTTGGCGTGTGGGTTTGGGCAATTCTTTGTGATTGATCGGTTGCTTTAAATTTGGGCGAAGTATCAGGTTTAAGTACTCAGGTTTGTCCGATGATTAATGGCAATTGCAATAGAGAGACTTCTAGCATTTGGTAGGCTGATTTGATGGTGTAGTTACAGTCAGGCATTATCCGTAGGTTCTGTGTAAGTGCGCAGCTTGAAAGCAGTCGCCGCCCGAAATCATAGGTAACTCGTCGTTTCACGCGGAGACATTGCGTCACAGGGTGACATGTGCGTATGCGAATTCCAAATCAGTCGACAGTCCAAAGTGTCAATGCGTGATGTGATGTGCGCAAACAAATTGTTTGTGGTAACATTGTTGCTAAACCAAGCACCATAAAACAACTTAGATAATTAGTTAGCCTTAATATCAGCTCACGGATGTCCATGGTAAACCGGCCACCACGCCATCAAGTGCATAACTGCCGAGCTTGTCTGCAAATGCACCTTAGTTACGCCCAGCGGACCAGGATATATCTATCCTGGTCCGCACGCTAAGATATGTATGTAAGCTGCGCCATGCCCTTCCAGCACATGTCGGGGACACGAGTAGCGACCGCCAAGAAAGAAATAAACAGCATAGAAAATACTATTCCCCACAGTATGTCTCTGGAGGAGAATAATTATAAATAACATTTGTATTGATAATGTAATTTGGTCTTTATTAACGACTAATTGCAATTACCTGGCTATCCTAATTTTAGCCTACTGGATAAAGGTACAGCTTACACCAGGGGATATTATTGTGGAAGTGTCGAGATAACCTATATTCTCGACTGAGCTTCTAATAGTAATATACTTCCATATCTAATACACGAAAATGGAATAGTGCTGGTACATTACTCTTTTCAAGGTCAACATCGGTTAGTTATGCCACCAATGCCCATCTGCCTTTGCACTACAGTAGGTGGCTTGATTGCCTCCCCTGTCACCACACACGCCAATTCCGCCATTGACGCCGTGTATCCGCGTAATTCGAACTACTTTCCAATATTTAGCTAAGAAAAGATGATCAAAGTAGATGAACTAGGTAATCTGTCATACGTAGCCCATTGAAGTACTTGCTATGTGTTACCAGCTATATGCTTTCCAAGCTACATGCTCCGAGTAGTCGATAAGAAAAGCTTCCCTCTCCGTTTCTGCCATCTATGCAATCATTATTCTGGTCTTAAAAATTAAATTATATCCATCTATTAAGTATTTTTGTAACTCTGCTCCAAATCATCTTTCAGCACTGGCTTTCCATGCTGATACAAGTCTTCTCCTCACCGACCCGTACAATGGTTTCATACATCCAGACGGGGAACCCCATGATTTCTTGAAAACGACTATTGAGACCACTAACACGGCCGAGAACGTCAAATATTTCATAGCAACTGCTAGGACAAACAAAAAAAACTTCCATCTACTATTACCTTCAATAGAACTCCAAGGAGGGCAACTATAGTGGCTGGGATCGAACTACGTTCGTTTCTCATGTCATACAAGACCAAAGAGTTGTCGAGGAAGGCAGTTGAAGTGCACAGATATTAAGAAATGGAGTCTCATGTGAAGAACGGCAATGCTGTTACTCCCAAGCACTGGAATGCGAGGTTGGTTTCCCAGCAAACTCGCCACCAGGTAGGTAGTTGAAAGGATTTTGTGGTCAGCTCATTCCAGGCCTCTCATTCACATTTACTTCTGGGTCGGTGCAATACCACCAAAGTCGTGTACCCTGGAATAAGAACCAATCAGTGTCCAGAATGCGCAGCCCGATATGACATACAATTAGATTACGTTACAACTTTACGGAGTACTGCAAGTGTCCAATCCACCGAGTGCGTGCCCCATTGAATCACACTGCGTAAAGTCCGGATATACGGATGCTACAGCCGGCTTCTCGAATGAGCAAGCCAATGCGGGAACGGAAATCGTCTAGCCAATGTTAGTCAGTCACCATTTGACAATTGACGAATGTGCTGAAAGCTTCAAGGAGCAGAAAGCTTGAGATGACAGAGTATACAGTCTGCATTTGCTGCTTTAAAGAAAGAACCACAAGTTTTAGATTTAAAATAACCCCTTATATTCAACTCGTGTTGTGCCGTAATAAGTGCGTCCTTACATCATTAGACCTATCATGATGCTTATTTCAAAATCATCGCTCGTATCGTACACCCTCGAGAATGAATCGTTCACCAAATACTGGCTCTATCCAACATCATTCTTCTCTAGCACTATCTAACCCATCACTGTAGCCAATTGACTAAAGAGACATTTTGGTACCTCGAAGTAATAGGTAAGTCTGAGACTTTCTATGTTGGCTATAAACTCTATTCTATTGTTCCTGCAGCGCCCTTGCGTAATGAATAACGTAATACTAGACTATAAGTATGAAGTCCTCTAAACGAGATGTTAAGTGATTTCCAAACGGCTATTAATGCGCGCCAGACGCATATCTTCGCAGCTTCGTTATGTGTATATGGAAGGTAAGTCACTAATAAAAAAAGCCTCTTAGTGACTATTCAACTAATCCTCTAATCATTTCAATTTTTTTTTATTAGTGATAACATCTTGTCTGAAGCAGGGGCACCCGGCTCGCGCGTGCTTCAGATGACTTGAAATGCGTTGTAAAGAATTAATATTCGGCGGTGGAAGCCTCTTACCGTGGAATTTCATTTCAAGCTGACTACAAACGAACTGATGTCGACTTGCCACTGTTGGCATTTTGAGGTGAGCCTAATTGGTGCGGACAAGGGTATCCTTGTCCGCAGCTAATTGTTAGCTCTTTGTCACTGACCTGAAGTTGGTTAAATGCGCGCCGCCTTGATAAGCAGCATATGGATTACTTCCATAGAAATGCATCGCAAATAGCTAACAATATGATGATGGTCTTGTCTGAACGTTTTTGGCAAATGTAAAGGCTGCATACATCCTGGCCATCATGCATCCTTCGAAAGAATCAACAGCCAACATTCTCTTTGCATCATTGAAATACTATTATTTAGATCATTATGTCTTTCAAGAACATGCTGTGACCGGTGCAAGCGAAAATCTGGGCAAGAGTATCTTACCTTTGCTACATGAGTCTGGACTAAAAATTACTGCGGTTAACCGCCATACCTCGGAGTCTACATTCCCTCAAACCGTTGATGTCCGACGAACGGATTACTCCTTTGAATCTCTGAAATCTGTTTTCCAAGGCCAGGATGCTGTTCTATGCCTCGTTTCTGCGGCCGATGTTAGGGCCTAAATACCCATGGCGGATGCTGCTGTTGCTGCTGGAGTTTAATGGTTCATTCCGTCCGAGTTTGGAAACGATACAACCAATCCTCGTGTTTTTTAAGTGCTTCCCCTGTTCCAGGAGAAAGTGAAAATAGTGGACCACTTGCGCTTAAGAGAAAAGAATGGACTGAGCTGGACGAGCTTGCATACGGGGTTCTTTCTTGATTTTGGCCTCACTTTTGATCTCCTCGGATTCGATATATGCCAGAAGACAGCAGCGGTATGGGATGACGGCAACAACGGGTCAAGTATGTCCACATTCAAGAGCATTGCGCAGGCAATAATACAAATCTTTACGGATCCAAAATCGCGAGAGGAAGCAAAAAATCAGTATATACGTATTGAAACAGTAACGACGACTCAAAACGAGATACTCCAAGCTTTAGAAAGAGTCAACGGGACCAAATTCCAAGTCACTCACATCGAAACCGCAGAGGCGAAGCGCTTGGGAGACCGGCATTTAGCATCAGGAGACAAGGATTTAGCGGGATTTTTTCTACTTCTCAAGTACGTGGCACTTGGGAAGAACGAATTCTTGGATTGGGAAAATAAAGCTGGACCTCACCGCCTAGCCCTCAAAGCTCAGCAGGAATCTGTCCTGGACGTTGTGGGTCGCATGCATCCAAAGGTCACTGGGGAGGTAGAGAGGGGTGAGCAGTAAAGGAGGTTCAAACATCCATCTTCCACTTCAAACGTTGTTCTACTTGCTTATGACCTTTTTTTTTAATAGACAGCATTTGTTGATTTGCAATTTCGATGCTATTGTCATTGAGAATATGCCGAAAGACGGAATTGAGTACTTATTTTAGAGTTGCATCTGGCCGACACTGACATCGTCATTTAATCGGACAAACTTTGGTGGCATGAAAAAGAGCTGTTGATTGGCATTGAGTCGTTACATAAGCCGAAATAAGTCACCAAACAGAATTGCTAAGCACTTCTGGAAGCAGCGACCTTCTCCGATTCTGCCTCAAAACTGCTTCCGCAACTACCGCCCCAATCTGAGCCTTCAGTGTCAATCTACACCAAACTAATTTTCCTGAATCCAAACCGAGCAAAAACTTAGACTTAAACTTCTATTCATAATGAATGCCTGCGCCTACTGCAAAAATGGAAAGCGGAAATGCGACAAAGCACGACCTTCTTGTTCCAACTGTATACGGTAGGTACCTCTCGGTTGAGATTCATGAACAGACGATGTAACTAAAAGCCATTTAGCCTCCATAGAACCTGTATCTACATAGAGGATGCGGTTCAGATCAATTTTCCCACTGGTCTACCAGGACAACAAGGCCCTGCTATCAGACCTGTTGCGATAGCCGAAGACATGCATGCATTTGAGCTCCCGGGATCACGCTTTGCTCGCTCTATCTCAGCTCTTGGATCAATAAACCAGATGCCGCTCCGGCAGCCCATAATAGATCTCACAGTAAGAGCTGAAGCACTGCAAATATTAGGATCATTAGACAAGATGAACGAAATAGCGGCACAATTCTTCGTTGGAACGCACCAAAGGATGTCAATACTATCCAAATCTAGGTTCTACAGGAGCCTTCAAACTATAAACGCCGAACCAAAAGCCGACTTCTTAACACTATGTTTATGCATGTTTCTAATCGAGCAAATTCCTTTGCACCAACCAATGAGCATGCAGTCGACCCCCTATGTTATTATTAAGAGTTTGCTTGGTATGCTCGAAGCGGCAGAACAAATATCACTGGATATCGTCCAAGCCAGAACACTTGTAACCTGCTACGAAATAGGTCATGGTCTTCATACAGCGGCCTGTATCTCAGTTGCTGCGTGTGCAAAAACGGCTCGAGCTCTGGGTCTCCATAAACAGATGTGCCGCAACTTAATTAACGAAATCGACGGGCTCGTCGCAGAGGAAGAAAAGAGAACATGGTGGGCGATAATGAACATGGACAGGTCTGTTGGGCTGTGTAGTGGCGACTTTTTATTTTCGACGGAGGACCCTGAGGGATTGGATCCGCTTCCAGTTGAAGATTTGCTATGGTCGCAGGATGGTGATCCAGTAGACTTGAGAGCCTCGATCCCCGGCGCACCCACGCTTGCCACACCTCCAACACAGTCCGTGGGGCAGATGGCTCGAGAGTGCCAGGTCTCTCACCTTGCCGGCCGGGTGATCCGACACACCACCAATCCCACATCTGATCCCAACTTCAATGCCGAGGAGGCGATACAGCTTGAACGTACATTACAGACTATTCTGTTGTTGCTGATTGATGAGGATCTGACTTTTGGAAGATATTGTGGGGCCCTTGGGATCTGTGACAGGTGCGTTATATCATCACTTCTTCTTATATTTTCCCACTGGCAACTGTTCTTTAACAAAGGTAGCGCACTTTTCACACTTTACGAATTTTTACTTAGCCACTGCGATGAACATGGGCCAGAAAAGGTCGGAATACTCGAGAGTATGCAAGAATTGTCAGAAAGAGCCGTCATGTTTGCAGAAGCTGGCTACGCCGATAAAGAAACATTTTATCTCGAGACTCTTTCACCTTTCCTCCCATACTGTCTTTATCAAGCTGGAATCGTGCAGTATAGGCTGTGGAACCAAAAGGGTGATTTAATTCACAAATCGCGACTTGATGCCCTCTCCAATCTTCTGAGAGGAAATGGCAAGCGATGGGCTGTTGCAGGTAAGCATCTTAATCATCTTCAGGCAGAAAATTGCTGATGTAAACAAGCAACATACTTGGATGTTTTGGAAAGATTGCAAGAATCCTGGCCACCTATAGTGACACCATCTGATTTGCTGAACTTTGGAGAACAGGCTTCAGTCCCATAGAGAGAAATCCAGACCATCTGAACATTATTGACAGTAGCCATGTGATAGCAATAATAGAAGGGCTAGTTAACGAGTATTTAAGCTTTACGTTTCCGGCTGGCTTATCCTACGCACATTTGTGTAAGAGTCATGTTTGAACAAAATTTCAAGGCGTTAACGCTTGCTTGCCTTCTACATACATATTAATATCTTGAACGATTGTAAAGTAGCTTGGCCTGAACTCTTCTCCATAAATCCAAGTGAAATTTGGAAAATTAATGTTAACAGACCTAGCCGCTCTTCCCCTGATGATCAACAGATAATCGTGTCTATTGCAATGACGCTAGGTTTACCAAGTTTTGACACATGTTTCTCTGTGCACCTTCCATATTCTGTTTCACAAATGGCATAAGCCAACTGGAACATTCCAAAACCACATTCTGGAATAAAATCCAGCTGTCGCCACCTACACTACCTCCATTGTTTGTATCACACATAGAGCCTTGGCTGTTCACCTTGTTTACGCTATATGTTGCCGCTACAACTACTCCCGCAGACGCAACTGCACGAGATTTGAGACCATCTACTGTATTCTGGAAGGTAACAATAATAGTCGTGGGGTATTTGCCCCAGTACCCAATTCCCGGGTTTATCATGATCTTTTCTATTACTTTATGTACCTTAACTGGATCGTCAAGATTGTCAAAATATGTATCAAAATCGGAAGCTTCAGTTGAACTAATCTCGCTGTATGAAGCTAGTTGCGGCTGAACCGTAAGAAGGCTTTCGTGAAGATGAAGGACATCTATAACGTTATTCGCCGAGATATTGGACGGAATTGGACATTCGGCATTGTATATGTGCGTGGTTCGTGCCATTTGGAGAGCGCTTTTTTGTAAGATGATTGGCAGAAGAGGGGCGTTGAAGGGATAAATTGAAGAGGAAGAAAATAGCGCTATAAATATAAGCAGCCAAGCAAGACGAACATATAGCCTAACTTTATTTGGCAGTTGCAGGGTTAATCAGCTCTTTTAGTGGTGAAGTGCCCTGGACAGGACTTTGTAGCAGAGAATCGGGGTGGTTGGAGGTGAATGGTTGCTAAATTCCGCCACTGTATGATAACTCATTGTCGCATAAGTGTGTGTTGGGTATCTTATCACTCTCATCGGTGTTTGACTAGACGGACATACACTGGATGCTCTCACAGTGTATACAGATTTGTAGTGATGTGCTAATGCGGACTCATAGATTGATCCTAGTGATTTGTATTGTTTTACCGTTCTGAAAAGATGCTACAGCCAGGATACTGTGGCGTAAGGTGATTCAGATATCCCGCGATCTTCTGCAAAAGAGCTGGACTTTCCCACATCGGTCGCCATCAATGAGTAGGCGTATGGATAGTACAATAGAAACAAATGGCTCCAGTATAATGAGATGATACTAGAGATGTGACCACTGTCGCTCTTGTGCAAATAAGTGAATACTGGCAAGCTACTTCATGCATCATCTTCGGTCCCTGACTATTGTGACCTCTGATGTTGTAGCCGACCTCTCATACCTGACATATTCCGCCCTTATACCTCCCCCTTGACTGTCTGTTATTATCACGCAATACATAATTGACTTTTTTCTCTTTGAGATGGGTTTCTTAGTGGTCCCAACCCATGGCAAGGACCTTGTCAGCGTGAGGATAGCCTGATTTGTAAAATACACCCGTGAGCATACCAGGGTCAACAGCCCTTTTCGGAATGCTATTTCCTGCTCATCTGGGAAACTATGGATCGAAATATTCCAATTGACTCTGATTTGCCGAGACCATGCTTTCTTTTGCCTGCATTATCTCTCTATGACTCTCGGTGGCTAAAAGTACGAATCTCCAATTGCCAAGTGAAGTAAGAAATCATCCCAATAACCGTAAATATTCCGGTCCAAGCCATCGCTGCTTTCCGAAGGATATTCAGTGTAAACTTATCTCTTGCTGCAGCCTCGTTGACATGTGGAAATGGTTCTCTCGGATTTGGTTTACCTAAGAATTTGCAGAGTGGCTCCCATCCTGATCCCAGCTCTACTTCAAGCAGGCGCTCCTTTGGAATTAAATTACGCACATACTCATTGTGCTGTTCAATCCAGAGTGGGTTGCATTTACGGCCTGTTCTTTCTTCAGCTCTGTAAAAAGATTAATCATTCTGCTCTTGCTAGGAGACTCGAGGGCATCTTACGCTTCAAAGAAACCTCGCGCAGTGTCAACAAACCATCGAATACCAGGTAGTGGCATGGTGATGTATCCCATAGCTTTACTTCCTGCATTATCAGCTACTGACTCGAAGCTCTTCCACCATGCTGCTGGGGGGCGTGTGACGAGCACGAATTTTGCATCTGGATATAACTCCGCAAGCTCTGGGAGGAAATCAATGGCGGTGACATCAGTTGCGCCTGCAAAACCTGAAAAAGCATCTTCAAGCCCTTTGAGTAACCGCGTGCGGTTCCCCTCACGCTTATCTTGGTATATCTGATTCCATTTTTTACAGTACGCTGGGAGATATCAACTACTGCGCGTAGAAATAATGGGACCACAAGCTTTACTTACAGTCTTCTCGATTAAAAAGCTGGGTAGCTGTATGATGTACTGGTCCGTCGAGCAGCCTCTCTAGAGCATAGGCATAGGATAGTGTCCCGGTCCTCGAGAACCCAGCATCTATTACCTCCAGCCTTCTTCCCTTATCCACCGGTACAGATGCTTCTTGTCCCATTATTGTTTCAGACTCTGAATAGTAACTGGGATAATGATCGGCATAGTACAAAATGAAAAGGCCTGTCCCCCTGTGTTAGATGTATAATGAACAAGGCGATTAAATCAGGGATGCATGTTATAGGATAGGAACAGTCACATCTGACGTAAGCTTACATGTACACAAACGTTTGAGTTTGAGATGGATAATACTAATTGTACCCGCACTCAGACAAAGAAACTAACCTAGATATTGGAAGCACACTGTAATTGTATAGAAATATTATGGTAACAAGGTGGAATCCTGTTATGTGAGTGATAATAGAGGCTACCCGATGCGGTCATGTAAGATCAGGCGTTGTTATTCTTTGCAAGAGAACACCATGTGACGATATTGAACCATGTCCATCATAATGGTGCGTGTAGTAGTGATCATCAATCAACCCCTTACTACTTCCACTTCTTCCAGGCAAATATCATCCCCACGCCAACAATTGATGCAGTTGTTAAGGTGAATTTTATCAGAGCCCTTCTTATCAACTGCCCAACCAGGGCATCTCTGATCTCCAAGTGGTCAGCGAAATTCGGATATGGTACGTCAGGCTTTGAAACTTCAAGAAAGTCGCAAACTTCATCCCATCCCAATCCCTCTTCTAACTTGATAATTCGTAGTCTTTCCTTTGGTATTAATGCCTTGACAAAGTTGTTGTAGTCGACGTAATTCTGACGTAATATCTTCACGTTGTCAGGATGGCCTCGTTTAGTTGTCCCACTAAATAAGTCGTATACTAGGCTGTTGAACCGCCAATGATGCCATAGACCTTCATCGAAATATCTCAGGATAGTCATGGGGGTAGATGTAAGATAATCATTCATGCCGCCCACTTGTTTGTTAAATGACCTGACCCATTTGTCCGGATCCCGCTCAGTTAAAAGAAACTTCACATTCGGATCACTCAGATATGCGCTCTGGATTTGCACAGGCATGTAACAGGGCACCTCGATGATCGAATCATACGCCTGAAACCATTTGTCGAATTCTGCTCGTCCATACGGCCTGACGCCAGAAAATCGGTTATTTTCCGCTAGTAATGCCTCTTGGAAGAAGACTTTATGGCTGTGGCCTTGGTTTTGTATGAATTCTGCAGCGTGATAAGGCTTATAACCAAGAATTTTGAAGGCTCGATATAATCCAAGTGTTCCGGTTCTATAAAGCCAATGACGAGTGTAAGCATTTGTAGGAGTAGTAAGTAAAGAGGATTAATTCGCACTTGCTGCATCCAAGGACAATAACTTTGATCTTGTTTTTATCGGATGGCTCAGGGAAATTATCGATTTTCCTCGCTTGCAGCATCTTTGCTTAAAGAGGGGGTACTTTGGGCAACATAAGATTCTATAACAAGAGGTGTCAGGAAGACGAAGTCATTCGAATGACGAATGTAGCATTATCTGACATCGAAGAATTTATCAGGTTACGAAACAAAAAAAAGATTGGATAGTTGGAAATCATCGTTGTGTTCATATAAGAAAATGCGATGCATTACGTCCATGGTATGCTAAGTCAGCCTGCAGAGCTGTTTTCCATTCTAGTAGTGGGTACGCGCGGCGATGGCCCCTGTAGATTAGGGCGCCCGCATTGACCTTCGCTATTATGTGCGCTATGTATGCCTAGAGACAAAAGTCTCGTCATCATTCCAATCATAATGCTCTTCAAAAGCATACACCTTTGAAGTCAAAGTTTACGGTACGCTAGGAAGGAGTGGCTGCTTATTTTAATGTTTCATAGTCCAAACGTTAGAGGTGGAAGTAAAGAGAGAATTGGAGAACGAGGCCTTACATACACCAACTTGATGGAGCCCATCTAGGTACATCACCTTCCATAGGCATCATATATATCTAATGTCTACTCATAATGAATAAGCTACCGTGTTTCCAACCCTTGAGATCAATGGAAGTTTGACTCATATGCCTGGACAACTCACTATCGGTATCGTTAGCCAAAGGTCAATTTTTTGTGTTAGTGAAACTACTCGCATAGAAGAGAATCGTGTACCTAGGTAGGTTAACATCGTTCTAAGTCAACACTGGACAGAGTGATTACTTACTTATGGGATCGAAAAGTATAATACTATGACAGGAGAGATAAAAATAAATCTACCGCCAGAATTTGGCGGCTCTAGCTCCCAAAGAGTAGGTAGATATAAGAGTAGATGTTGATCCAAATTCTACATGTAATCTCACGAAATTCAGGCTAAGCTTCAACTACTGGTCTTGAGTTTTTAAATTTGACATCAATCTAACCCACCCTTTCCAAATTTACTACTTATTCTAGCTTCAATAGCCATAATGTTAGCATTCCCTCGTCTCTGAGCTGTTTCAAAAGCTCGTCGATAGACACCCAAATTTTCAGAAAACAGTGGGCGATGATCTTCCCAACCCGTAAGCTGGCGGATGTTATCGCTGTTGACCCACTGGCTAAAATTAAAAACGATGTGAAGTCCTTCGGGGAACGATGGCGGTGCTTTAGCAGGAGGAACGAACTCTACCCCTCCTCCAAACCCGTACTCCTTCGCTAGGGCTTCCCCCACCTCTCTCACTGTCTCATACCGATATCCGGATATGTTGAATATCTTCCCGTCCACCGCATTTCGATTTGCGTGCTCGGCAATAGCTAGGTAAGCTGTGCCACAATCGTCGACGTGAGTCGCATGCATGATGTTGTCGGGATTCGCTGGTATTTTAAGGGTGTCATTTTCGGCAACTGCTTCAGTCGCAACCCAAGAAAACATGGCTCCATAGTAGCTGCCGCTGCGACCAAATACGCTCGTGGGCCGGAGTAGTACGGCGTCAAAAATTTCGCTATAGTCGAATATACGAGTACAATTTTCGGTTCTTTGACGGAGGAACTCTGGAGGATTGGTGGGAGATGTCTCTGTATGTGGAAACAATGAGAGAGATCCGTGGATATCCGTTCTTCCATAATCTTTGCAACCAGACGACCAAAGGACTAAAGAGCGAACCCCATGCTGCTTGCTTCTCCCAGCCAAGACCTTGACTAGCGCCATGACATCGAGAAAATGATCCGCATATCCGGGGAGGTTCTCGGTACAACTTATAATGGAATCGAAAACCGTGGCCTTTTCATAAACGGAATCGAGAAAGCCGAGGTCCGTAAAATCACCCACAACGGGTATAACTTCAGCGACCTCTAGTTCTTCCGCTGCTTCAGGTTTGCGAACAAGGCCAAACGTCTTCCAGCCCGCTCCGACGAACGCTCGACAGACGGCGGTGCCTATGTAGCCGTTTGCCCCGGTCACAAAGACGGTACGGACCCGGTTGGCTACCCCTAGAGGCAGTTTAGTGGCCATGCTGAGATTGTAGGCAACTCCGCAAACAGTGCTCTAGACTTATTATTTTCGGACTCAAGTAGTACGAAAGGGGTTTTTTTTTCTGCCTACGGTTGCGTTGTTATATACTAAAGAACGGAAGAATATGTCCACAATGTTCCACACAATATTATTTGTAACAACGATGGCGGATGTAGTGGGTGCTATGATGCAGACTTCATGTTATCTTTTTTTTTCCAATTGAGTCGGATGAAAATTCCTACCATCGGACCAACACTTTCGCTGTCGGACCAAGAACTTCTGATGTCGGACCACCGGATATGCAATCGGACCAGTGTCCCATCCGTGATTATGAGCGGTAATTTTTTTGCGGCCATGACCGAATCTATCTTTATTCTCTCTCTCTCTCTTTTCTTTTTTATAGCGCAGCTGTGGCCATTGTACATAAGGACTGCTTGACCCAAGTTTGTAAATGGGAGGATGTCGATCGATTCTTCTCGCTACCTACAGAGGACACGAAGCAGGCTCTCGTAATTGGCTAGTGGGATGCAAATCCGCACGGCTAATGGAAGGGAACCGGCCCGCATATGGACCAGCCGTGATGGACTTCCCGTGTGGAGAATTCTAGAGATTCGTGAGGCCAAGGCAGCGATCATATTAAAATATTAGTATAATTAACTGTCATTCAGATTCTAACGTTCTACATTCTTCAGCTGGGAGACATTATTATCGATTTCAACAAAAAAAAATAGAATAAATAAATAATATGCCAATTCATTCGCGCCTATCACAAATCATCAGGTACTTGACTCATCCTCAAGAAGAGCATCAGGCCACCACTGCGGGGCACTAGCTATGTCTGCGAGTCGTAACCATTAAGCCACTAGTATTAAATATGGAACGCCGAATGTTTTCTCAGAGTCGCTTTCGTCCATAGGGGGAAACCTTTCGCAGTATTGTTGTTTCTAGATTTCGAAGATGAATGTTAGGTCAGGGCGTCGTCCATCTATTCCAATGCCTTTTATTCTAAACTTGGATATAATCTCTCTACTAAAGAAAGTCCTACTCCATACTATATCCTTCTAAGTTATTGCGCAGGTAATTCCAAAAGGCGTTTCAAAACTTCATCATCGCTAGGGTTTCCCTTTCCTTTAATGGTTTCGTAGGCGGGCAAAAGCACAGCCTTTTCGATTTCCTTGTACTTACCATCAGCCACAAAAATTGCGTCTCCCTGTCTGGATGTATCTGCCATCAGATAAACGGCAGCGCGCGCAACTACCAGAGCAGGCTGCGGCACGTGGGAAATCGCTTTCATGAGCCCCTCTAAGTCTGGGAGGACGTTGCTCGTTGTCCATGATGGCATCAGAGTGTTGATACGAATGGGAAGCCCCGCGATCTCCGCAAGCCGTGCAAACCCTCTGCCGAACCCAAGGACGCCATGTTTGGCCGTGGCTACATAGTTTGGTCAGCACAAGGGACCCTGATCAACAATACATTGCTTTACTCCCCACTTACAATAGTCGACTGCTCGAAGTGGCTGTAGCCCGGTGCTAGAGCCCATGAGCACAATGCTACCACCTTCAGGTTGATCCTTTATATAGTGAACCGCAAGAGAAGCTGTGTTGATGAGACCCCTCAAGCCGATATCCAACAGTTCATGCGAGGGTTCCTTTAGCCCACCCTGGTCATCTGTCTCAAGAACCAAGTAGTTGGCGCGCGGGCCGATGCCGGCGTTGGCGAAAACGCAGTCGATGCGGCCATGGTGCTCCTTCGCTTTCTTGAACAGAGCGGTCAGGTCATCCCATTTAGCCACATCGGTCCGCACAAATAGCAAGTCAGGCGTTTCTGTCGACTCGGAGGCCGGTGGTGGGTTAAGATCGCCGCTCACCACTGACGCTCCTAGTGACAGCAGCAGGTTGACTGTTGCGAAACCTATGCCTGACGAGCCGCCTATGATGAGCCATAGGCTGGTCAGCAGCATAGTTCCAGGATAATCACTAGAGTAATACGGCAAAAAAAAAAAAAAAAAAAAAAGCAAATTAGCCGTACCTGTAAGGACAACAACCTTGCCTTTGAGGCTGCTTAAATCCTCGTCCTTAATCAGAAATTCGGTCATGGTGTTAATACTAGACAAGGCTTCTTAAAATGATGGAGGTAGCGAGACGGGAGAAGATGAAAGAAAATGTGATATCACACAAGTAAAATACTAAACAAAGGGGTCAGAAGATAGAGGTCTTGGGAGGAAAAGGAGAGCTGCAGACGTACTACTACTCGTTGCTTATGCATGTATCCAGCAAAAAAGCCACGCTATGACCCCTTTGTCTAAAGCACGATGGTGAAACGAGCCTAGCTCAACATTTGCCCCATACACCTACACCGTATTGTACAGTACTAGATTCCGGTAATTATGCCCACAATCGTCAATACTAGAGGCATTATACGAAGTATACCCAGATATGTATAGGTACCGCTGATCCTGCTCCCGGTGGAACGGTTACAGGGTACTCGAGTAATGAACACCCGGCATGGGTCAGAACAAGAAATGATGAGCGCCGTTTTCTTTTCACTATGGTCTCATCTTAGGCGAATTTTTTTTTGCCTCTGTGGTGGGAGGATTGATGCTAAATAATAGAATCATTCTTCTTCTTTGCAACGTCTCTTCTCCGTTGTAACTCTTCTTTAGACTTCTTTTACATTACCGGTTTTCTCTCTTGTTTCTCTACGAATCATCCTCCGTTCTGCTCTTCATCTGCCTTTGCTACCGCACCCAACTGTTTCGCCATCATGGTCGAGCCGGCAGGGGACGGCCTTCAGCTTCTCCATGCTTCAATAGTGCTGATAATCCTAGCCTGGCTCACATTCATTGCACGGACATCAGTTCGTCTTTGGCGAAAAGCGTTGGGCTGGGATGACATTTTGATGTTTATAGGCCTCGTACGTATTCCAACTGGGATAATTTATCCTCTCCAAGACCCAAAAGCAATCTCAAAGCCATCTAATGCTTCGTAGCTTCTCTTCACAGTGACAGCTTCCTTATGCATTGTCTGCAGCTATCTCGGATCTGGCCAGCTTGCTGCCAAACTGCATCCCAGTGATATCATGAAAGGAACCAAGGTGCATACTCTTGTGAATCTTCAATTGAGGATCGAACAAAGCCAAACTGACCCTCACAAAAAGCTCTTCTTCATCGCCGAATACTTCTACGCCTCCAGCACTGTCTTCATTAAGAGCAGCATCGCCATTACTCTCCTTCGAATCGCCGAATCTCGCCGTCGCTACAGGTGGATCATTTGGAGCGTCATAATCGCCACAAGCATTTCCTGCATCGTATTCATAGCCGGTATTTCCAATATTTGCCATCCCATCACTACCTTATGGGGCGAAACTACTACCGGCACGTGCAATCTTGAACTTAACAGCGATGTCAGCTTCTTCTTTTCTGCTATAGAGATTATAACCGACTGGACTTTGGCAATTCTGCCTGGGGCTCTGTTGTGGAAGATACAGATGAAGAGCAGGGTCAAGCTCTCGGTAGCCATGATTCTGGGGATGGGCGCATTGTATGTCTCAGATTTCCTTCTCCCGATCATAAATTGCCCCACTTCCTTTTGCCGCCGAATCTACGGAGTGTAACCCTACCAACGGAGCGCAACCCTACCAGGTAATAGACAAACTACACGTGGCTGACCTTTCACCAGTGCAAGCTGTGCAACAATTGTTCGACTCCGCTACCTAACCCTATACAACAACCCGGCAGAATTCATGTTCGGCACCGGCAGGATTGGCCTTTGGTCTATAATCGAAGAAGGCATTGGCATCGTCGCTGGCTCTCTACATGCTCTTCGCCCCCTCCTCTCACTGCCCATCTTTGGCGGTAGCTCCAGCGGCAACACCAGCGGCTCGGCTTCGAATAATAAATTCATGCAGTCAAGAAGTGGGCACCATCAGGGCATGCGTGATGACATTCACTTGGACACGTTTCACCAGCTAGCAGATACAGACGGGGATGGGGAGAGCGCCAAGCATATCTTAAAGGAGACGAAAGTGACGATGGAGAGGAGCGATCGAGCCGCTTCACCGGGAGAATACGGCAGGAGTCAGGTCTTAGGGTGGAAGAAGGACAATTTTGAGGGCTGATTTAGAACTGATGCATTTTCCCAGATAGCGACTGGTGTGGACGGCGCATGAAACTGGACGAGGTGTAATCTCGACTCAGGGATTGAAAAAGACGAAAAATGGGAAGCGAACATTAATATTTATGGCATAACGCTAGTCAACAATGGCTGCAATGTTTGCCGATCATAATGGTGAGAATTCTCTCAGCTCAATATTCATTAGCCATCTCTATCCTGCCGCACAATGTCAAAGTTTGATACAACATGCAGATTTGGAAAGTTTTATGGTGCAGTCGCTGATCTCTGTGGTCCTAGTCTCGCTCGGCCCTCTCCCGTTTTCCCATATAGTTCTCGTCGTTGTCTTGGTAACTTGCCGGTATAATTTGCTCCCCTTTCCCTTCACTAAGGCGAAAAGGGACAGGGTGGAAGCATACGTGAAAATCTTGAACAAATACAAGTGTGTGGACCACAATAGGGGCCACGGGCTGGATCCCGTGCCTGCCATAGTTAGAAAGCAACATAGAAAATATAGAGTAATTTTCAATCTTATCAGAATAACTAGCCAGCTACAAGCTGGGATAGAGTCAATACTAATTGAATCGCTTAACTAGTCGTCTAGAACCTTTGTATAGCTTTGCAGACAAGCTATTAACTGAGCCGGACGCTATGTTGAGTTTTGCCTGGTGAACCGTCTCCAACTCTTGGCCCAAGGGCAAACACTTCGGCCGTGCCTGTACTTGTATCTCAAGCGTCTAATGCCCTTCCATGTCCTCATCTGATCTCTTGGTTGCAATCGCGCGAGCTTGTACCCTAAGCTCCCCTCTTTATTCTCCAATGCTGACACTCGTGGTGTGGTACTCACCTTTCTATACACCAGCCTCAAGGCTATGAGAAGGCGAGATACAGCCCACAGTGTTAGCTCAGCCAATTTTCAACTGGAGCATGTAGTAATATTCGAATAATGTCGATTATTGACCTCACAATACGAAATTTCTCCTCCCTAACAAGCCTCCACGACACCGCTGTTCATCGAAATGGTAATTGAATCAAGCGATTGATCGAAAGATATGAAAGCATTGCGTGGCTATCTACGCCCGGCTAGGATGACCCAGAAGAAATCACGGTCGAGACTGCATAACCTGGAGTTCCTATTTTCTGTGGATGATAAAAATGTGTCGTTTGTATCGTTGGCTCTAAGAATGACGAATATAGTACAGCTATGATGCGTGTATCACACCAGAACCCGCAGAGCGAAGCTCGACAGTCCATCATTCGACATGAGTATATGGGATAACACAGAACAAAACATGTTGCTTGAAAGGCTGCGAACTTGGTATAGAAAGTAATCCTTATACTATTATACGGTGTACCTATATATAGCAACTACGTGATTGGCGTGATTCGGTCTGCTTGAAAAATCTCCATCCCTTGTCGATAGACGACGTATTCCCCGACGGGAACCGTCCAAAAAGCAAGTCAAGGCATTGCAAATCTCTGTCGCCGAGTTCTTCTTTGATGCAAGCAATGATACAAAATGAACATAATGAATTGGTTTCGGTATCTTTAAAGAAATGCCCCCCCAACTCCCACGAAAGCATCCAATTTATTGCAGTAAATGGCGGGCTTACGATGGCTTTACTGCTCGACACATTGTACCACTATATGCTCCACAGTAAAACCCTTATTCATGTAAAGAATATTTAAATTAGGTGCATACCGATACGTAACTGTTACCACCCTGTCCATTTTGCAAACTAGGGGTGAAAAGAAGATACATAATCGACTTAAGACCGAGGTTTAACTTGACCAATCCACTCGCTCAAAAACATGGAGACATTTCCATGTTGCCTTGAAGAAAAAAGAAACGCTAAATAGAGACGCCTGGGGGAATGCGCTTAGTTTTCTTAGTTCGTTTTGGTTCCTTGACCGCATTGTTAGTGTCCCAAGTCCATCGAGAATAAGCAGCGGATAGAGTGTACGAGTACGGAGTACGCATCATCTCCACCTAATTGAACAGTGCTGATCGCCAGTAGAGTGATGGAATCACTGGCCATGGACGTGTCAGGTAGTCGTTTATTTTTGCAATCATACTCAATGCCAACGCTGTTTTACTAGTTACCGACTTTTGCGTCCAACATGCGCATCGTTTTGACTGGGTTGTAGACAAACAAATGGACAGACTGTGGTCCCCGGAGCAGTTACTCCTTGTAAAAGTACAAGTACTGTTGGTACCAGAGTTTAGCCAAGCAGTCATCCTGATTCTCCTCGTAGGCGACAACTCCCTCACCCTGGTGCCGATACCTCCGCAGGAACGCGCTATAAATATGGAGAAAAGTGCCAAGTTAATAGACTAAGTTGACAAACTATGGGGCGCAAATGCTCCTTGGCCTTGGAAACGTAACAAACCCCCTGAAGCGTTGCATGATGTAGGCTCTCGCCCCTTTCGCCGGCGAACTACCGCATAGTGCTGCCCCTACTATGCAAAAAATCATATTACACCTCATTGCCGCCCCAATGAGACCTTTAACTGTGGTAGAGATTCTCCAATACTGAGTGGGGAGTATATTCTATTCCCTAGAGAGAATATCCCCTATAGAACCAGTCTTAAGCTAGGAGGTGTCACCGCCTAGTAGCGTAGAGGCTAGGTAGTCGCTGTGTCATCTCATAGGACGGTGCTTAAAGTCTATCACCCGTAAGGCTTAGTATGAACATCATTTTAACGCAGTACTCCTATCATCTTGCCTTAGTAAATGATCGCCGTCTACTCCGTAATTTGCATCACCTATTTATTGAGCCACTTGAGTCAAATACTGCTTCCTGCCTTGGATAAGAAAGCAGAACCAAACCATCTTACTATAAGCAGGTTAAGAAACAAGCTGAATTACTATGGTTGCTCTACCTTGACGCTATCTTGGGCCTATCAAAAGGTCCACTTTCTTGGCAGAGGTTTTTCTTTTATCTTTTGCGGTTCATGCAGTCTGCGCTAAGTCGAATTGCTACTTTCCAGATTTCCGTTTGTTGACTGGTGTAATGGGTCAGTGCAAACTTCTTGCATGGATAATGTATCAGCGGCCTTTACGGAGTAACAAACCGCTTTTGTTTTTCCAGCTTATTTGACGTAAGACAACACTGTGGACAATGCGGCTAATTTATCTAAAGATTGCCGATCCTTTTGAAACTTATTCTTGGTGACTTACTTGGTTAAAGTTGTTTCATTATCTGGATTGGGTCCGTCGAGGGATTGTCTTGCGCCGCTTGGATTTGGGACACCTGCGTAGTGATTGAAAAGTTTACAGTTTTAATATTTAATTCTCCTCCAAACGGACCGAAGTCCAATTTCTGTACTATTTAAAAAAAAAAAAACCCCGCCTCCTTTTAGAGCTTTAGTAGAACATTTTTTCGCCAGAAAGCTCATGGGTTAAATCTTGGTAAATTGAATTGCAGTGGTGATAGATCTGGACTAACAAATGAAAGAAGAGAAGGGGATGCCGCCGGAAGGACCATCTGATACTCTGGACAGTGTAGTCTTTGCATTACCACAAGTGATTTTAGAGACGAGGATATTTGTCACATCCTGCCTGATATGGTTCCGGCATCGTATTCATCCCAGCTATGAAGCACGTTTGTCTGCGCGCCTCCATGTCAGAGATGAGGGGAGGGTCTGCAAGATTATGCTTAGCTGCTGGGAAGGTTCCATGTCCGGTATGCCACTCGAGTGATTTGCCCTAGCGCTAGTGCTGGCAAGAAACACGGCCAATGTCATTAGCAAGTGCATTTTTCCGCTCTGCAATTTGACACAGGCCAAGGTGCCACTGGTTGCAAATCCAAATCCATTTCCCATTTTCATCGCTTATTGTGCTACTCTGAGAGACATATTCCGTAGATAGGTATCAAATATCCCCAGTGGGACACTATAACTAGCCTGGAGAACGTTTGACCACAAGCGAAAGTCGTAACTCTATCTCTGGCGCAAGTAACAAGACCTTTTCCGTAGTGAGTTGTAACATTAACGAACTAGATCATAGATTGTCCAGCTGATCAAATTATGCTCATTCAATCTCTTTGGGTAAGATGAACCAGACAGAGAAACTTCGACAACCCTGGATGAGAGCAGAGGTGCAAGTTATACGGCGAAGAATACAACGCCTGAGTGGTCGCTAGCCTCAATGTTGGTTGCTTTGACGCTGAAATTGGGCAACGAAACCTTATCGGACTGACCTGAGGTCAGCTGATCCGCCATTGGGTATATTACGACTATTCGTAACAAACTGTCAACTTTTGGGTGGATTGTTTTCTCAAATATGCACAGGATAACAGTATCATACTTTTGATTATTGGACTTAACTTCTTGTGAAAAGACCCGTCAAGGGAGGAAATTGACGCGGCAAGCTTGACGGGGCTACCGGTTTTATAAGCACAGCCGAGCAACTTGAACAGGACTCGTCTAAAACCTACGGAAACCGGTCGGTCAATGCAATTTATTTTGTATTACTAGATGCGTGATGTTGTAATGCGCCTCACAGCTATGCAGAACCAACACCAGGTGTATCAGAAACTCTATATATGAGCTTTTTGGCACTTACTTTCCCCTCTTTCAACATCCGTAAACCATCTTCAACGGACTCCAATCCGTGTGACAGGATTTCATATGGTTGTCCGGTCATTTTACCCTCAGCAATCCATCGACCAACGAGCCGGAAAAAGGCGTACGCAAAATCCACATCTTCGCTGTATACTTCATTGCTGATTGGAGTTGCTTGTCCATGAACTGTGCCGAAGAATGTAATGCCAATAGATATCCAAGGAGGAATACAGCTATAGTCTAGACGGGGCAGGTAAACAGACATGCGAGCTCCTTCTGGTGCCAACACTTCTGATAGATGTCGGAAACTGTTACTATCATTGATGGCATCAACAGCATGAAAGCATTTCTTCCCTCCAAGGGCAGCCTTCAGATCATTGACGACATTGCAGTTTCGGTAATCGACAAAATCGGTAACTACGCCAAGCGACTCGACGTAT